AATTTAACAACGGGCAGGAAGGGGGAGAAGAAGGGAGAGAGCGAGAGAGCGAGAGAGGGAGAAAGCGAGAAAGCGAGAGGAGAAAGAGTCTGAGAGGATTTTATTACTCTTAGTAATAGTAGTATCTTTGAAGAGAAAGAGAAACCGTAGAGGAGCAGGACGTAAGCAGGTAGATGGATAATAAGTATGGATGGGTAGGTAGTAAGCACCTAGATGGGTATGAGGATGAGTGAGGCGCTCAAGTGATTATCAGAGATTGTCAGTGAATATAGAAAATTAGCCCTCCCGTTTAATGAATGATGTGAAGACACAGGCTCGCCAGGTCAAGAGTCAACTTTTACAAGATCAAAGCAAAGGCATCAAGGTTGTAGATCGAATCCATTGCAAGCTACCTATTGAGTAAGTACCATTTAAGGATATCAATTCAATTTACGGACTCTCGGATTCCTCTACGAGAATTTTGATATACATCGTGATTGGTATTGTGCATATCACGATCATCTATCTATTGGGTAACATACCAAAAGAAAAGGAGAATGGGGAAATTAATACCTAGGTACCCTTTTCCTTCATAATAAATTCCCTCTCTGACAGAGTGTGTTGATAGATGCTATAATTTCCAAATCAGCTACAAGAACGCCGAGGTAGGCAATTGATGACTAGGTCATACTAGGTAGGTAAAATATACCTAGCTGAGTCGCTTTCCCCCCCTTCTTCCAGCATAAAAGTGGAGGATGCGCAGGTATTATATGTATTATGGCGAAGATGATTGTTCAAATATCCATGTACAGCATACTGGTACAGACTGCAGAACTGCCACTCGTACACTTGTACACTTGTACACCACTAGAATGCTTGGACTGATTTGTACCTGCTTTCACTACCGTCCTATCTGCTTGCAGCGGCATTCCATTCAAAAAATAGTTGGAACTTGGAAGCTCCACCCTCTTATCATTATCTCGCTCTGCCTGAGTACCTAGATAGTAGATACCTATCTCATATATGGCATATACAACTCTCCATCGGGGTATTGATGTCACTCATTGATATCACTCTCATCAATTCTCAAGCACAAGAAAGAGGATTACTAGGTACAGGTATATCGAATTTTAGGTCAGTTCCTCAGCCACCTCCTCTTCTTAGTCTTACTATGTAGAATGTCTAATTCAACGCAAAGAGAAGAAGAAAGAGAATCTTGACTTTCCCTTTACGGTATTCTCTTGCTTGCATCCTGCAAGTCGCAACATGGTTCCATCGGTGGGACTTTTTTCTTCTACAGAGTACATAAATTACAGATGCATATTGATCAGCAGGGCACAGAATGGTAAATTGCTTCTAACAGCTCGTATGCACATAAAAAATTATCTATTCGGTGTCCAATCTGCTTAGCCTGCTGTCAATTAATAAGAGAGGTTGACCTATAAGATTGAGAGCGCACACGAAGATACATCATTTGTCATATTTACTACTCCCATCCTATATTATTGTTTCCTTCTTTTCCTCTTCTTTCAATTTTTTATCGATATATTATCGACATATTGATTTCAACTTGTGGTAACAGGTCACTTGTTTTGTCACTTAGTCCGCTCACTTGGCTCTCGATTGCGTACCAACTGCTCCGTACCAAGTACGACCTACGCCGTGGGGAATCTCTTTGGTTCCCGTTTCTTTAAATTTCGACCGGGATAGGTATCGGGGACTGGATTTCAAAATGGGTCAAGACTCAAGCATCAGAAGAATCAGGGTCGGGGTATTTTATCTTACTATTGGGATCGACGGGGATTTGGATGGCAGGTTAAGGCAGCTTCTACTCCGTTTTTAATAATACACCCCTACTTCTTTTCAAATGACTATCGATAGGTAATCAAATCAACTTCGCTCTTGGTCGTTTGTTAGCTTTTAAGCGTTCTTTGGAATCCCACAGATCCCATCGAAATACATACGGAATCCCTCTTTCTTTGGCGCAAGAACAGGAAAGACGTTCCGGTAATCTGATCCATTATATTTCTCTGTATCATCGTATCCATTTATCCACGTTTCCCATCTTGACATCAAATTTAATGGTACGATATCGCGCCATTGAGTCTGTTACCCCTTCATCTGCCGCGATACTGCACGGGGACCACAACGACCTCAAGAGTCAAGACTCAAGATCAATTCAAGACCCGGTCATTGAAGATTAACCAAAGCTCGATGAAGCTCTTGCAGTTGTAAGCTCTATGAAGCAAGCAAGTGGCCATCCATCGCCGCTCTTGGTTTCTACAATGTACGGACTACCAAGTAGGTAGGTATCTTTAATAACATTTCTGCTTGAGCTTTTACCAGGAATTATTCATAAAAGAACGGATGAAACGTTTTCTTCTACCCTTCCTATTGGTAGAACATGTCGTCCACAATTCTTTCACGATATCCATTTGGAGCACATTCCCATTCTGCCAAGTGGAGTGGGGAGTTTATACGCACGAACTCAGTATCTACCGATTCTCAGATTGGAAGATCTCCCGAAGTTAAGTTTGACAGTCATTGATGGAATTTGATTCGTCAGAATTAAGATTGGTCATCAAGGAATCCTATCACTTTCAAGGTTGGCACCATTGAAAGTGCATGCAGCAAATCAACTTCAACTCTTCCAGATTCAAGGGAAACAGGAAACAAACATCCCATCCGTGGGACCAGAACAACACAAACACTAGTTATATCGAAAAGGTAAAATCTAGATTGTCAGTTAGTTGTAACTCTACAGAGTACGCAGCAGTTTCATCTTCTTCATTCATTCAAAACAGTTATCAAGAAGCCACTTTCACGCAATGCATTCATCAAGCTCGGAAGTTATTGATTTTCTATCCTTGCCAAAAATTGAAGTAAGTCATAAAGGTTACATGCATATTCATATTGTACATACATGTATGCAATGTCCGTCGAAACCCCGCCGGACTTTGTTATCCTAACGGCTGCATGAATGATGTTGATATAAGGCTGAAAGATACTTCTTACATAGTTACATGCTCATCTGAGTGGAAGTATCAGTCGACAATGTCTTCATGAAGTATGGCGTCAGAAATGGGAGAAGGGTGAGACTGCAATGCAAGATCCATTGGTTGAGATGCCAGATGGTAAATTTGATTATGATCTTGAGACGTGAGTTATTTTCTGTTCTATTTATTACTTCGCACCTCACGTATGTTGGGACAAACAAACCATTGTTTTTATGAGCAATCAAGAATTTGTGGACACCATATATGCAGGCCATAATAGCCTTCTTACACGTTGACAATATTCTACATTGCTCGCTGGCCGTGATTTCTGTCAGAATTTTTGCATTTGATTGAAGTTGCATATCTTTCAAGGTGTTGAATGATTCGAAGTATTGAATCCATTTGCCTCATCAAAACCATTCAGATGACAAAATTGTTCTCCGAAATTTCTAGCTTTTCAAGCACTACAAGTTATTCAAGCATCCGAAGATTGGATTTAGTCTATTGATTCGAGCCATGAACACTTTAATTTTTGACCTCGTGCAACCCTTCCATATCTCATACGATGTCTTTCCAGATTCTTTCCATTATTCTCCAAATATATCTACGCTCTCGTCAACGACCCTGCCTCCTTGATTTATACCACGAACTCCGTCCTGTCAGATTTCCAAGCAGATGGTGTCATCTATCTTGAACTACGTACCACTCCTCGAGCTATCCCTTCCGCAGGTATCACCAAAGAGATCTACGTCCAAACAATCCTCGACTGCATCGCCCAACACAACAACTCCAATGGTTCCATGAAAACAAACCTGATCCTCTCTATCGACCGCCGAAATGATGCTCAAACAGCCATGGATATCGTGGAACTAGCATACAAATACCACGGCAAAGGAGTCGTAGGAATCGATCTCTGTGGCGACCCATCTGTAGGCGATGTATCCATCTTCGAACCCGCTTTCCTCCTCGCTCAAAAATACAACCTCAAAATCACAATCCATTTTGCAGAAGTAGCGCAAGCACCTACTAGCACAGAACTAGAAACACTTTTGTCGTACAAACCGCATAGGATAGGACATGTAATCCATGTTCCAGAAAATCTCAAACCGGAAATTGAAAAGATGGGTTTGGGATTGGAACTTTGCTTGAGTTGCAATGTTCATGCGAAAATGATCACGGGCACGTATGGAGATCATCATTTTGGGGAGTGGTGGGGGAGAGGCGCGAATGTGGTTTTGTGTGTATGTGTTTACTTTTTCTTTACTTCTTCTTCCTTTTTCTCTTGGGCGATTTTATTTTGTTTTATTTTGACAGAGGGTTCCTGGGATGGGAGTAGAGAGCTGAATTAAGTAGGATGATATGGGATGAAATGGAAAACAAGATATCAAAATCCCCCCCTCCCCCCCCCCCCCCACCCCCAAAAACATAAACTTCCATCTTCCCCAAGAACACACTAACGGAATCCCCCACCTCACAGACCGACGATGTAGGAGTCTTCGGAAGCAAACTCTCAGACGAATACGCACTTGTAGCGAAACATTTCCATCTTGATAGGAACGCGATTTGTAAGCTTGCGAGAAGTGGGATTGAGACGATATTTGGTGGGGAGGGGGAGAGAGAGAGGTTGAGGGGGGTTATGTGGAGAGAGGATTTGGATTGAGCAAGGGGGAAGGGAGATGATATAGATATTGGTGTATGGTGAGATTTGAGATTGAGGGGGAGATAGAGGTAGAAACGTGGCATACGGAATATGGAATATACTTTCATCTGCTGGATTGCATCATTCTGTTTGCTTTGAGCAGTTGACCTTAACTAACTACCTACCTCGATAGTGTAGCTTATCTCTAGAGGAGTGTGAGATGCACGGGAAGAATAGTATGTGTGAGGTAAGTAATTCAACGTTCTGAAAACTTCAAATTTTACTTTTATTTTTATCTACTATGCTGTGCTACGCTACGAGCTTTTGATGAATTATATATTGATTCACGATTTACGATATGCAATGCCATTCCGTGCCAAGACACCCTACCCAGAAGCATCCAAATCCAACCCAAAAAGTCGAATCGCATTACCTCCCAAAATCGCTTTTTCCTCTTCACTTCCCGCTCCACACGCGCTACTAATCGCATCTTTATTCATGGAAACACTGAGCCATTGTTGTCCCACTTCCTCCTCATCCAACGGTGGGAAAAACGGCGCATCAGTTCCAAACATGACTCTATCCGCACCACTCACACCAACTGCTCCCCGAACCCCCACATCCCCATAGACTACTGCGTCGAGCCAGATGTTCTTCTTCAGGATTTCCCAAATAGTTTTTCTGCCCTCGGATAATTTTCCTTCGGCTTTGAGATGCGCATCGTGCAAGATGCAACTTTCTATTCTTCCTGCTAAGAATGGAAGGGTACCACCGCTATGTGCGAGAATTACTTGCAGATCCGGTACGGAAGTGAAGACAGAGGAGAGAATCATGCGGGTAACAGCGATGGTGGTTTCCATGGGGAAACCAAGAGCGAGAGGAAGAACATGCCCGTAATCATTTCCTCTGGGGCCGAAAACCGAGGTTGGGAGTCCGTAGTGCGGATGCAGAAAGATGGGGAAGTTGTTGGCGGCTAGTTCTTTGAATATGGGGAGGAGAGCAGGGTCGTCGAGTCCGGAGCCCAGTCCGCTGGTTCCGAGGATGATGCCGCGGCAGTAGGGGAGGGTTTTGAGGTGCGTGATGCTTTCGAGGATTGAGGAGGGAGGGGCAGATAGGGGGAGCGTGCCGAAGAAATAGAGACGGGTTGGGTGCTGGGCGCAGAGGGAGTTTATTTCGGTGTTGATTGATAGGGCGGTTGGGAGGGCGGTGGTGGAGGGAAGCCAGTCGAGCCAGGGGTTTGCGAGAGAGATTATCGAGGTGCTGATAGAGTGGGTGTTCATGAAAGCAATTCTTTCCGAGATGTCATAGCTAGAGGTTTAGGGGATTAGTTTGGAGATTTGAGAGTTTTGCGGATGAGGCTGAAAGGTAGGGAGAACAAGAGGCAGTGGTGATTCCTGGAGAGTCTTTCTCGCGTGTAGACTATCAAGAAGTAGATATAGAATCATTGACTTGTTGAACTTCTAGCATTAAATATGCAATTTGGAGGCTAGTCACTTGATCCTCGTTGTATTGACGATTCCTCCCAACCACAACACATAGATTACTCATCTCACTCATCCTCGCCAAATCACCCTTTTCCCTCCTTTTTCTCTGGCTTTACTGTTGTGATATCTCAAAATAGCAAGATATATAAAAAGAAACACATAAACTTACTACCCAGACCCGATTGGTCGTCCTCTACTTGTACTCGGTGTATCCTCCGCTGGCAAGATAACCAATCGATGTTCTTTCGCCGGAGGAAATTGTCTTATATAAGGGATTTCATCGCGGGATTTGAGAAGCTCCATATAAGATGGCGGATAGATATGAGTGTGAATATCTACTACCGGGACGGAGGAGGACATTTTGATGGTTATTTTTGAGCAATCTTCTGACTAGAGGAGGACGGTGGAATAGAAGGAATACAAGACAAATTCACAAAAAGAACAAGTAGAAGATTTTAATGAGAACACATATTTCCAAATCACTTGATCAATCATACAATGGTAATTCAATCTCGTATGTAATAAAATGCAGGACAATATCAAGATAGCTAGAGATCAACCTACCCCGCACTGGTACTCCCCTTGTCCAGCAACCCCACCTCCTCCTATTTAAATTCCGATCACAACCCTATCTTATCATTGAATCGTGAATGCTTATCATAACTCTTCCCTTTTGAATCACTTACCTGCCTTTTTTGGAGAGTACATACATACTATCTTGCATTAGACCGGATGCGGAGAGCGGCTTTGGCCGCGTGCGGCGTTTTTTAAGTGAGGGGTTTGGGTGATATATACTTCCTCAGTAGAAATGTAATTTTTGTCTGGTTTTATTTTTGGTATCGACGACGATATTGTGAATATTGAAGAACAGCATCAGACAAGATGTCGATAGAAGTAACCAAGGCTGTGGATGTCGATAATCTCGTCATTCCTGTAAATTTCCCTTCATTTCAATCTGCTTTCCAGTCTTCTCCTCATCTCGACACATATCTACACTTACTCTGATACTAACAATATTCCTTTACAGATAATAAACTTCTCCAACTTCCTAACTGGCACTCCCTCGCAACGTCTCCAAACCGCTCAGTCCATTCTCCACGGTTTCCGCACCGCAGGATTCATCTACCTTTCCCACCACCCTATTCCCCCACCCGTCCTATCCCACACCTTTTCCACATCCGCCAAATTCTTCGCTCGTCCCTCTTCTGAAAAAGATCCATTAGCCTGGACCACACCCCTCGCCAACCGGGGCTATGTAGCCCATGGTCGCGAGAAAACCACCACCCTCACAGATAAAGAAGCGGTTGAGAAATTGAAAGCCCAAGCCCCAGATTTAAAAGAGAGTTTCGAGATTGGACGAGAAGGTCAAGAACAACTGCCTAATAATTGGCCGGCTATTACTCCCTCAGATCCTGATGCCAAAGAATTCAAAGAGACAATGCTGAAGTTCCATGATTTGTGCAAGGAATTTCATATAAATGTTATGCGGGCCATTGCTCTCGGAATGTCGCTTCCTGAATCATATTTCGATGGTTTCACAAGTGCGGGGGACAACACACTTCGTTTACTACATTATCCACCTGCGAAAGCAAGTGTGTTTAAGGAAAATAAATTGCAGGTTAGAGCTGGGGAGCATACAGATTATGGGAGTATTACACTTCTTTTCCAAGATGATAGAGGAGGACTCCAAGTAAAGAGTCCCAAAGGAACATTTGTTGATGCGACACCGGTGCCGGGAACCGTGGTAGTTAATGCAGGAGATTTGTTGGCGAGGTGGAGTAATGATTTCATTAGAAGTACATTGCATAGGGTTGTGGAACCGCCTCCTAAAGAGGGGCAAGAGATTCCAGAAGATGGCGTCTATCCGGCGAGATATAGTATTGCGTACTTTTGTAATCCAAATTTCGATCGGATGATTGAGGCAATTGAGGGAACGTATGGAGGGGAACTTGGGGAAAGAAAATATGAGGGGATTAATTCGGGAGAGTATCTGGTACAGAGATTGGCTGCCACTTATTAAGTTCTAGTCGATTTATGTGGTTGTATATACGTTGTAAATTGAAAAGCTGATATTCTGTGTATTGGTCTTCTGTTCTTGGTAATTGTGTGTGGCCAATACAAGATTGGAAGAGCACAATCTTCAAAGTAGGCTCTGAGCCCATTCAAACAAGTCAATCTTTTCGGAAAATAGTGAACAAAGAATCTCGTTAGGGGTTAAAACTCGCTAATTATCGGAAGTCGTGGATGTCAGAAGTTACCTGTGTTTTGCTTACCGCTGCAAGGCAAGCGCAATCTTCTCGCAAGCCTTATATATACTAGCATGATGACTGATAGCAACAAAGATTATTTCATCGTCACACGCAGAAAGCAACGACGATTCTGTTTCCTTGACAGCAACAGCTATATTCCGACTTTGTCCATCTACCTAATGATCAGCCATCACTATTGATGGCCAGCATACTACTTCTTAGGATAACACAGCTGTATTTCAATTCACAAGGAACATATAAATTGTCCGCATCTTTTGCAGCTATGACATATACATCTTCGTTAAAGTTTCAAAAGAACTATTTATAGAACGAAAATGAGGTTCCTGGTCTGTGGAGCCATTATTTAACTTTTTTTCTTTCAAATTGAGAAGACTCGAGAGCCACTCCCTTATTATATATAATCAACGGACCCGGGATATTTGGATCGGGATGAATAGAGTGGCATCTATTCTGATCATCACTGAATTTGTGTATCGTATGGATATACTGACTAGTCTAGATTGGTCTACATCTTGATATCCAGTTTTCGATATGTTGACCGTATTGATTGCATATCGGGTCGCCGGAGAAGTCTAACGAAGCGTTTTTGTAAAGCTGGAAGAAGTCTTCTGGGAACGCTGTGGCTAAAGCTTGAACGCCTTGTGTATTGATTTTTGATCTGTCCGTGAGGTTCTTATGTAGTACTGGGAGCAGCCTGAGTGGCGGCAGTAATGGAGGCGATATATTAATGATTTGATCTTGTCTTTGAATAAGATAATTCGCTAACCAGTTCTGATAGGCAGATGCTCATGTCTGTGAGAACACGCTATCGTTTACTCCCTCGAGGTTCACAGGACTGTAGTGTGTCTACAGCAAGGCTATCCCGTGATTCTATCTAGTCTGCTTAAGGTAGAAAGAGGAAATATAGGGCATTAAGAGCCGCACAGGAAATGTGATGTTTCAATGTGTAAAATCATCTCAATGTTCGAATTCACTCCAGTGTCGAGAGATACCTCAAAATCGAAGGGAACTTATCGTTTGAAAAGCATTCAATGGTGATCAGAATAGTTCTGATAATGATTCTGATTCTGATGGTTCTGAGGAATCTAGTTCCACTAATAATAGTACAGCTAGTAATGTTACATTTGCAACCCTCTGTATGTACCTGATAAATTCGGGAATCGAGAGCTTCTTGTGTACTACTGCAACATGGACTGTTACAAGCTTTGGGTAATGAACTTAAGAACCTCAATATACGTCAGTACTGACTTACTTAAATTTAGCGCGATCTGTTGGAATTTTCAATACCGACCATGCCATGGCTCTGTAGTGTACATGAGTATTTTTCGCTCACTAAATTGTGTATTAATAGACTTACATGTCGTTCTACAAGTCCAAATTCTTGTACGTTGTGTGAGTAGTTTCATCTGTTTCGACGGTCTGTATACTTTGAAGGCCTGAGTTCAAAAGATTACCCTTAATAGCGTTCAAACTTCTTTCCCGGACCGAGGAAGGCTCCATTTTCTTCGTTTGGTGCAAGAAAATGCAGCGTTTGAAGGCGCGTTTGCTGTTTCTTGCCGGGATGAAGAGGAACGGTATATTTGGTTTGCTGAAAGATCTTTCCGAGAAAAGGCTGGCAGCGTGGTTTGTCTTCGCTCGTGAACACCCAGCCGAAAAAGTCTTTGTTGAAAGACTGTTTATCTGCATAAAGCACAATCCGATGTCGCTCTAGCACTCACTTTATAGGAATGGGTTTTCACTGAAGATGCGGATGGAAATTCAAATCAGGCTCTCTTCTAGATCTTCATCTAAAGTGCGCATTAGACACAATGTTCCGCAACAAAGCACTCTTGTCTCATGCCAACTGCTTCGAAGTTGAAACATCAAAAAGAAACGACACCGATCTCCACATGAGAGATCTTCAAAACGTTACGTACAAGGCATTAATCCTTTCATATTTTTGATTTCCCTGACATGAAGCTACTCGCTGTATCCGGCGTTCGAAATTGGGATTTATTCATGCGGAATAGCCTTGATAGATTGAGTGCCTCAAACATTACATCCCTATCCCTCACCAACACCATACCAGCAGATCGAGCCTTGACGAACCTTTTGTCGTGGCCAGACGCGGTCTATTAAGGTATATCCTATCCCGCCGAGGCAAACTCGCAAATTATCTCACCTGCTCTCGAGGAACTTCGCATTAAGATAGATTTTTTGTATTTGAACTCCTCATCAACAAAGTATTAGAGATGGTCTCTTTTCAAACACTTATAAGAAGAGCAAAAGCCTCGTGGTCGCTGATGATAGATGTATACATAGATGAAATATTGCAGAAAATTGTCTAGAAGTCTGCATCTGCTCTATACTAAAGAGTTTTGAAGCATATGCATTCAACTTTTGTGTTTCACGGGCAACACCGTGAAGCAATTTAAATGATAAACTAGCTCCCCTTTCCCCGAAAGTACGACATTTTTCGAGTAATTGAATGCGTGCAGGAGTAACACTCGTCCCATACTTACAACGACTGAGAACGCAAATGTTTTATTCTAGTATGGGACCTTACATTTACACATCCTATGTCTCACAGCACGATTAATCAATCAGAACCACGTGAGGGCCAGAAATGTACGATATTATTGCTTATATATTTCGCAATTTCAAACTAAGAGTCTCCCCCCTTTCATCCGCACAATCGCGCTTTCCCCCAACGCGATTGATCTATAAACATCAAAGGAAAATATAAACCGTATGAGCAACCATCTATGGATCCATCCATTCATGAGTCCCAATCTCCTCCTGGCGGTTGAAGCCAAAGAACCCTCTATTTGTTTGTGTATTCTTAAACGCCTTATGCATCCGAAGTCATGATCACATCACATCATATCATAATACATGATAGATAGATACCCACAACTCCTCCCAATGTTGAATTATTCATGTTGAAATTCCTTTTGATATTGACCTTTCCTTTCCCACCCGAAAGAAAAAGTTAACCATATGCTCGCTAAATGTTAAAATGTGCAAAACAAAATGCTAAAATGCAATTATGTAGGTTGTGGAGCCGAAACACCGGTGATGCCTTTTTCAGCATCTTCAGTTGCTTCTACAGGCCCGCATGTACAGAAGAGATTGGTATCACCATAGGCTGCAGGTACGTTAGCAAGTAAAATGTCATAGGAATGTAGAGAAACTTACCATCATCAAGTCTGGTGACGGATGGCCAGAATTTCTTCTCCTTGAGATAAGGCAATGGGTATGCGGCTTGCTCTCGAGTATATGGACGGTTCCATTCTCCAATGAGAAGATCTTTCTGGCTATGTGGCGAATTCTTCAAGACGTTGCCCGCCTTTGGAATGGTGCCATCTTCTACGGCTTGGATTTCTTTGCGGATTGATATCAATGCATCAATGAAGCGGTCAAGTTCTTCCTTACTTTCAGACTCGGTGGGCTCGATCATAAGGGTGTTAGCAACTGGCCAACTCATAGTTGGAGCATGGAAACCATAATCCTGAAGACGCTTGGCAATATCAATAGCCTCAACACCTGCTGACTCTTTGAAACCACGAACATCGAGGATGAACTCGTGAGCACATCGAGAATTGGCGTTGGTGTACAGGATTGGGTAGTGAGGTCGGAGACGAGACATGATATAGTTGGCATTCAAAAGAGTGATCTTCGTAGCATGAGTCAATCCTCTACCGCCCATCATCTTCACATAAGCCCAACTAATTGGTAAGATACTTGCACTTCCGAAAGGAGCACCGCTGACTGGGGCAATGGCATTCTCACCACCAGTCTTTACCAATGGATGGCCAGGTAAGAATGGTGCCAAATGAGATTTAACACCAATCGGACCAACACCTGGACCACCACCTCCGTGGGGAATACAGAATGTCTTGTGGAGATTAAGATGGCATACATCGGCACCGATCTCTCCAGGTGAACACAACCCAATTTGAGCATTCATGTTGGCGCCGTCCATATATACTTGACCTCCATGTTGATGAACAATCTCACATGCAGCCTTGATTTCTGGCTCAAAGACACCAAATGTACTTGGATATGTGATCATGATAGCTCCAAGTTCTTCGCTATATTTCTCACATTTTGCTTTGAGATCTGCCATGTCGAGATTACCAGACTTGATGTCACATTTTACAGTAACAACGCGCATACCTGCCATAGCAGCTGATGCAGGGTTGGTACCATGGGCAGAGACAGGAATCAAGCAAATATCACGCTTCTTCCCGGGTTGTTGTTCTTGAAATTTACGAATGACACGCAACCCAGTAAATTCTCCTTGGGCACCCGAATTTGGTTGCAGGGATACTGCATCAAATCCAGTAATAGTAGCCAGATCGGCCTCAAGCTCATCGATCATAGTCTTGTAACCAGCCGCCTGATTAGTAGGAACAAATGGATGAATTGAAGAGAATTCCGGCCATGTAACTGGAGCCATTTCGGTAGTAGCATTGAGCTTCATTGTGCAGGAGCCGAGGGGTATCATGGAATGTGTAAGGGACAAATCCTTTGATTGGAGGTGATGAATGTAACGGAGAATCTCGGTTTCGGAGTGGTGTGTGTTGAAGACTGGATGAGTGAGGTATTGAGATGATCTCTTCAATTCTGCGGGAATCGACTTATCACAGGAAGTTTGCAACTCAGTAGTATTCTCGAAAGATGTCGATCCTGTCTTGGAAAACTTGGCGAACACGGATATGATGTCCTCGAGGTCCTTAATGTCAACGGTTTCGTCAATAGTGATACCAAGTCGACTATCATCGAACTTTCTTAAATTGATCTTGAAAGTCTCCGTGGCATAGTTAAGGACTTCATCAGATTTGCCCTGTCCAACATCAACCACGACCGTGTCAAAGAGAACTTTTCCGTCGGAGCCCGTTCCTCTAGAGTTAGTCTCAAATCCAAGGCTCTTGAGTCCATCCTGAACAAATCGAGCTCCTTGAATAGCTCTCTCAGCAATAGCCTTGAGACCTTCTGGACCATGGTAGACTGCATAGAATGCACTCATGTTGGCCAATAATGCTTGAGCCGTGCACACATTGCTAGTAGCCTTCTCTCTACGGATATGCTGTTCTCTAGTTTGCAAAGCCAATCTCATTGCCTTATCTCCTAGTCTATCTTTCGATACACCAATGAGACGACCTGGAATCTTTCTCTTATATTTGTCACTGACGGCGAAGAAAGCGGCATGTGGACCACCATAACCAAATGGAACACCAAAACGCTGAGCATTTCCGAAAGCAATATCGGCACCAAACTCACCAGGCGGCGTGAGAACAGTAAGAGCTAAAAGATCAGTAGCAACACTGAAAGTTGCGCCTTGAGCATGAATGACATCTGCTAGACCACGGAAATCTTCTACGCCACCCTCAGTATCAGGGTATTGTACCAAAGCTCCAATGAGATCATTGCCAAGTTCCTTGAGGCGAGCTCCACCATCTGCAAGGACATCTCCAACTTCAATCTTTATATCAAATCCATCTGCTCGGCTTTGTAAAACTGCTACTGTCTGTGGATGGACTAGGTGACTGACAAAGAATGTCTTATTCTTGCTCTTCTGTCTAGCAAGTGGAAGGGCATTCATTGACAAGGTCATAGCTTCGGCGGCGGCGGTGGATTCATCGAGTAGCGAGGCATTGGAAATCGGTAATGCTGTCAAATCGGAGACAAGCGTTTGGAAATTTAAAAGCGATTCTAACCGACCTTGACTAATTTCAGGTTGATATGGCGTGTAGCTAGTATACCATCCTGGACTTTCCAACACATTTCTCTTGATAACCTCCGGAACTCGGGTTCCGGCATATCCACATCCAATATAACTTCGCATAATCGTATTTTCGGACGCAATCGACTTTAGTCTCGCAAGCAATTGAGATTCTGTGAACCCTTCTTGTGCCGAGTCTGATTTGGCATCGATTTTGAGATCTTTAGAAGATAAGATGTCGCGGGGTAAAACTTGCTCCACAAACTCATCCAAACTCTTGACTGGCGGATCCAAAGCTTTCAACATTTGTTCTGTAGAATCCGCATCAGGGCCAATATGTCGGCGCGTAAAGGTATCCAAAGGAGCATGTACTCCCCTGGAACTTAAAGTCGAAGGCGAATTGATTGTCTCATCCTTTGCAGAGCTTTTGTAGAAAGTTCGTCGTCCAATTGGCTTCAAAACCGTGGCAGAACATGGAGATTGACCAGAGCTCCATGGTCGTGTGATGGTTGAGCTTCTCCATGAAGAACTTCTCGATTGAAGCGCCACTCGAGCAAATCTAGCACGAAGTGCAAGACTTGAGGCAACCATTGTTCTTGAGTTTGCAGAAATCCGCGAAGCTCTTGAACTTGAAGGTTTGGTTGCGATACTTAAGAAATAGAGTCGGTGAATGTGGGAGTGAGCTGTACGAGAAAGTTAAATTCGGGGGAGGGGTCCGGAAATATTAGGAACGACTAGGATTGTTGAGTGCACTGAGTTTCATAAACCCCACATTCAGATAAGGTGATAGAGATAGTCCCAGATATGAGTGAGATATGAGATTTATGAAACAATAGAGGAAAACGACAGTGAGTATAGATTAGATGAAAGGGTGAGGGATGAGTCTCTTTTATATGAAATCTAAAGATTATCTAACTAGTAACTTTTTGTTTAATATCATAGATAGAACTAGAGACGTGATAAGGATTCATGACAAGATAAAGTTCAGTCAAGCCGAAAAAAAAGATTCACTCAAAACAGTGATTGATGAGCCACGAAACCGTTTTCAGTTTAGTGTAGCAAGAAACCTTAAATGTTCTAATTACGCACATGGAAGTAGTAAGCAAATGTGACGGGAAGAAAGATTAACTTATAAAATTCATAATTGTAGTGTGTAAACATCAACTCATCGTCGACCTTAATAGCTCAACACATCTACAATTTCATACACAAAAATGTTCGGAGGACGTAGGTGACATCTTTAAATCATATCTGCGAACTTTTCTAACTTCAATTCTAGCACCACCACCACCATCGGCAGCCGAGCTTAAGGCTCAAGAAGATGAAGCTTCCCTCACCGTGCAACGAGTCATTACATGGTCTATTCTTCTTTATCTTTGTATGTTTTACTCTTTTCTATTAGTACCCTATCTGTACTGACTTTACGATAGCACCTTTCGCCGTCAAGAGCATTCAAAACCTCATCTAGGATTACAAACGAATAATGCATCATGACCTGTACAACATAAGCGCATGAGAAGATCGAGGAGATGTACAATAGGATGGGAACATGCATGGATATAATATACAAGCTGCATATATGAATCGCTGGCATTAGCACTTGTATCCCTTTCGTGCTAGAGAGTAAAAATCTTGAGGATCGAGAGGGGATCCCAGATATACTCCATGAAAGGCTCTAGAAGCGTAGCTCTGCTCTTCAAGGCATCGCAATCGAAGGTGATAGAGGCTATCGAAACGAAGTTACACATTAACAAGAACGTTTTTTGTGATATCCGGAAAACTGCTACTACATACGTCATGCAAGATCATATTTCTGTGAATCTATCATATCAAGTCCATATGAAACAGAAGTTCTCACCCTCTTATGCCCTTCTCCCACCAGTCTCGCCCCGCCTCCCCTTCCATAGACCTTCTAGTCAAGCTTCGGCAGCAACTTCCCCCTGATCTCCTCCACTTTCCTTTTCTGCCCTCCCTTCTCATCAAAATTCTCCGCCCCTAACCACTCCACTAGCGCCTCTTTGACCCCCTCCCACTCATCCACAATCACACTGGCATACCAACTATCCCTCCTTCGTCCTCTCACGACCATATGTCTCCTGAAAAGCCCCTCCGCTACAAACCCCAATCTCTCCGCCGCCCTCTTACTTCCCATATTCTCCGCATTACATTTCCACTCCACCCTCTCATACCCCAACTTAAAACAATACTCCATCAAAACAAAACAAGCTTCCGTCGCCTCTGTAGTCCTCTGCAGTACCTTCGAGAACAACACATGTCCAACCTCAATTCTCCTCTGATCTGGTACAATATTCAACAGACTTATAATTCCCACTGCTTCTCCACTTGGTAAGATGATTGCCCAATTAACAAAGCCAGATTCAGAGTGATTAATAAGCCATGTGAGATATGTTGTGAATTCTTCAATGGTATTAAAGGGTCCGCCGGGCATATACTTATAGAGCATATATTTTTCCGCTCCGCCGACGTGTTTCCAGAGGTCCGGGATGTGATCTGCAGAGAGCGGAACAAGAGAAATGCGATATGTGGTATGGGAAAGGGGAATTAGAGAGGGGAAGGGAGGGGAGTTGGGGGAGACGGTAGGGAAGGTTGTCTCGAAGTCGGCGGGGTAGAGGGAGACGGATGGGATTGGGGGTGGTGACATTTTAAATGAAAAGTTTGCGGAAATCAATTGGTCGCTTGATAGTACAGATGAAGGGTTTTGAATTTCGACATCAAATGAGATCTCTTATCTTTATAGAAAGTTGGTCTTAGAGCTATGAGTCACTTGGCCCCATGGAGAGAAATGATAAGGGCGTAATTATGACATGTGCATAAGCCCAACTTTCAAAATCAATACATTACAGGCAGGTTTTTGCGATTGGTTCGAAGTGAAAGAGAAATTACTACTATTAGTCTGTAATTAAGCTTCCATATTATACAATGTCTATCCTTTTTTTACATCCCAACCAACTCCATGAAGTCTAAAGCACTTCCGATCAAATTAACCATGGGTATTTCGCATCAATCATCGGCCAAATCTTGTCCTCGCTGCTGTTTGTGGTGGTTGCTCTTTTTCCCACTCGACATAATCCTTGTGTACCCTATCCAACTCCTTTTTTAAATGTGCTAATTGAGTTTGATAGTCTTCGAGAATCTAATTTGTGAGTCAGCATCATATCATTACTTCGGTCGAAACTGTGACAATTACCTTCTTGCATCGCGCGGTCATGGTGTCGTCCAAAATCTCCCCATTTTCTTGCCCAACCTTCTCTAGCTCCGTCCTCAATAACCGACCGCGCTCTTGGACGTTGATCATTCGAGCCCAAATCTCCTCTGCTCTGGCACCCAGCGCCGGATCGCTAGCCCCCTTTTCTATCTTAAGAAGCTTAGCTTTCAGATCCTCCTCGTCTCCACTAAGCGCATAGCCTCTGTTTCTTAGAACTTGCACTTTAGTCGCCAATGCTATGCATCGTTGTTTCAACACCATGTGTTTCCTTCTCGCATCCATTGCTCGTATACTCGTCCTCGTGTCGTGATTTTGAAGTAGGTTCGACAAGCTAGCATTGATATCATGTAATCGAATATTAAATGCTGCAAGATGGTTTTGCTGAGCTTTGATCCTGTCGCCCATCATTTGGAAACCGATACATGCGACTGGAATATATCCAGGTCCTGGCTTTTTCGAAAGGGCTTCTTCCCAAGCTCTTGGATCTTCATTGGGTTGTGGTTGATAAAATGGTGCTTCGTCCACACCAACGTTATTGTAGAAAAAATATTGGAAGGCACAGTCCTTGCTTCCTGTATCCCATTTACCCACAACTGTTTCAATCTGGTCTATCACACTCTTTTCTCCTACATCAAAATTAGTTCGCGCTTTGAATGAGTCTCGAGAGGTACGTACGAGGTTTTAGTCCACTTGTATTTGTAAACAAAGAATTTCCAAATTGTCCTTGTGACTGGCCCAAAGCTTGCGATGATTGCGTCTGCCCAAATAAACCAGTCTGTTGCTGTGATCCTCCTCCCAGGATTGTATTTTGCTGCTGCTGGGCCGCTTGCTGCTGCGCTCCCATAGTCTGCCCAGAGAATAATCCTCCCGGTTGTTGCTGCTGCGGCTGTTGTGCATTTGCTCCGAATAATCCTCCCCCTTGAGGCTGATTCTGTTGAGTGCTTCCACCGAAGAGTCCGCCAGTCTGTTGTTGATTTTGTTGAGTATTTTGCCCTGCGCCGCCGAAGAGCCCTCCTCCCTGATTTTGAGCTCCCGTAGTTGTAGTCGAGCCAAATAATCCTCCTGGCTTTTGCGCAGTATTTGTAGATCCAAATAAACCACCTGAGGGTTGTGCGGTGTTTGTTGACCCGAATAAACCTCCGCCAGCTGGCTGGCTTTGACCAAAAGTACTTCCAAACATAGCTTGTTTTTTTATGCGTCCGGGATTATTGGAGTGTCGAAATAGAATCACTGAAGGAAGATGCAAGTAGCCTCGAGGTGATTGCGGTACAATGGATAATTGCAGCTACTTGAAAAATACTGACCTTGCGAACGCGCTTGATAATATATTATTGGGACTGTAATATTTTATCGGATATACGTTGCGGCAATTTAGTTTTTCTAAGCTAAAACATGAACAATAAAATTAATTGGCGAGATACTGTTCAATGTTGAAGCTGATACAATATTTTTCACAGGGTGAAAGGTATAGAGAGTGAATTCTTATTTTGCTGGAACATAAATTCGTTGTCGGGACGAAGCTCTTTTGATCGATCGCGACTGCTGAGAGGTCGGCTGATGAGCCAATCAACTTCCGCGTTTTTGACTTGACCTTAAAGCTTCATACTGCATTGAACCTCCAAAACACTCAATTACGGGCTTTGCGAACCCAGTATCTCCTCACAACATATCTCAAAATGGCTGCCCGTCAACCTAGGTATATTTTTAGGCTTACAAAATACCATACTTATACCTGATGCTAACCGCGATCACAGATTCAATCAGCAAGTCTTGATTGACACTACCCCATTACCTGCGGATATTCCGCCCGTCACAGAGATTGGTAGCAGTTCGGCGCCATTATTGTCCGCCAGTTTCTTTATCGGCGCAAGATGCAGACCCTACAATGACGATTTCATGCAATGCAAGAACGACAATCCTGGAAAGGGAGAGATTGATTGTTTGAAGGAGGGCCGAAGAGTTACCAGGTGTGCGAGGAGCGTGTAAGTGCTACTCCTTCATGAGATTGCGGATGTGGAACTTCAAACATCAATGGAGGGGTTTGGGATTTGGAGCAAAATCTGGCTGGATACTTGTGTTCTACCAGTGGAACTGTAGACTAATCGCCAATCATAGGATTGAAGATGTGAACAAACACTGTCTTGAGGAATTCAGAAAACACTGGTAAGTTACACTCTACGGGCTTCGGATGCGATGGAATTGTCATATCTAATAATGTTGTAGGAAATGCCTCGATAACAATAACCAGCAACTATGGCAATGTCGACCACAGGAGTGGAAGCTCAATAAATGTGTCTTTGATAATCTGGTGCGTCATGTCGCTAAACTGGGATGAAGGGCAACTACTAATCATCTGTGATGTTCATAGAAAATTGAAAAGGTTATTCCAGATACCCCCGCAGGCGAAACCCCTGTGCATCTACGTAAAAGACAAATTTACGCGCATTACGGCCCATGAACTGTTCATGTGGCATCGTAAATTGGTGGAGGTGAGGCGCTATCAGGACATGTATGTACATATGATAGATGAATGCATCAGAAAATTTGGGAACCTCACCGTGTCTATCTTCAGTCTTGGTGCGCTCACAGAGCTTTGATAATCAGGCCATGATCAGAGCAGAGGTGTTGTTTTTTTGGTTGCTTGATGACGGCACCAAGAACATACATAATACATCCTGCTCTGATTGCTCACCAAGAACTTGGAATTGAATCTCTTCGCCAGTGAATCTACGTTCCAATTTCGATTCGGAATTAGCCTCTTATCATGCCAGCGAAAGCTATACTCTTGACAGCATCCTTTTTTTTGGGGTAGAATTTTGACGATCTTTCTCGACATCCATCCACTCACCTTACTACTATTTACTTACTGATACTTGCCTGCACATTGCACCGTAATGCGCTCTATCTTACACATCTGTTTATTTTTCTCCAACTGCTTCTGCTCCTAAGGGCTACTTCGGGCACTAACATATCTCGCCTCCACTGCCGATTCCTCATGTTCATAGGTTCACCTTTGGACTCCATCCAAATTAATCCATATTGAACCTGCAATCCACTATTGAACAAATAGTATACTAGTGACTTATTTCTTACCTTCGATTATCTCAACACCTTCTCTAACAACAACAACAACTCCAACTCAATACCTTTAACTTCCTTTAAACAACCTTTGAAAGGGCCAAACCTTGAGCTCATGAAAACTCTTTTATTCGCAAAAAGCAGTTACCTTAAACAAGATCAAACCGGCAGAAGCAAAATTCGAAGGTGAGGAATGCTCGTTGGCGCTCTCCAGACTTAAAACTTACACTCACACTAAACAGCGATGCGATCCCCATCACCAAAGGTCGAAGACCAAGGTTCTGATCCGTTTATAACACCAGAACCACCCACGAAAAAAGCGCTTCCTACGCTGTTATGGCAGAGGATCGGTGAAATGCCACTTGTGCAAAAGGTGAAGATTGTTGAAGCTGCTTCTCATTTAGGCATTGCAGCTTTGAATGACATGATGAAGATTATGAGCCACTACGAGCAGTCTGACCCAGCTGTGAAATTTGAGATCTTATCATTAAGTAAGGTTTCTTTACAATCTCAGCCTCTTTTCGGACGATAGATTGCTGATAAAAAACATAGGAAAGGTTTTGGAACAGAAAAAAGAGAATCAAATTTACATCGGTTTTCTCGGTTGCAGTGGAGCTGGTAAATCCTCGTTGATCAATGCACTTTTATATGAGAGGAATATTCTACCGATCAGTCATGAAGAGGCTTCTACGTCTGTCATTGTTGAGATTTCTTACAACACCAGATCGGACTATCAATATGTTGCAGAGGTGCTACCTATTGAGGAGAGTGAAATCCCAAAAGAGCTTGAGCAGCTCTTTGAGGATAAGAAAGCCTGGGATGCCCAAGAAAGGGAAGAAGACGATGAATTAGACCCGGAGCTCAAGCAACGAATGGACTTCACATTTGACAAATACAGTTGTGTCTTCAAGAAGTTAAGGTCGCTAGATGCGCTCAAGGGTCTTTCTGTGGAAGAGCTCCTAGAAGACCCAAATGCCAAGAATATGTTGGGACAGAGAAGAATAATTGAGAATAGTAATCTCAGGGAGTTTGCTAAGAGCATCAAACCATTCATCGACAAGAGCAAGCAAGTTGGAGATGGGTTTGCGTACTCACTTTGGCCCCTTGTGAAGGTTGTCAAGCTTTATATAAAGACCGACATTCTCAAAACTGGCATCGTACTTGTCGACTTACCAGGAAGCCATGACACGAGTGCAGCAAGATCACAAATGGCCGCGCAGTATATGAAAAACTTGGCTCTGTGCTGTGTTACTGCGGATGCCAAACGAGCCGCCACAGACAAGGGGGCTAAAGATACACTCAATGATGTTCGGCGCCGTACCATGCAGCTGGATGGGCTTTATTTGAAAGATTCAATCTTCTTCATAATTACTGCCATAGACGCATCAATTGAACCGGATACATACATCCCCGATCATCCTGAATTGGATAGCGCTATCTTAGAGGATGTAAAACTTAGCAATAGCTACAAAGAAAGCATCACTCAACTTGACAATGAGTTGAAGGAGAAGGACTCGAGAGCTAGAAAACTAGAGAAAGTCATACAGCAATGCGATGAAAGGTTAGCGGGACTAAAAGCCCAATTCGAGCAGATCATCAGCCAGGGTGGCGCTCAGAATCAAAACAAGAAGCGCAAACGAGGCACAACTCCATCAGGTATGCTATTTTTCTCATATCTTTATGTGTTTACAGAAACTAATTGTTAAAGCTGGTCCTGCAGCTTCACCAGAAGATCACAAAGCGGTCAAGTACTATCTCTCTTTGCAGAAGTTGCGTGCCGAACATCACGATGATCTCAACAAAGTAAACATTGAGTCATTGAAAATGCACACTAAAAAGGAGAGTTATACCAAGGTGAAGCTGAACGCAGACTTTCGCATTATGAATCAATGTATTGCGAATCGTAAGAAATTCCAAGTTGAGGTTATCACGAAGGACTACGAAACTACGCGAAAGGAAATTAGTGACAAGAAGTCTCATAGGCCTTTGCCTGTACATTGTGTCTCTGCTGTAGCATTCAAGCACCTGGTTGATGGGAATGAAGCCAAGGCAATGGAGAAAGGATTCAAAACTAAAGCCGATACGGGAATCCCGGGTTTGCGGGACGGGCTGATCTCAACTACTTGGGAGCCTCGCCTCAAAAATGGGCTTGCATTCAATGAGGAGCTTCACAATGCTTTTGCCCGGTTGGAAAAGTGGTTAGAAGATACAACAGCATCTTTTAAGATGACCGCTGAAGAGAGACTACAATTGGATGGAAAGATAGCTCAGGTTTCAAAGAATATTGATGAGGTAAGCTTTGCCCCTTCATAAGAAGTCTTAAGACTAACATTGTACGCGAAGAGTTTTGCTCAGTTGCATATCACCACCGGCAAGTCGGCAGAGCAATTGATTGAAAAGCGTCTTCTCAGTGCCTTTTCAAAGATCTCCAAGAAAGCTGCTGCCAAACTTAGGAAGAGAGTAACAAAAACCGTGTGGGTCTCCAGACCAATAATTTGGAGTACACATCGAGCTCTTAACAAGAATCATGGGGTATGGAAGAGCTCTCATGCTGGCTTGTTCGATTGGAATGAGGAAATGTGCGTGTTGCCCGTCAAGTCTCTTGTTTGTTTACTAACACAAATCAGTCACGGCGAGTTTGTTGATATCATTAAAAAGGGATGGGCACAAACCTTTCATGTGAACATACCTACGGTGGTTTCGGAATACATTCAAGAAGTCGAAAAGCGACTCGCTGATTATGCGGACAATCTCCTGTCTGCAGCATTGGGCATCTCGCCCTCACTACGTGAAGCCTTTGAGTACCTACACGATAGTGTTCTCCGAAATGTACGTCGACTTAAGATGAGAGCCGATGATGTTTTCGCGAATTTTGACACCGCGGCGAAAGATGCATAGAGATTGGTCAAGCCAATCTGTGAAGAGGCTTGGATGGCTGTCTATGAAAAGTGTGGCGCTGAAAAGGGTAAGTGATTCATTACAATTTGTGTTGCAATGATCATATCTAAACATTAGAACAGGTAAGGGTCTTTATGCCCGCAACAAAGCTACGCATAAGAAGCACTTGAATGGCCTTGGAGGCATAGCTATGTATAAAGCCTGCTGTGATCAATTGGAAACTGCTCTCCGAAGTATGTGTGGAGATCTCCACAATCAATTCGAGGAGAACTACAAAGAGATCATGCAGGAATTCAAGGACGAAATGACTGCTACTCTCGATCAACACACCATGGGTGGAGATCGCAGAAGCAATAGGCAGAGAACCTCGTTGACGAAGGTCAAATTACAGAAACTCCTTCCAAGCAGGATCGAAGCTCTTTACAAAGACTGGCAAGCCGAGCCTTCCGATGAGCCCAAGGAAGACAAGATGAAGCCAAATGATGCAAAGCTCGACAGTGACCGAACCGAAGCAGACGAAGAGCTGTTCCTGATATCGATGATCTTATGAAGGATCGCAATTTCGATGCGGAATCAGACGCTGATGACTCGAGCAGCGATGAATAAATCCTTCTGCAGGTAGCTTATCTTCTGCCTTTTCCTGTTCATCCCCCAGTTCTCAATCTCGCAGTCCGCAGCATATTTTCCATCTGTTCCCCTATTTCGCATCACTCTGCATCAGCCGAGCTTCCCTGCCAGCGAGTACAACTTCTTATCAGAAGATCGAAAACTGCCATATTGCTCCGCTATGCATTCATGCACTCATGCACATTTATCAGCACGCAAGTATCAAATATTCATTATCTCACAAAGTCACGAATCCACGGCCTAACGAACAAATCGCACTATCAACATATTCTATTCCCAGATCATTATGTTTATTCCCAGATCATTACGTTTACCCCCAGATCATTAGATCAGGCATTCAGCATCGATATCAGATAGCGGACAACTGGATATCCACAGTTTCATAATTATATTCTTATTTCCAGATCTGCGTTGGCAGATGGCGACAGACATGATCTCATATCATTTTCGTTGCTAATTTTCTTTCTCTCCTTAATTCTTTAGTTGTCTAGCTGCTAATTCAAAATTGATAAACATCAATCTTGCTGCCCATGTAAAATCCGATTGTGATACACTGAGTATGATATGATGCGAGGCGAGTTATGTGTGATGTAGACGCCACTATATGAGTGTGAAAGTATTCCGGGAAGAGGGAAATATTGTTAGAAGAGAGTAATATGATGGGGGTATATTATGCATCTGGTATACACCAAAAAATGGAGAGGAAATGGAATGATTCTCAGGGATTTCATTCAAAATTTTGGTGTGAGCCGGGACTACGATGATGTCAAGATTATGGAATATAGCTAGCTCGGTAGATTCGCCCCTGAATACGGAATTGTAAAATATATAATACGTAGGAGCACATGCAAGCACACCAAAAAAAGTCGAGAATCGCTAGAAAGGTCATGAAGTTTCATTCTATATCTAATTGTTTTTCCCCACTACGCCCCATCGTGTACAAGTACAAGATTCTAAACTCTAAGCAAGGTTCTTGGCATCACCCTCCTTGAGCTTACCAGCACCAACCAATCTCTTGACCTCCTCGCTCCAGACATTCTTGATTTCATCAGCGATCTTCAAACCGTTGAGCTTGCCAGCCAAAGCAGCGCACTCATCAGGATCGATCTTGCCTTGAACCAACTCAACATCGTTCAAAACACCGTCAATAGCAGATGCAGGTGCATCTCCACTTCCGACAAAGTAGTTGGCATCCTTGACACTTCCCTTTAAGATACGTCTGTTCTTCTTGACAGCTGCCTTAGCGGCTTCCTTGGCCTTCTTTCCTTGCTCCTTGTCGGCCTTAGCCTTCTCCTCAGCTTCCTTGGCTTCCTTCTCGGCAGCCAATTTTTGAGCTTCCTTCTCAGCCTTAGCCTTGGCCTCGGCTTCCTCTCTCTCGAATCTCTTCTTGTTCTTCTCCTTGCTTGCTTCTTGTCTGAAACGCTTGATACGCTCATCAGCAGCGGAAGCATCATCCAACAACTTTCTTAGACGAGCAGAATCCTCGGTCTTCTTCTTCTTACGTGCGTTGTTGTTCTTACGCTCCATGTGTCTTTTTTGATCACGATTTTCGTTGTCATCTGGAACATCCTCATCTTGGTATTCGAACGATCTCCATGAATCGAAGTTGTAGAAGAAGTTGTAGAAATTCTCGACCTCCTCCTTGGAGCTGTTGATATCACCAAACTTGGGGACTGGCTGAACCTTGGAGAAACGACCCTCGGCCTTGAAACATGAGTTCCACTTCTTGTAGAAGAGTTTCTGGTCCTTTTGGTCTTTCTTGGATGGTGGTGCAACATCGGCGGCTTCGTCGACGGAATCGAATTGGCGACGCTTGACGGGATCGAGGAGGAGATCGGTGGCCTTTTGAATGCACTTGAAGAAGTTATCATCTTCGGTGGCACCGGTGGCGGCTCTCTTATCAGGGTGATGCTTCAAGACCTTCTTTCTGTGTGCTTTCTTGATTTGATCTTCTGTAGCCTTGTATCTGTATTTGCTGAGACCGAGAACAGCATAGTGATCTTGGTTCTATTAATCGAGTATTAGCAAAAGTATAGTGGGGTGGGCAGATATTTGAATTTACCTTCCAGTCCTTAGCATCTCTGGACAACATCATTGGGTCCTCAGCTTCGCTGATCTCACCAAGATCATCATCTTCGACTTTCTTGACGTTGTTCTGGGCTTCGAGACGATCATCCTCGGAAAAGGTACGCTTGTGACGAGCTCTGCGGGCGTGAGCGAGAAAATGAGGACCAACAGGCTCAAGGCTTCGTTGAGTCGCAGCAGAAACGCTACCAACGGCGTTGAAATCCTTCTCGGCGGACCATCCTTCTGGGAGGACTGGGAGAGGTAAAGCGACTTGAGTATGGGACGCCATTTTTAATTATTGAATGCTTTACTTACAAGTTGGAGGGGAGAAAGAAAAGGCTAGAATGCTAGGATCGAAAAAATTGTTCGCTAAATTCACCGCCCTTATTTTATGCCGCGCAGCCGCCTGTAGATAACACTTGCTTGCGACTCCAATCATGTATGCTCTCCACATTCAACATCCAAGTAGAACCCAGAATTCGATCTCAAATCATTCCCATGAAATTTTGATGCTATTGTCTAAAAATTTCATACTTACCCAGCTTGTTTTCCAATGTGTGTCATATTTTTGGGACTTGTTTCAATGCTCTAGAAGTGCGAATAGAAGTTTACAAATTTGATGTGCATTATTGGCTACGGCCAAGGGCGCTCAACCAGCAACTTCGATGTCAAACTACATGCTACTCTCAGATCTTAGATCAAAAAGAATTGGAAAAACTGACTTGATTGATTGTATAGTAAACCATGTAGACTGTTTGAATAACATCCTCTGCGTCGAATATTCAATGCTATTTCAAGAGGCCTGATGGTGGACTAAAAGAATGCTTAGCTAAGCAGACCAAAGTCTTTCACCAAGAGATCTTCAATAATGTGCTTGAACGGAATTCCTGCACTGTATTGAGATCACGCTGCAACAATTTCCTTGCGATTCTTAACAGAGATCCCAGTCTTTTATCTCCCTCACAGTATTCGAATTTAGTCTCCCATTTCATAGAAGATAATTCTTGTTGAGGCCAATCTTTTGAGTCTCCCGCTAGTATTTGATCAACCTCAGTTATCTCCTCGCTCTCGTTTGTAGCCCTAGGCTCCATTTAACGAACTTCTGCCAAAGTTTTTAAGGTGCGTGGTTTAGCTCATGTCTCTTCTCCTTCTCCTCCTCCAGCTTTTCGTTCTCGCTTGTTATTTTCACTCTTTTCAAGTTTATGTTTTTGAGACCCTATTCACGGGGCATTTCATCGCTACTTGCCAGGCGGTTCCTTGGAATGTGAAACGTCGGGACATATCCCCAGTTGAAAACATATGTCTTCTTATTGTGATGCGTGTTCAGATACCAATATCTGAGCTGCAGCTTTCCTGTCTAGTCGCATCCTCATATTTCTACTGAAACGTTTTCGGATGCGTTTTTGGCGGACCTCTTCATCAAGGCCTACCCAAACGGTGGACGGTATGGCTTGCGGCTCTCTAGTAACCATAGCTAGACTGGGTTTCTCAAAGCTTTCAACTTCTGTTGAACAGCTTAGTGTTGTTTGACAATCCATTGGGAGACACGATTTAGTTTCATTGTGTTCTTCAACGAATTCGCACTCTACTTGAGGAGCTAGGCTTCTTAAATTCAAACTTAGACTTTCAGATGAAGGACTCGAGCAAGTTGTGCATGTGCCTTCTTTTTTTTCGCGTCATGCCGTGGTGCGGGAGGCCTGAGAAACCCGTTTGGACGCCGTAGATTTGAATGCCTGCTCTTTAATGTCGTTGGATGTCCTTGTCGGGCTCATACACAGTCTAGATATAGTCCCGAACATAGCTTTTTCTCGGGCGTTCGGTTTTGTAGACGAGATGTTTCCTTTCCTAGAAGTCCGGTGGTTGCGTTGCCTTTGATCCACACTGTCTATCGTATCGCTGTTCCATGCCTCGGGTAAAGTGAAAAGCCCTGGAGAAGTTGCAGTTCCGCTGCAATCTTTAGAGTCTGGATGTACCCATGTAGTTGGAAATATCCTTCTAGTGTTAACAACTTTGTTACGTGGCTCGTATACCTCTCCAAAGCATCTCATAACCTCCGCGGTTTCGAAGGCTGCACTATAGCCTGCATCGGGTAGTATCGTTGACCTCTTTACGTCTATATCTTCTGATCCATGGATAGAAGTCGCAAGATGCCTGCTTTTCGACACAAAGCTAGGTGTGGCACAGTTCCACTTAAAATTAGTCTTTGGGGTAGTCATCATCGCCCAAAATGAGACTGACAAAAAGATATATCGCTGTCGTTTAATTTTGTCAAAGGATAGAAGTATGCTGACCAAAATATACTATGTAGCTTTACAAACATCAAAAGCCATGGCGTTAGCAGCTTACAGACATCTTCTCCGTGCGACTCGAGTCGCATTCAACGGTTCGTGCTTTCCTGTCCATCTCACAACGAAGGTTTCAAGAGCAACCAGTATCTAACCCCCTAGTAGAAGATATCGCGGTCCTTACCTCCGCGCGCAAACAAGCCCGTAGCACTTTCCTCGCCAACCGATCTCTCGCTCCCGAATCACCAGAATCTATAGCTGCCATTGCGCATGCGGAAGATGTTGCGCAATTCTTGAGGCGAAATGTGGTCCAGGGACAGAAAGCAGAGGGGGATGAAAAGTATAGTAGGTCAAAATCTTCACATGATGGTGAGACCAAAATCAAACTAACAGATCACAGAGTTAAACATCCACGAAGATACGGAACGAGGAGATAATGATACGATCAAGATGCCCAATGGAAAGAATGTTACCATTGATGGGAAGACGTGTAAGGACTAGCATATCTGAGGATACATTGGTTTGTGAAGACATTGAGACTTGGGGGCAGAAAAGTGGATATGTAAATATAGGACATCGGGGCAATAATTGAGAGGGCCAAAAGGGTGAATTGCATAGCGAGGACGTTTTACAGACAGGTTGACACAGAGCAAGATGGGTATATGTCGAGACCATAGAGGTCATAATTGTCATTATATGCAATGTATTTCTAGACATACAGAGAGCACTCCACTTCCCAGACCCTTTGACTTCCCAACTCCCAAACACCCGAAAGAACAGTTTCCATTCATCAAACCTCTTAAGTACCGGCCAAACTGGCATATTGCACGTCGCCTGCACCGGGTGGAGCAGGAACTGCCGACATACTAGCCAAATCGTCCCGAGGAGCTGCAACTTGCGAAGCACCACCCTCAATCGCTCTTCTCTGTGAACTCGAACTCGAACTCGTAAACGCGGATCGTCCTTCCCTGCCAGTAGCTATGCGCTCATCTTTATCCATGGTACCAATAGGTCTGGGTCTTCCCCACTGTACCCTCAATGGGCAACCTGCAATTATAGCTTTTCCTTGTAAGGCTTCTGCTGCGGCTTCGGCTCCTTCTCTCGTCGCATAATTGATGAACGCGCAATGTGACATGTGCGAACAGACCAATGATCTTAATTTCCCGTAGAGCGAAAAGAAATCCCTAATCTTATATTCTGGCAAGTCATCTTCAACACCAGTAACAAAAAGCGAAGTTATTGATTTGTCGGACGGTGGTAAGATATCTTGAGGCCCTGGTGGTAATTGCGCCGCGCTAGGGAAAGCTCTCCCTCCTCTGGCCCCGCCTCTACCACCCCGACCAGCACCCCTGTTCGGTTGTCCATCTCGTGTTCGGATCGGCCCCGGTCCCTTGGTTGCCAATGCTATTCCCTTCTCATTTTGACTTCCATTTGCAGCATCGCTAGCACTACCTTCCCCATCCGTAATCATCTTTCTCCCCTTTCTGAAATAAGGCTGACTGTTTGCCAACCTCCTTAGAAGTTCTCTGGCCTTCTCATCCGTCTTCTCATACTCTTCCATTCCCTTCCCCTCCTCAATTTCCTTCTCATGATTCTGCGCATAGTATTCTCTGTTGACCTCACTCTGCGGTCCCGGCGCAATCATCTTCAATGCCGCATCTCTAACCACTATCGGCAATCCAAAACTCAAATCCAACATACAGCATTGACAACAATTCTTCAATCGCGCGCATGTGAGACAGATATTGGTGCGTTTACTACGAGCTGTACGATCGGCTTTCCATTGGAAAACGGTGAAAGGTCGCGTGCAAAGTTTGCATTCTTCGCCGTGGTCCTGTTTAATCATTTGTACGAAAGGGTTATCGGGAAGACAATTTTCGCAGACGGAGGGGAAGTCGGTGGTTTCCCATCCGGAGCGATTGAGATCTTGTTTGATCTGTGGTGGCATGATTCAGGAGTGTATGTGTTATTATTATGTTTGTAGGAAAATAGTGTCGATAATGTGTGATTAAAAGTGTCTTTTGCGACAAAGTGACGTTGATATTGTGATGGCTTGATAATAGAAGCTAGGAAAGGCTGAAGAAGAGGCGAATAAATTCGAAATGCGGAATTTGACTAATGCAGTTGGACATTGATACACGTGATAAGGCTGACAGGTAGCCTTACAAACCAAAACAGTAGACATCTTTCCCTTTTCCTTCCCAGCAAATATGATCTCTCCTCCTCTCTCAATGCTGTATACCTTTCAGTCTATTTCCCAGTCTTATTATTACATGTGAATAACGGTCTACCATGATAGAATAGAAATCCTCATTCTGAACCTTCATTCACCGTTTCTTTTCACTACCGGTGTATCCAAAAATGCCAACGATTTTAGCACCCAGCCTTTCGAGTCTAATCTGCACAATTTGCTGTCCCGCCGCCTATCGAAAGTTCCCCATTCATGGGTGAGGCTCAATGACCAATTAGAGGCTTGAGACCCCTTACATTTATCACTTCAGGCCTAGTACACGAATACGATTCGCTATCCGCCTAGGGGTAACTAAATTACCCTGGCCATAATTTCAATGGTGTTGATAAATATCTATCAGAAATTCCCCTTTCTTCGATAACCCAAATTTCCAACCATTCCAATTAACTTTACTTTACCTTCATTTAATTCTTCAAAATTCGATCAACTCGAATACCGCTTTCTTTAAAATAATACGTCTTCTAATTTACGAATTCATTAAATATTTACAATGGCTCCAACCAAACTTGAGAACGAGGATCACTCCCGCGATGCTGCTTTCAACAAAGCCATGCATAAGGATTCATCCAATGCTGAGGGTGGTTTCCGTGCTATGATGAAGAAGGACTCTTCAGCGCAAAAGGCTGCTGTTGATGAATACTTTAAGCATTGGGATAACAAGGCTGCTAAGAACGAGACCAAAGAGGACAGAGATGCACGCGTTGCAGAGTATGCTACTTTGACCAGACAGTCAGTTATTCCATTGATCTAGAGAAGACTCAATGCTAATGTATGTATAGTTACTACAATCTCGCAACTGATCTCTACGAATATGGATGGGGACAATCTTTCCATTTCTGTCGTTTCGCATACGGTGAACCTTTTTACCAAGCCATTGCCCGTCACGAACATTACCTCGCAGCCAAAATTGGTATCAAGGATGGTGACAAAGTTTTGGATGTTGGATGTGGTGTCGGTGGACCAGCAAGAGAGATTGCCAAGTTCACTGGAGCACACATCACCGGTTTGAACAACAATGATTATCAAATTGAGCGTGCGACCCGATATGCGGCAAAGGAGGGTATGTCCGATCAATTGAAGTTTGTCAAGGGAGATTTCATGGTATGTTCTTTTTTTTTCAAGCCACGGAGATTTGTGGAGTCTGTACGATGCTACGCAATTTTAAAGTATTTGCTACTTCAGAGCTTGAGAGATCAAGCCATGAGACAATTTTCACCATATACACCGATAAAGACTTTGCATATCTTCATTGGCAACGTCTTCTCTCTTCTGGATCATAACTAATAGGGGGGGTTTTTTTTTTTCAGCAAATGTCTTTCCCAGAGAACTTTTTCGATGCTGTTTATGCAATTGAAGCAACTGTTCACGCCCCATCCCTCGAAGGTGTTTACTCTCAAATTTTCAAAGTTCTCAAGCCAGGTGGAACTTTCGGTGTCTACGAATGGCTCATGACCGATAAATACGATAATGACAATGAACATCACCGTGAGATTCGTCTCGGTATTGAGCAAGGTGACGGAATCTCCAACATGGTCAGGATTTCTGAAGGTATCGCCGCTATCAAAGCCGCTGGTTTCGAACTCGTACTCAATGAGGATTTGGCCAAGAGACCAGATGCTACTCCATGGTATTACCCTTTGGCTGGTGAATTCAAGCACATGGGTACCATTGGAGATTTCTTCACTATTGCCCGTATGACCAAGATTGGTCGGGGATTGACACACAAATTTGTTGGTGCTTTGGAGTACTTGAAGTTAGCACCACATGGAACACAAAAGACAGCTGATTCATTGGCTTTGGCTGCCGATTGTTTGGTCGCTGGTGCTAGGGAAGATTTGTTCACCCCTATGTATTTGATGGTTGCAAGAAAGCCTTTGGCATAAGGTTGGGGCGTTTGTTTGGATTTGGGGTGGGGTTGAGTGATCATGAACTAATGCGTTTGTGATTCCTTATACAAGACATATATTGGCTGAAGCTTTTCTCTTACTACGGCACTGGACTTGATGTTTGGGATGAGAATATCTTGATCCAAAATGGAAGCTGGAACGATACCTAGCATGTGCATATTATAGAACGATTGTAATACTTACGAAGAATATAAAGATAATAATACAATACACAATTTTCTCTTCGAATTTGAATGTGAAGTGAGGCTTCCGTAAAATGCAGCTTGCTAGTCGACTCGACTTCAGTCTTATACATTGGGGGAGTGAAGAAGAGGAACGTAGTGGCGTCCCTGCATTCGCATCTCTTTTTCAACATCAATATGAACATTGTTGTGCCTATATATCCCGGCTACATTCTCCTGAGTTATTCTAGACTTGTTTCATGCAATGCGCAAAACCATACCTAGGTATTCCTTGATATTCAACTCCTCTCGGCTCTTGGAAAAGGGTGGAGTGATCGTACACCATGGGCAGTAATACTGAACTGCTGGAGAATATGCGTTAGATGATAGGGAGGGTATATACTGTATGTTGCATGCTGGTATTGCGGATACACTTTTTGGGGGGTGGTGAGGAATGTGTTCTTTTATGTTTCTAGTGGAGTATGTGGTGTGCATTTTCTTTGGAGGGGGGGATGGGGTTTGGGAGGGAAGTGGAATACGTGAGAGGTGATCATTCGAGATGCAATTGGATGGCGACTGTAGATTTGTAGAAGTGATATGGGTTTGAGATACTGCATTTGGGTCATGTAATCATGTTTTCTTTCGTGAACACCTTGCTTTAACATATGATGAAAGATGAGGTTCAGATTAGTGTTCTGCGTGATCTGAACGAAGCGGGAAGAAATCAAGTGATTTTTCCGCGCCCTGGATTTGGTGCAGGCATTCATTTACCTTTTGCAATTCGGGAGAGTTTTTTTTTTTCTTTGCAAAAGCACAGATCTGAAGGACTTGAACGAGTTGCAATGTGGACGTGTCGAGAGAAACAAAGTGGAAACGATGCTTGGCCCTGTGCCCAGTCGCAAAGTTTCTATGTACAGAATTTCATAGGGGGAGCAATTGTGGAGTTGTGGTTTCTAGAGATATTTGTGCATTCTCGCTTTAAGTACTAGTACAGTAGTACTACAAGGCGAGAAATGGATTGTTTGGGCACGTCAAGACTTGTCATGAACTTGTTCTTTAGTACTCTGAAGTACGCATGAAAGAGATCTCGATATTCTTGCGTAGTTGCAATATGCGTAGGAACTTGAGGGGTGGTGGCATGAATATTTGGCTGCTAATGCCGAAAATTAATTGGGCAATACAATACAGTCGCCTGTCTGGATTGGTTGACGAAGATGTATACTTGGCGAGAAATAAAGATTGAAGAAAGGCAGAGTAATTCATGCGTTCATCTGTTCATGCCATGACTCTACGACATCATAGTCTCACGAAAAATGACGATTCATGGAGTAATTCTTTTCGCAGTTCATCGCTCAAGCTACCGCTTTATGGCATGATTTGTGAATGATTCCTCAAGCTTAACCGCCATTCTGATTTTAATTTCCAGTATTCATCTGCAGTGTTTAAATCTAGCTTGGAATTTCTCGCTACAGATTTCACTCCTATTTGTACGCTCGAGGCGATGAGTAGTCTCACACTCCGAAGTATCAAATTGGCAGATAGACTAGACGTAGAAGCCTGCGATGCTATGATCCTCTGAACACAGATCAATATGTCACTAGAATCTAAAGTTTGCAATGATCGGAGTTTCCCAAGAAGTCTAATATTTAGTTCAAGAGGAGTGCGCATCCCAAGGGAGTAAAGTCCTTCCCGCCGAACTAGAGGTCCCAGTTATATTTACTCGTAAGTATCAAGAATCTCGCGCTGTTGGACTTTAACATCCGATTATTGAACCCCTCACAGAACATCAATGGCTGAAATCCTCATATCAAGTAATTATTTTCGGTGAATTTCCCAGTCTATCAATCTCGTTTTGGATCTTGTATTCTTTCACTTAGTCGGAACACAGAATTAGATAGATGCACAATCAAATACAGGTCAACACTGGTCTTCACTGACCTCATCACCAGATATCACATTTGATTACTGAAATGCTATAATACTAAATCTCATATACCAAGAACCACAACAATAAAAGGGAACCCTTCCAATAGCTTCATGAGAGGAAAGCGCTTATTTGAAGTATGATCTAAATTTAGGATACAAAAATAACAGCAGATCTAAAGCAATCATTATCTTGCCCTATGGAGGAGAGAATTGTTAACTCTATATGATTTCCTGATCCGACGAGCTCGCTGCTATTGCTACTACGCACTTCCTACACTACACCTCTCATACAACTTTCAAAGTTCTCCCACTCCTCGAACACCAAACCCCCTCCAAATAAAACTCCCTTCAATCTGAAGTTCAAAAAACCAGAACACACACACACACACTCCCATCCCATCCCACAAACAAACAAACAAACACCCAAGAGTGAATCTCAGCCCTACCCCTCGCCCCCAACCAACAAATTACAACCCAAATATTACACATCTGCTCCATCTCGAAATTGACATCACCTAAGTTATCCCCACAACCAATAGATATCCTCGCGCAAAGAAATTCGATCTAAATACCAACTAAAATACCAAAATAGTCTATTCACTATACACTAGCCATAGGAACTAGTATTCCCAAACCCTAGTATAAGTGAATCTGGGTGGATCTAATCCTATTCTAGATTCTCAATGGCAATTTGTTGCACGTCTGAACGATCTCGAAATTGACGTCATGAAGTTATGAGGACCAATGAGATGGCGAGCGCAAAGGATTTCTGAGGTTTCGAGGGAGCTAGTTACTAGGAGGGTAAGCTAGTGTTGATTAGAAGTTACTACTTTGTCATGATGAAAGTGAATTTATCGTTTTGCTTTCAGCCTTAAGGGAAAGGTTAATGGTGATTATGATATGACGGGTATGATAAGATGAGTATTAAAATGTCTCTAATCGCTTGAGCCAATATTTAATACTTACATAGTAAGAAATGAGAGGACTGAGAAAGCGCTCACAAGTATATAGCATATGTACAGAATTGTCTTCAGAATGGATATGTTTTCATTGTTAACGGAGCTAGAATCTATGCTATCGATGAGTTCCTAATTTCCATCATGGTAATAGAGCACCATTTCCGTACTGCATCATCTACAGTATTCTCAATCGTCTTTTCCGAGGAAATCAAACTTTCCAACTGGTACGCCTTCCTTTCTACACACACACCCACGTTAGCATGTCTTCCAAAATTCCTTATCAAAATTTCTCCGCCTAGTCATCTTTCTCTCTCCAGGGAACATGGATGTATTGAAACATACCTCAAAATGTTGTAAGCAGTAACGACATGGAAGTAGAAGTTTGGAATTGCAAAGTTAAGAACATAGTCCTTGGCAGTGAATTTAAGGTCTCCACTTGGGAGCTTCAATACTACCTCCGTATCTTCCTTGCCATCTGTAGAGGTAGAGGGAACGGCCTCGAGAATCTCGATTGTGCGGTTGATGCGGGTATAGAGAGCGGCGAACTGTAAAGGTTGTTAGAATGATGGAATCTCGTATGGTCGAGGACTTGATGGATAAACGAGATAGGGAAATTGAGATGCGGCAGGCGTAAGGCATGGAGCTTCGGACTGTGAGTGGAGGTCATGTGCCTACACGAGCTCTTCTAACCTGACTTTTGCCGGATCCCAGTTGATATACTTCTACCCAAGTATGGGTGATTACAAAGATGCATATTCATCACTCGATGAACCAATTGGTTTCCAGCAAACCCAATTACTCTCATCTCTGCCCTAAACAAAAAAAGGGAATTCAAACTCACATCCTTCTCATTGTCCGGCAAAGAAACATTTTCTGCACCAGCAACCCGGACTGCCAATCCTTTAGCAGAGTCAGACACTCTTTGGATCTGGAAAATCAAATCTCCCATATCATCAATCAACCTTGCGTTGATGATTTTAGATTCATCTTCAAAGTGTGCTTGTCCTTTTGCGAGGAGCTCTGGAGATGCTGTTAATCAATGTACAGAGTGAAATGGGAGGAGACATAGGCAAGACTGACTTGATAATGTCTTGAGGTTTCTGATGAAGGGGACAATCGAGATATCGTAGAGTGAGAGAGCCATTTTAGATGGATGGTTGGATGTACGTTTGTAAGTGTGAGTACTGTGTAACTTCGAATTGAGATTGAGTTGTAAAAGGGAAGAGAGAAGTGAAGAAGATTAGTTAGTGAAGGTTTAAAGTATACATGTTACCGAAGGTCGTTCTTCCCTTTATAGATACCAAGGTGGGTAGATGATAACAGTTCGCACTTGTATTTTACATTCCATTTTCTTCCATACCAATCAGATTATTACCAATCTATCCATGATGAGCACATGTTCAAGCTGCAACATTGTGTTAGGCAAGAAGCTAAACCACTTGAATTTGTAATCAAACCCCTCATCGCCCCACCGTGGAGGGGTTATGATGTTGGTAATCACGTGTTACACAAGTACTCAGTGCGTTGTGACTCCACAAGTGGATCGATTTCAACAGCTAGATTGCTTTGAGTACTACGTAGTGTAGACTCATTGCATTTCAAGTAAATTAAAGTAAAATAAAATAAAATAAAAATAGATTGAATCATCCAATGTCAGCTGTAGATCCAAAAGACTTGGATTGATGCACGATTCGGCCGAGTTGTGCGATATATAGGGATGAGGAAATAGCCATCGTATAAATGAAATCAAACCCGCTGACTCGTCGGCGAATTCAATTCAAGTGAAGATGCGACAAAGAACAGAGAAATGTATCAAATTAAATCCCAAATAGTATAAATTTCGCTAGCTTAAAATCATGCAATCATATCTGTTCATTCATCCATATCTTTCATGTCCTGTTTTATACTCCTTGGTAGTAGAGAAGTGTCCCTTTTCCCAATCCATGTACCAATCACGCAGCCGCATTTACAATAAACCTGATCAATAAGAAAAAGAGAAATGGGAAGTGCAGGTAAAATGTACGCGAATGCTCTGTGCTTTGAGCGCGACACGTTTACCCCAATGCAAAGATAAGGAAGAAAGAGGACAATATGCACCCATTCTATCCCATGCTAAACCTAAATCATAAACATAGGAAATATCATTTCGTCAAGTGGCGTGAGAGAAGCGTAATTGTGAAGGATGTTGGTGATGTGAATCATTGGTCGTGATAATTGTTGTGCCCTAGGTCCTACTGCCAATGATCATTGTGCGTTGCGCGTAATATTCATCGAGGTGCGGAACCCATCAACTCATGAAACATTCGCATGTATCAAGACAGGAATTACTTTTTGGCCGTGTTGGGGTTTTAGGGGTGTAAGAGTATGAAGGGGACAGCGACGCTGTAAAAACGATAATCATTAGAACCTCTTCTTTAAGTCGAAGGAATATCTCGGTAGTCACCAGCACTTACCATTTTGCATCGTTTAGCTTTGCGAGTATAATGAACATGTCTGGTAGCCCAACTTGTAGCAAAAGATATCAGAAATCCTATGAATCCTAGAGTTGGGATACTGGGTAGAAGCTGATCGATTTTCGAGATGGTAGACATCATCCAAGGGAAAAGTTGGAAGCAAGTAAAGATAAGTACCAGGGAAATTAACACATATATAAACATCTTTTGATGCTTCGAGATTTGGCTTAAGCTCATCACACGATAGGGAAAAGGAATTTCAGTGGCCTTCTTTGCTCCCAGGGTCAACGCCCATGCATATCCATTATATCGATTCCCACTAGGCTGTGTGGAATCATAATTATAGGAACCATACGTGGAGGAATTAGGACTTGGGTACATATTACTGCCATCACCATAAAAGATGCTGTTAGTGTCACTGCCGAAGTTCTGAGTCTCGTTAGTATGAAAGCCAAGCCCTTGTCCGAAAGCTGTATTTGTATAAGAATCGTCTGGAAATATTGTGGGTATATTGAATACAGTAGAGGAATAGGATGTTCTAGGCGGCAGTTCGGGTGGATATAGTCCAGTTGGTATGTAATTCCCACAGATGAACAGCTTCACTGTACCACCACAGCCGCAAGCGTGAGAGGTGGTTACAAAAAAGCATTCAGTGCAAATCCATCTAAGACAAGGATCGATGCGGGTAAACTCGAAGTGGCTGTTCTCAAAATGTGCTTGCAAAGATTCTTCATCAATGAAGGAGTGCCGACATTCGCCATCAAGAAAGTAACATTTATAGGCCGAACAATCCCAGACGCCAAGAGGAAATTGGCCACCATGTTGGAAGGGGGAATAGTGGGTTGCAACACGGGTCTCAAGACTTATGGATGTCGATGAGTTGTTTTCATTTTGGCTTTGGCTAGTCTCCAGATCAATTATGGGCGAAAGAATCAAATCGTGATCGAGGGATAAGTCGGGCGCGACATCAAACTTCTCACCAATACCCTGCAGCTCATATTGTACTTGTGAAGTGACTGGTGTGGCCTGCCCAGAAGGGGCGTTTGCAGTCTGAAACTCGTTGATAGGGGAAGTCGAGTTGTAGTACTGTGAGTCGAATTCTTGTTTGCTAGGACTTGATTGGAGAGCACGGTCTAGGCTTTCGATGTCGTGATGTTCTAAGGGACACTAAAAGGCGGAATCAGACAAAGTATCAACAAAAACGAAAAGAGGCTGCTACCACATACTTTGACATTACGACCTCTACATTTCTCGCAAGCCCCTAGATGTCGGATTAAGGCCGTTTCGGCTTTCGCCACAGGGCCGAACCTTTTCCTTTTCCGTTGTGATACTGCCGTGCCTTGATATGAGATTGCTTTATTCTTTGCTCCAGATTTGACCGAATGCTGACTGCTGGTATCGAATGATATCACCGAAGACCAATCCGAAGGGGCTACATCAAACGAATATGCAGTTTTAGATTGGGATGACCGAGAGGCATTGGTGAGAGGTCCAGGAGCACCAAATGACACAATGCTACTTGGCGATGTTGCGTTTGGGTCCGGAGAGCGTTGCGCCAATCCTTCTTTCATCCGGAACTCGCTATACAGCTTCAAAGCACTTTGAAATTTCTCCGGAGGTATAGATTTCTTGTCGACACTGGCAGCATGCGTAGATGAAGAGGGAGACGAGGTCTGGCTTGATGAGGTGTTCACCGATACTCTTCGCCGATGAGATCGAGGCCCAGGCGAAGGTGGCCGCAGATATGGACATGGTGGTAATCTTCCACGAAGCATTTTGGTAGGTTGATTGGGAGGAAATGTTTTCAACAGTTGGTTGTGACTCTTAGATTGTAAATGTTGAATTAAGGTAAGGCTGAAGCCTAAAAGATTGGATCGAAAAAGGATACGGGACAGAACAGGACACAAGGATATTTCTGTGCTAGTAATCGTATTTCATGAAGGAGTCGCCAAACAATGAATGAAGAAATTGACAGTAGACAGTTCGCAAATGAAAAGAAATATATACTCGGCTGTTGATAGAAGGGGGTGCATGCCTGATATATATTCCGCGTGAGATGAGGCTGGCCACACGGTACTCAACTGATCTCGCGCCCCAAGCATGTTAAACGAACCTATAACCCGCTACAGGGATTTCGGTGAGGTATGCGACGTGAACGCTAGTAATTGGAGAGGATAGTGACATTGAACATAAAAAGACATTGTCACGAATCAATTAAATGATGTCGAGGTTTGAAAAACAATGGGACGAGCTGCCAAGGGACGGTGAAAGCTTGCTTCACAAATGAAGGCGGTGCAAGTGACTTGCTCGGTTCTGATTTCTAGCGAAATTGGAGTGGAGATAAGAGATGGATGTTCTGGAAGTGTGGCTGGTTCAATGTGCACTTTGAAAGATAAGGTATATTCTGCCATCATTGTGAGAATAGTAATTATTTGGTGCATCAAGTAACCTCTTACTACAATTCAATTGTAAGATAGCTAAAGCTCAGTTCGATTCTTAGGCGTGAAGCAGCATTACGATACTTGCTACATGTAGCAGTTATTCAAAAGAAAAGCAGCGGCGACTACTTGTGTGGCGAAGTAATTGATTACTTTGTGGAGGAGAGATAGATTGTGCATTCTGAAACGTAGGAGGCCGCCCTATCAACGCCCTTAACGCACCAGTGCCCAAGAGTTCCCAAGTAATACGAGCTTTGGCAACTTCCCTGGCTCGTCACGCACTGGAGGTAATCTCTTGGATGCTGTTGGCCGATAGGAGCTCATAGCTTTAGAAGAGACTGTTCCTATTCGACAATCGGAATTTGACGTCAGGATGAAATGGCTACTCCATGAGTTCATTAGATAAGTAGATAATCCTAATAGTCTGATGGGGCGAGCGATAAGGCGCGGATAACACAGTTCTTCACGACTGTTGTATAGGAGGCCTCCACGACCCAAACAAATCAAAAGATTCTCTGCTCCATGGCCCTTTGAGGCCTCCTTCATTCCCTAAATTCCCTGAAACCTCCTTCGTAGTGTTTCTTCCGCTTCCGAGGCCTCCAAGAATGGCCGCTGGTGGACCCATTTGATTGACAGGTGGAGATAGCGCGTGCAGGGTTCTCTGGGCAGTCATTTGAATTGACATTCCACGAGTTGCGGGGTTAATGATTCTAGGCCGTGAAGGACCCTGATCTCCAGAAGTGGAGGTCTCTGAAGTACGACTTTGTGTTTCTTTCTCTACTATTTGATTTGCTGATATGAATCCACTTGGTTCATCATTCCTTGTTTCTTCGACGGAGAAAATATCTGGAATTGAGGTTGATGACTTCTTAATTTCGACATTTTTGGGAGACTGTGCCAATGTGAGGAAAGCCGCAGTCTGGTCAATCAGACTGGAACTCGTCTTGATCAGGGGTCTCTCCACTTGGTGCTGATTTCGTGTCGGCGCCAGTTTCGCCATGAAGCGGCCAGTCGCACTAAAAGTAGAACCGTTAGATGTCATGCCTACCAAGATCTTATCTGAGTCGACAACATTCAAGTGCATACTAGGTGCAACAGCAGCAATTGGTGATACTGCGACTGTGTTTGGTACCAAGACGTTGGAATTGGTTTTGCTCGCAATATCGGAATTGGGATGTATTGTAGTTATTGGAACTGCGACGTTTTGATGGAGGTCGTATGAGGCAGAGGCTATCCTTTCTGCAGGGTGTGGTATTATAAGAGAATCTTTATGAGGGGGGTTAGGTTTATAGATAGAATTAGAAATTGCTGCCGTGTCAATTTCCGTAATTAAAGGTGGCACATTAGATTCTTGACGCGTCTCGGCATTTTCAGTCGCTGAGGCTCGGTCCGAAGCAGCGCCCTTATGCAAGCCAGTAGAATTTTTGGATTGTTTCTGGATAGTTCTTGACGTCTCGGGCAGATACTCAGGTGATGTTTGTAAAATAAGCTCACGATCTTGAGTTTTCTGTTCGATCGCTTTAGGAATCTGCTTGTTCAAGGTCGAAAGATGTTCTAAGCTAGACTGTCCGGACCTCTCTTCAATGTTCTCCGAGTGACATTGTTGTTTGATTGCTGAATATTCTTGATCTTCTCTCGTAGCCGGCGCGACTATGGGCATGAATTTCTGAGCCTCTGGCGTACGATTACGACACAGAATTGCATCTATTGTTTGATGATTGATACCAATGTTTCCTGGAGAGGACGGAGGCTCTTCGAGATCACTAAATCTTAGAGTTTCCGGAAATCCAGACATGTGCGGTCCATCAATTCCATCATCATTGACCAAATTGTTACCTAAATCATGATCAATTGACGGCCTGCGAGGCGAAGATGATCTCACTATTGGCAAGACATCGCCTAGCTCGGTAGATCTGGTGGCCTCTCGTTCTGGTGTCAATTGAATAGATTGGCTACTAGAAGATGCTATCGCTGGACGAATCACAGAATCTAACTTGATTGACCCGCTGGCTCCATGTAACCCCAATGGAGAAGATTGGGAGCTGAGCCGATCCATACACATCAACATCTTATTGCGTGGGCGAGACTTGATACGTAGAGATGAATGAGATCTTTCCTGTGGCTTGTTCAGTGATGAAGGATTGTTCTGAGACTTTTGCCTTGTACTCGATACTTTCGCTGCTTCTTTAGGTACTGGTGTAATTGCTAATGGCGGGGATGATAATCGCGGTGTCTGCTCAGATATGTTGGGTAGAGGTTTTTTCTTCTTCCGGGCAACTTCCCTTGGTCTTGTTACCGGAACTGGGTGGTCATCTTCATCAGAGCTTGTATCCTTTGACAAGTCGATTGTTTTCGGTTGTTTCTTCTGCATGACTACGTTTCTCTCTATGTTTCTGGGCATAGCTTCACGAAAAGACGAAAGCGATAGAGATGCTCCAGTAAGGTTGCTAGCATATCCACTTTTCTCGGGCTTATCTCTCTTTCTTGCTTGTATTCGACTTTTAGAGAAATTCATATCCATAGTGATGTGGCCTGCCAAACTTTGTCTTCCGTTTGACAAGATGTCCCCATCATGACCCTCATTTTCTTTGGTATCGTTAACATCTGGTCGTGGGACTGTCTTCAGCTTTAAAGACTCATATCGTATAGGCCCCGTGCTCGATGGCGTCGGCGTGAATGACAAAGTAGCCCCCATAAGGTTTTGCGCAAATCCATTTTTGGGTGGCGGCTCATTCACTTTTCTTCTTTTCGTGGGCCTAGGACTTTCTGCCTCGCCGGCGTTTCTAGCATTTAAGCTCTGCCGTTGTTCAAATGGAGACGTTTTTGACACAAGTGCTTTCCCATAATGACCAGAAGGTGTGCCAAGTATATAGTTAAGTGGTTTCGGCTTTAGATGGGCTGCAGCAATAGTTTGCGACCGAATGACAGATGCTGCGGATCGTGCTGGTGACGAGTCTCCATTTCTTGCAATAAATCTCTCCTCCCTTTCTTTGACTCTTTTGTCAATGAGCTCGGTAAGATCTTGGTCCTTCTTCTCTATAAATTCTGACACTTCGACCAATATCCCATTTCTTTCCAACTCCAACTCGGCCCCTTCGTCAAGTGGAGCCTTTTCGCGCCAATGTGCATCTCCTACCAAATTCGATCTTTCGTCGAATACCATAACACGTCTATTGAAAGTGTGATATTTGAGTCGCCCGTCTTGCCATCGCTTCTGTTTTCGACGGGTATCGGCTGTATAGAGGCAACGAAATTCGAGGACTGGAGCTGTATTTTGATCTGGGGGAACGTTTATAGACATAGCAACATGGGCGGGGGCCGTCATTTCTCATAGAGTTAGGGATGTTGTCAAGCAGCAGGCACCTTTCAAGAGAAAAGACCCTGTCGTGCCTGAGAATCAATCTTTGAATTTCGTTGTTTCCTTACGTGACGCGAAACCTAGCAATGACACTCTGATCTAACGCGCCGACTCCCCGCTGACACGTGATGATAACCAGGATTCCCGATAAAAGATCTGTTATATTGGTGTCAGTCATTGAACCAAAATTTGTAGGTATTCAATAGGCGTAAATCTCAAGACTTGAAATACATTAATAATAATTGGATTGGGTGATGGAGATTTTGTATCCAAAATCTAAGAAGGAGAAGAACCTACCTATTCTAAATTACAGCCCTATCGACACGATCAAATAGGAGCAGAAGGATGAATAATATAAATCTTTGTTGGAATTCCATCGTTTAAGATTCAATTGAATGATGAAGTCTGGGCATTTCAGATATAGTTGAACACTGAAGCCTTTATATTTCATGAGCGGTGATGAATCTTGGGATGAAAGTCATGAGCTATCCCCTGAATGATATCTTCATGTCAGCACCGAGTTCTCGGACTGCGCGAACTATCTACCCAATCTTTATATTGCCACGCGTTTGAACTACAATTCAAGGTATTGAATGGTCCACTCTATAAATGATAGGAGAGTTATCTAAATGTACTTAAGTCCAAAGATTCCCTGGATAAAAGTTCGATTAATTGCTTGAGATGTTATCGCCCATCTATACTTTCATTATGTTGACCCCTTCTACCTCGTCGCTTGTGCTGCTCCTGCCAGCTAGCTCTGGCGACCGCTCGTGTGGTACATCAATCTCTAGCTCTTGACAACAGCACTGCATGTGCTCCAGTCCATTTGATCATCGCTCGTGGAACCACTGAGGGCTACCCCGGGACTCTCGAGAGCTTGATCGGGTTGATTATGGATGCCAATCCAGGAACTGATTACGAAAGTGTTATCTATCCTGCTACGGACGAGACTTCCACAAACAGCTATGCTGAAGGGCTTGTGGCTGCTAAGGACCAGTTTACTGCTTATGCAGAGTCATGTGAAGATTCGAAAATTATCTTCCTAGCCTACTCTCAAATGCGTTGTCTTTCCATGAGATGTCGCATCTAGGCTAATTCGCACAGGGTGCTATGATTGTTGGAGATATGCTAGCTGGTGAAGGCGGAGATGAGATTCTCGGTGCCGGAAATGGGCCACTTCCCATTGATTTCGAAAGTTGGGGACCGCATGACAGCTCTAGTCCTTTATGGAGACCCAAGACACATCCCTAACGAGAGCTTTGATGTTCGGGACAACAATGTAACTGGCGTAAGTAATGCTGATAGAGCCATGGCATATCATGGCCTAGAAGCCGGAACATGAGCAAAAAAAAGTACTGACTAATTCCTAGAAATATTTAAGAATTACTTCACAGATTTCGGTCATCGAAAACCAATATGCTTCAAAGATTGCAAACTGCTGCAATGTTGAAGATCCAGTATGTGCTAGCGGTACTAATCTTGCAGCTCATCTTGTATATCCTCAAAATTGGGATACTACTGCTGCTGCTGCTGCTTGGGTTCAGACTATGTTAGAAGGATAATCGATACCTTACTGCTTGCATCCCAATACTTCCTATGTAAGACCCAAGAAACAACCGGACCAAAGACGTTCGACGAAGAATATTCACTAACCTTAAGCAACCGACTAATAAATAGTCGTTGGATGGGGATAGATCCGAAAAATGGTGCCCACTAGCTTATATAATAGCCCCCTAATCCACTAATTAATGGTTCAAAAATATAACGGGTCGTTCCAGACTGGTATTACAAGAAAGTTTATATACCATACCTATGTTATGATCGCTTCACCATGTTTCAACCAAAACGTTGTGAGAGTTTGTGACTTTCATACGGGATGTTTATAGATTCATTTTAGACATACCTAGGTATGCACTTTTTAGGAAAAGGGAGGAAGGATCTTTAATAAACTGTTAGTTTCATGGACCGATTAAGATATCTGACGTGATCCAGAAGGCTCATTGTCCTTGAAACAAGAAATATAGAAAGCCGCTTTTACATTCAACAGGGCTGAAATGGAGATTCTCATTCCAAGTTCAAAAACGAGTCGAACCTCGATTGAGATGTTGAATTTTAGATACTGTATTGGGATAAGGATTGATGATTGATTCTGCAGTCTCAATCACTCTGAAGAAGACGCCCCTATAGACACGTACTTGTGTTATTATTATTATTATTATAACGTAAACGTACCGTAATTATATTCGTATGACTACCTGGTAGGTGAATGCTATTATCTGGGCAACCAAATTATGTCACTCTGAGTCGGGAGGCTGGTTTCTGTTTAAGGAGGCACAGGCCATTCATCTCAACCCCGCGAACCGGTTTGAGTTTCAGGACATCTTTTTGCTGCTGCTTACCTGGGTAGTATTTTTCAAATAAACCCCTACAATACAAATACAACTCCAAAGAAGATAATTGTTAGAGACACTCACTCCACTAAACTTTCCTTAATCCATTAAGGGGGCTGTGTTTGAATGTTGGGAATCTTATCAATTGATTTATTGACAGCTGTCCCTACTGCGAGGTATCAACATTGAACATCTTCTTAATCATCTGAGAATCAACTACGTGGAACTCATTCGTTTCTATATCTTGTGGGGATAAGTGGCACATATTGACAACGACCATCTAATTGATACATTCTTCCACAAACAAAATGAATTCTGTGCACCGGCAGATTGGCAAGATCAGGCATAAAGGTCCTGGTGATACTGCCAAAGTATCTGTACTTTTGAGCGATTACGAAGATGCGAATAAGATGCTCAATATGGTAAGTTGCCTAAACATCGCGCCATATACTTTCGCCATATAGTACGTTACTAATATACATAAATAGATAATTGAAGCTTCCAAAGCATGGAGAGACGCATGGGTGTCTATACTTTCCTCTCAATTGAATACAGCCTTAAGTTTCGAGGAGTTATATCAGCCCATTGTAGGCACCAGCGATGCTCATCGAGACAATCCGGCAGTTACCCCTCGCCAACAAATGGAGCGAACTATCAAATTGAAGGATACATATACGGAACTGAAAACAGACCTACTGGAAGAAGTTATGATGATGGATTCTCGAGTTACAAAGCCGGCTACGGAAGCGATGGAATTTCTACAGCCTATTCGAAAGACGATCAAGAAACGAGAAAACAAAAGATTAGACTGGGAAAGATACATAGATAAGGTCAATAAAGGGTCTGCTAAGATGAAGAGAACTGATCGAGAAAACGCTGCTTTGGCAAAGGCTGAAGAGGAACAAGGCAGGGCAGCAGAGGTTGGTACCTGAATAACCCTTCCATTGCCGGAGGGACAGCTTTTTGAGGCTTCAAATATGCACATACACAATTATCACACCAACACTTCTCAATGGATCCTCAAGAGAATTGTCCCTCCCGACTATGGCAGGGATATCGTCAACGAATGAGAGTAGTACTAATTGATATCCAGGCATTCAAAGATGCAGACGCTCATCTCCGAGAAACGTTACCACCCATAATCGCTGCAGCCTTCTCGATCCTACCGCATTTACTCGCCGTACAGATCATGATCCAGAACACGCTCCTCGCGCAATACTACACAGCACTGCACAATTACTGCGAAGATGTAGGCCTACCTTCTCCTCCACCCCCAATGGAAGACGTCATCGCAGTCTGGAATCAAGACTATCACCCCATAAAACAAGAAGTCGAACTCATAGATTGTATCCGCCGCGGCAAAGCCGTTCACCAACCTATGAACGTCAGCGAAGAAAGTGCAAATCCAAGCTCAAGCTCAAATTCAAAATCCATAACCGGTCTCAATGTCCGCAATGGATTTTCCCGTCGTCCCTCGAACCAATCTATGAGCACAAACCGCGACCCCTCTCCAAATCCAAGCATATCAACCACATATTCCGATGCGCGATCTCCCAGGCCTGATCGTCCACCCCCTATTCGTTCCACCTCTCGGCCTCGCATCCCCTCAACTCAACATACAGTCCCCGTTTTCTCACCCCCTACAACATCAGATAACGACTACAACGAACCTGTTCAAACCCCAATTCCTAGCGACTACTCCAACCATCTCACGCCTGTTTCCACGCATTCTTCTTCTTATGCTCCCGCAGGCCCATCTCTAGATTATTTCCAGCGCGGGTCAACCAATGAAGGTGTAGCAGTGAATTCTGCAATCGGAAAGAAGAAACCTCCTCCGCCTCCCCCTAAGAGATTGGGTTCTTCTAATGGAGGCATTTTTGTGGTAGCGCTTTATAATTTTGAGGGCCAAGGAGAAGGAGATTTGAGTTTCAAAGAGGGTGATAGGATTAGGGTTACGAAGAAAACGGGAAGTACAGATGATTGGTGGGATGGAGAATTAAAGGGGGTGAAAGGGAGCTTTCCAGCAAATTACTGTAAGAATGCTTAGATGACTTGGGAGCGAAGGGGAAGTGCATATTCAGGCTGAGTAGCTGGAGCGCGTGAGATTTATAGCGAGAATCGCCTAGATGAAGGGCGAGATATTTACTATATGCTATATTATGAGAGGATCACAGGTATCTACGAACCTAGCTCAAAAATATATGGACGGAGTTCGGTCTCCTGGATGGAAGAAATGGATGGACAAATCGATTCAATAAACTTTTTTATACTATCTACCTACCTACCTATATTATACTACTAATGATCACTACAATTTGACGACGACAAATGAGAATGAACTCCCGAGTGAGATTGCAATGGAATGAATGGGATGTTTTAGCCTTCACATACATACATCTGCATCAGAGTAGCGAAGAAACCATACTTTCGAGAAAGGAAAAAAAAGTTCAATTCAAAGGGTATACTACTGCTACTGCTTTCGCTATGCCCATTTGTTCGCCATGCCTGCACAGGTACCTGTAATATCATGCTATACCCAAATTTCCACAGGTAGGTACCTAGGTACATCCGAAACTCGAATACGCTGCACAACGCTGCACTATTTTATGCTATGCTATGTTATGCTATATCTATATTTGTCTGCACGCACCATCGATTGAACGTGAATGGATGCGAGAACTTTCGAACCAGTTGTTTTGTTTTGTTTGTTTCTGTTCCATCGATAAAGGAAATCTTGTAAAGGGGGGAGGGGGGGGTGGGGGTATCTTTTCATCCATGCGAGCGATTATCCGTGTAAGTGGCTTCCCGCTGCAATCATTCTAGGCGTGCTGTTTATCATTTCTGGCCATGTTGAATTATCTGTCGTCATCATCGCTCATGGTGCTTGAGAGGTGATTTTGATGCGGGGTTTTCATCCGTCCAATTATGGTGTTTGGCTTTGAAATTGAATTTGGGTTCGAATTCGAGTCCCATCCACGGATCCCATCCGGCCGCCAAGACGTCCAGCTTCGCCAAATAAGAGAGGGGCAGTTTCCAATTTTTGAGGCTCCCGAAATCATACCATCCGACCATGCAATTATAAATTCGATCCCAATATCTTATCCCAGTAGGAAGAAAAAGGCAAACAGAAAAAAATTTATCCACTGTTACCATCTGACGATAGAATCATCTCTGTCCCATTGGTCTTCCAAAATTCATACTCGGCTTCATCTTCAACAGAACAGGTCCCGGTTCATCATCCTCATCCTCATCCTCACAATCATGCCCTTCTCCTTCCATACCCCTCCCATCATCACCTCCACCACCAATGGACCTATTCCTCGCTTTTTTCATTTGCAAGACCGGACTCGAAGTGCCTGCGCTACCGGTAGGGCTGACTTCTTTACTACCCGGTCTTGAGTTTTTGACTTCTTCCAATTTCTCCGTAAGTGCTTCAAGGAATAATTCATCTCTGGCTGGAACATTCGTAAGACATAGAGGACCTGTTAAAGGGCGATCATGAACTTCTTCCTCTTCTTCATCTGGTAGTAGTCTATCGAGCGCAATTCTTTCATCTTCATCCGGAACTGGCGCTAGGGAACCCCGATGGACAAGTCCATCAAAACCTCTCGGCGTTTCATCCCCTTCTACCTCTTGAGACTCTTTGACCAAATCGGAAAAGCGTGAAATGGAATGGTTGGGTGTGTGACCCGCATACATCGTTAATCTCCTATTTTCTGGTTCCAAATGTGCTTTTCCTAAATTCAAACCAACATCCCTTCCTGACGGCTTAACATTTGGACTTAATCTCGGACTGGCAGACCTAGGACTTAAAACATGCGCGACGAATACTGGATCTACGGCGCTGGCTTTGATGGGCACACCTTCGAGATGTGGAGCAATTTTTGATATATCTATACTATCGGCTCCTATGATATCGCCATTACTACTTTCGGCCTTCTCCCAATGTACAGCAGAATGATGTGGATGTAAGAGTTCCGGTGATGCATATAGAGAGGATCCAACAAAATCCGACGGAGTTAACTCCTGAATAACCTGAATTGGTGTTTGCCTGGGCGCATGAATATCTTCCACTCTCAGAGCTTCTGATTCTGCTGAAAATGTTCTCGTGGGGTTTTGTGGTGCTGGTGCGTAAAATGGAGACCCATCTGCATTTCTTCCTGTCTCTTGTTTTATGTCTGGGTGACCGTGCGACGATTTTTTCGATTCTGTACTTCCACTTCCTGGAGATGCCATTGCTTTCGTAGGTCCTTTAATGATCGGTACACCATTTGGACTAGTGAATACGTTTGCTGCTGGGCTGAACCCTAAATTTGCCAATTCCAAATTGAAGATTCCAGCTGGTGATACGACATCCCCTTTTTCTTTCAATCTTGCTTCGAGTTCTCGAATCCGAGCAATCAAGATTCCTCTTTCCTTATCCCATAATTCTCGTTCTTCTGCGATCACCTCGATTGCACGCTGCCGGTCTGCCAAGATGTGCGCTCGTTCCCCTTCGAATTGTTCTCTCAGGTTGTGCGAATATCTTCTGAAATCTTCGACCAACTCGGCAGCCGTATTTTCTGCCGAAGCGGATCGAGTATGAGGAGGAGAGATCGGACCACCACTGGGAGACGAGTGATATTTATATTGTGCTGGAGAAGAGGTATTGGGAGGGAAGAAGGAGGTGGGAGCTTGTCCAAGGTGATGTAGATGACCGGCCATTGGCGAATTGACTGTAGAGCCGGAATGAGAGAGTGGTAAGCGAATTAAATGTGCCATATTTACAGGACTTGTTGCAGGAGAAAGGAAGGAAAGAATTGGGAGGTTGGTTTTAAGTGTTGAATTGTATGTTGTTTATTTAATTTGGGGATGGTTGTATGGCATGTAATGGTATTGTATAAGGTTATTAGTTGGGTTATGAATAAGGTCATACCCAGGAAATTTCTTGTGATGAAATGGTTTGCGAGGATGGATTGAATGGGTAGGATGGATTGAATGGATTGAATGGGTAGGATGGATTGAATAAATTGACTAAATTGAATGGATTGAATAAATTGAATAAATTTCCAATAAAGGAAATGATCCCATATAGCAGCTACCTCAGTACAGGTAGTCAAAGTAAAACTTGTCGCAAGCTGATATCAAATTCTAATACTGCGGGCTCAAGCTGATCATTTTCTGGTGCAGGTGTGTATGGGTGTGTGTGTGGTGGGTGCGTGGTGGGTGTATGGGTGTGATTATGGGTGTGATTATGGGTGTGATTATGTATGTGTGACTTGAGTAAGGTAGCAATTGGGGATTGGGGATTGGGAATTGGGAATTGAGAATTGAGAATTGGGAATTGGGAATTGGCAATTGGCAATTATCCTCGGGACGGGATTATGACGGGAAGAGCACGATCCACTTTCCAATCCAGTCAGGACGAAGTAGGAAAAAAAAGAAAAAAGATTTCTCTCTTTTCTTTCTTTTGTGCTTTTGTGTCTTTCTTATCTAATCATCATCCTATCACTTGAGAACAAAAGTCATGGATGGATTTCTTTCTTCAGTTCTCTTACTGTGCTTTGCTCTCAATTCCCATATATCGGGTGTGAAAGGAGGAAGGGTAATGAATAAGTACAGAGTAAACAAACAAACAAACAAACAAATAAATGAGTATAAACCAACACAATACACCAAAGCTTTTATACAATCTTCTATACTTTCTCTCTACCTTGTATTCACTTCTCTACCATCCCATCCATCCCATCCATCCCATCCATACTTTCCATCTACCTATCTCTCTCTCTCTACCTTGTATTTACTTCTCTACCATCCCATCCATACCTACATGGACATTCGGGTGTGTTGTCATTATTATCTGGTCAATTTATTCTCAAACATATGCAAATAATACTGTTACTGCATAAAATTCATTATTCCGGTACTCCATTCGGCTTTCACCCATCAAATGTGTCAAATTGATTGGTTGCCTTGGTACCAATGATTAATGACGGATCGGTCCGTGAATTATAATTGCTTGAATTAAGGGTCTTTATGAAACAGGTCCTAATCTGGGCATAATTTGGGGTTCTTGGGATATTTGGTCATATTTGGTCTCTTTTTTTCCCGTCTTCTCTTCCTTTTTGCCTCCCTTTTTGTCCTGTCTTCTCTTCCCTTTTGCCTCCCTTTCTCCCTAATCTCCATATCCCTTCTCCATATTTCTCCTTTTTCTCCATTCTCTCCATTCTCCCCATTCTCCCCTCCTTTTTCTTCTCATCACAAGATCGATGGATCCTACCTCAGCCTACATACAAATCATTCTCTAATATATCTACCGGAAGATCTCCTGTTACCATGCACCATCTACGGCGTAGCTATTTCCAGAGATCCGACATCCAATTTCAAATAATAAATCCGTCAATCCTGTTCTCCCCATGTCGCCCATGTCGCCCATGTCCAATCGTGCAGTCTTCAATCCCTCACCCTTAAAGTGATCAAAGAGACCCAAAGAGGAAGAAAGGATTTTCAGGGCTCTGCCTTAGCTTCTTTTCACTCTTCACTACAATCCCCAAGAATTCCCAAAGAAATTCCCCCTGAACACGTCACAAGCGATCCATCTCTCTTCTATCAAAGGCAAGGCACGGCGAGAATCAGATTTGCCCGTTGTCTCCATAACTTCTTCATTCCCTTCTCCGTCTTTTTCCTTCATAAGGCTGTAGGAATGCCTGAGTACATCTTCTTTCAAAGCCGGAATAGAAAGAAAAGCCGATAGGTACACAATTATTTTCCTGCCCCCGAATTTATAAACGTGTTGCCAATCGTTCCGATTTCTTTCACATCCATATTTGGTATCGTTCTGATTGAATGACAACAATACCGTGTAATACAGCCATTCAATTTCCATGGACAAATAATCTCTATCAAATGGAAACAAATGAGGCGAGAAAATTCCATTACTCTACATCCTCGTGAACCAGGTGGGTATGTTCATAAATGGAAAGGTCTAGGAGGGTCAAAATGCCAGCGAAGTCGCCAGTAATAGAATTGAGTAATTGGGAGAAGGGCCACAGCATTTTGGGCAGAGAAACGCCTCCAGAAGAACCAAACGAGACGAACGGTGAATAGTCACGTTGCCATGATCTTCTAAATAGAGCCTCAATGTCTCGGTTTTGGATCCTTCTTTCTTGAAAAAGTGATAGAGATGATGGAGTTGTTGCAATGGTAACATGGAGATTTTCAACTCGGTGGTCGATGAGTATTATATAGTTTCTCGAGTTTTTAAAGGTCCAGAAGGTTCTCTCTTCTCTGTTCAATCATTTTCATTTCCGTGTTGCTTTGTATGTATTTGAATTGGTTGATGTTTGTCAATCCACATCTCTTCAATTAGGTGTTTTCTACTTGCTCACTTTGCCAACGTTTGACTTGACTTGCATATTCGTTATCTTTTTATTCAATTTTTCACTGCGTAGCCACTTCATCATACATTTTTATTCAATCACATCTCTTGTTATAGACCAATCCACACCGTAACAACGATCTTCCTTACACACAGCGAGCGCCTTTACCAGACAATCCATTCAATACCTCAGACATCCAGGCTTGAGCCAATTATCAATGTCACCGCCGCCAACACTTTATGTCCATCCAGAACGTAAGCGCGAACGTAGACGCACACGCACACAAAGTCATCATGATTCCTCTACCCGCAGCCCTTCAACAGCATCCACTCTCCACTCTCCAATCTCCAATGACCGCATCGATTCCTTAGGCAAACCTCGACTGGCTGACCAAACTCAACATCGATCCCATCCATCTCGCCATGCCCGTCCTCCTTTCCAGTCCACAAACAATACATCCAATGAACGTGTATCGCACTCCCGCCCCCCCGCTGCTTTCCCCTCCACCATAGCCCTTCCCACCCCTCAAGCTTCAGCTCCCACCAGACTTCCTCCTTCTCCTCCATACACGATTTCAGACCCAGCAACCTTTTCAAGCGCTTCCACACTTATTTCGACTCAAGCACCACCTATTGCACTCGAATTCCTCAATTTCTTAGACGACTTAGGGATTTTGCTGCTATGCAAACCGCTTCTAGAATTATGTAACGTGGAATGGATTTCACTGTTTGATGATATGGGAATTTTCTACTTATGTGAGCCGATTGGAGCGATAAGGAGGATCTTGCGCAAATTGAAGATTGGGAGGGTGGATAGGGAACGAGGGGGTGGAAGTTGTTTGGGGAGTAAGGAGAGGGATACCGCTTCGTGGATTTCGAGTTTAAGCAGTATAGCGAGTGAGGTGAGGAGTGTTGGTGAGAGGAGTCGGGAGAAGAGATCTTCTAATGGTAGTGGGAAGAGTAAGGGGAGTGAGGGGGGGAAGTTGAGGGGAAAGAGGGAGAGGGAGAAGGAGAAGGAGAAGGAGAGTCTGAGAGGGACGAGAGGGACGGGGAAACAAGCTGAGAGTGTTAGCGGGATTGGAAGTGGCAGTGAGAGGATTAGTGGTGCGAAGAGAAGGAGAAGTGAGAGGGCGGCTAGTAGTATCGCTGCGAGTCATTTGGGACATGGTTTGAGAGGGGCAGTGCCTAAATAGATGGTTGTTGGTTGGAGAGAAATGCATGCAGGATGGGAGATTTAATGTTTGCTCTCCTTGTGAACTGGGAAAGTTTGCGAGACGATTGTTCGGAGAAAGCTGAAATCTGAGTAGGGTTGATGGAATTGACATTCTTTCTTGTCCTTCTCGGGTCATCTTGCGAGAATCACTCGGCGAGTTTCTTCTCATTCGACGGTTTTGAGATCGGTTTTGATCCTCGTTTAATAGTGATATCTATCGCTCTCGCAACCATACCATGGTTCTACTCGCAAGCTGAGCTAGAGAGAAAATACAGCAAAACCACCTCCATACTTCAACAACCTTTTCGATTCTTCAGACTCATTTCGATTTCCAACACAATTCACGTGCTTCGCCTGCACAATCGATTTCATCTGATTATTAATTTTTTGTTTTATTGCATTCATTTTTTTTATTCATTCATTCTTCCCTTGTCAGTTTTTTCTTTTCTTTTCGCTTAGTGCACATTGAGTGTATACTTAACACTTGATTGGGAATTGCGTTCGTGGGGAGTGTTTATTTATTGGTTTGTCTGTGGGCTTGGATCTGGGTTTGATGGGGATTGGAAGAGAGAGAAAGAGAAAGAGGGTGGAGGAGAGAGAGAGGAAGAGAAAGGGAAAGACTTCAATTTTAATATCTAATAATGGGGTTCTGGCATACTTATACTTGGTAGGCGTAATTTTTAGGGAGAAGGGGGCAAGCGAGAAATGAATGAGATGAAAGAAGGAAGGGAGAATAATGATAATAAGACATGGATTCGCTTCGCTTCGGCGATGTATGTATGCATGATTCGGATGCGGGTTCGGTTCGGGTTGGGTTCGGTTGCAGCTGCAGTTGAATTTGGATATGGATGTAGTTGGATATGTATACATTTACAGTTTCAAGGATGTGAATTTTGGAGAGTTGGGACTTGAGACTTGGGACTGGGAGGATTTATGCTGGGTGGGGATGAGGATGGGGATGAGAGTGGGGATGGAGATTATAATGGAGATGGAGATGGAGATCATGATGGAGATAGAAATGAAGATAGATGTGGAGATGGAAATAAAGGATTTTTTGGGCCGGTGTGATGTGGTTTGGGAGGGGAATAGTGTGGGTTGGGAATGGTGTGGTTTGGGTTGGGTTGTGGTGTTGTGGTTTGGGGATGTGGGGATGATGTTTATGAATGGATGATATTGGAATGATGTGGGAATGTAGTAGGACGGAGTAGCATGGGGAGGAATTCGTATGTGTGTATGTATGTATATCGAATATCTAGATTTTATATATGGTATGATTATAGATTTGATCTTTTCTCTTCTTCTTCTTCCTCTTCTTCTTCTTGCCAGAAAGAATTATTCAATTAATATTTCTTGTTTTTCATTTTCATATTCATATTCACATCCTAGCCCCTTTCAATAATCAAAAACACTATTCCAACTTCCAACTCCCAAATCTCTCAAAGGGATGTAATATCCGGGTTCTAAATATCTCAAGAGTAATACTGTATAGGTAGTCTATCAAACCCAATCTGATTTATTACTTTTGGTTTGATAAGTGTTGGTATTGGGTATGCTTTGTGTGTTATTAGATTTTGAGGTTAGTTAGATTTGATATCTTTGATGTCCTTGTTATAGTCTTTGTGACTGTGGTGGTTGTTTTTATAGTTATTGATGTAATTATCGATGCTATGTTTTTAGGTGTGATGAGATATGGTGTGGTGAGATGAGTGGAGGTAGAGTGATAGAGTAAATAGTAACTCAGCTATAAATTATCCATCTATGTACTGATCGCATACGCTTGTGAAATTTTCGACAGCGTTCTTGAGATTCTTGAGAGGTTCTGTCCTTGAGGTTATGAGTTCGTTGGTCAGGAGGTTATTAGTTAAGAATTCAAAAATTCATCATCCATATCAATCATTCATATTCATGACTCAAATTTCCAAATCTCCAAACTCCCAAGTTCTCAAGTTCTTGATGTGAGACTCTGAGACTCTGAGACTCTACAACTCTAAGACACTGAAGAAATAGGGAATGAGAATGAGTTATTCATCGCTAGTTTTCCATTGACTGATATACAGGAATCGAGATTTCTATAAGATTGTGAGTTTATAGGTTTATGAGTTTGAGGGGAAGAATAAATGAAAAGGGAAAGAAGATGAAGGGAACGGAAAAGGAATGAAAAGGAAAATATATAAAAAGAAAGAAAGTAAAGAATAATAATAGAAAAGAAGAAAGCGAGAAGTAAAAGAGAAAGAAAAAGAAAAAACAAAGTAAGAGAGAAAAAAGCCAAATACGACCTCCTATCAATCTTTTCAACAGCTTCAATCTAGATCTATATCAAGTCTAGATGTAGGAATTCCTAAATTATATTATAATGTAATACCGTCTATCTACCTATTTTATGTCCATACAAATACAAACAATCCTTCAATCCATCAGTCCATCTGTCGATCACTTTCCTCTCTTTCTCCCTCTCTTTCTCTTTTTCCTTCTTCCTCTCTTTCTCCTTCTCCCTCTCCCTCTCCTTCTCCCTCTCCTTCTCCCTCTCCCTCTCCTTCTCCCTCTCCCTCTCCTTCTCCCTCTCCTCCCAACTACCCCTCAACCCGCAACTTCCAATCCCCAACTCCTATCCTCTAACTCTATAGTAAATCGCAATACTAACTCCTCTTCTTCCTCTCTTTCCAAACTCCCCTCCTCTTCATTTCAATCATACCTATCAATTACTCCAAGCAATTACCTACTCAACAATTCTTCCTCCAAATCCCACATCTCACATCTCACATCTCACATCTAAAACACCGAAAAACAAATCCTAATCCCCATCCTAATCCAAACCTTTAACTCCTTTCTATCTCCTATAAAAAATCCAATTTATCTCTCAATAGAAGATCTAATTATTATCACTAACAGGTAGATAGTGTTTTCATCTCCTTTTTCATGTTAATCTTATATAAAGCGTACATATGAAGTATATAAAGTATATAGTACTAACTACTTATCAAAATTACACCTAAAAAAGTCATTTTACTACTTTTATTATATATAAAATCAATAACTTCAACTAGATATTTTTATTCGAATTTTAACATATATATTATTTCGATATTAATATTTAATAAAATCATATCTTTAACACTCTTTAAAGTTTTTTAAATAATTAATTATATTATTTAGAAATATATTTATAAAAGTTTATAATTTTCGCTTGATTTATTAGTAAATTTTAGTATTTTGAAGAAATTTTTTTCTTTTAATTTTAACTTATTATTCTTTAATATAGAAAATTATTAAAAATAAATCATATAATTTTTAATCTAATCATATAATTATTCATATTAAATATTGATTTTATAGTTTAAGAATTAGAAGGTTATTCTGTAAGTTTTGATGAATTTTAATGTAATTTTAATAAGTGACTAGTAGTAGTATACACCTACATATATATCGCTTCCCACTCAACCACACACTTCACTATCCGACTAAGTGGGTCGAAAGGGGGACAGGCGAACGGACGTGCGGACACTCACGATACCCTTACCCTTACTCGCCATGTCCAACCCAGCCCACAATCCCAGTCCTCTCAGGCTCTCCCACCCAGAATAAAATTCTCCGAACCACTTCACTCCACCACCTCTCCACCCACCCACATCACCAAGGCTAAAAAAGAAAACATTTTTTTCTCCCACAAGCTTTACTCCATTTTTCCACTCCTCTCACATCATCCACACTCACTCCCCATTATCATTTATCCCATCATTCCATTACAATCCCACATGAAACTCCCGTCGCAACAATCATAATAAGTCTTCGTGGCTCAGTTGGTTAGAGCGTTGGTCTCATATTCGTATATGAGGTAGTTGATAACAATTACTGTGCCATCCAAAGGTCGAGAGTTCGAGTCTCTCCGAGGACAGGATTGATACTTTTTGGCGGGAGGATTGTTTTTGGGGGAGGAGAGGGGAGAGCAAGAAGGGGGAAGGGGAGGGTTATTTATGTTTTATGATTGAGTAAGTGAGTTGATAATGTTTTGATATATGGATCTGGTTAATTTTTTGCGATTAGAATAGGTAGGATAGAGTAGTCTAGAAATCGGCTCTGATAGGTTTAGGATTTGAAGAAAGAGACAAAAGATATGAATAGATGAATAGAGGTTTTCTCTAAATAAGAAAAGAGAGAGAGAGAGAGAGGCTTGGGGTGAAGAGGAAAGGAACGCTTAACAAGATTTCGGGAGGCAGAAATGAGGAATGGAGAGGGAGGGCGGGGGGTCATCGACATCCTCTACTTAGCGAATCCTAGTACCAAGTAATTAATAAATATAAATTTTTCCAATTTACCTGGGCAAAGAGATGAAGAATCAGAGGCCAATAGTATTCTCTTATTTTAACAAAGCATAGTAACGCAAGGAGACACATGAATGGAATGGAAAGGAATGAGGTGCTATGAATTGTAATTTAGGGAATTTAAGAGACATCTGCATCCGTTCTTCACAATAACACACTGGATAAAACAGTAAACACGCAATTCATTCCGCGTTAATCCCATGTGTAATCAGAACGATGGGCTACAATTATATACATGACAGAGTGATGTTAGTGGATGCTATGGAGACCAGAAGCGTGGTGAGTTACTTTCATTCTCTTACGGCTACTGAAGATGGATCAAGTGTGATGTATATACTATCTGGGTGCTATAGTAGTTGATATCAAGGTGTTCAGAATATGCTTCCAATAGATATCAAGATTTCAAACATATAACATTTCTTTCTTGAAGAACGAAATTCAATTCATTGACGTCTCTCCTAAAGCGATGTTTATCAACCCCAAGGGAAACTCGATAGAGATGACATAACACCGTGAAGCTTTGATCTATCTTTACTGCTATTGGTAGACATTTTGAATAAATAAGATAATTTGGTATATTGTAAGGTGAATTAGATGTAAAGAGTTAAGGAATTATACATGTTATTGATTATTCAGACATGCAACAAGATTAAAAGTGTCAGAACTAACAGTAATATCGACTCCTTTATTAATTAAGATATTAAGGTTGGTAAACAAAACATGAGAGAAAAAATAGAACAATTGTGAAAGCGAGTGCTGAACATTGATTTGGGTGATCGTGTAATTGAGTAACTATCCCGTTTCAAGACCCCTTCAAAGGAGGATCCTCACCGACTATTTCAATTAGATGAGGATTTTATTGAGTGTTGTGATGCGCACAAACATATAGAGGCATATAAAAACAAATAAAGATGCTGTATGTATATTCCGACATGACGATAGATCGACAACACTTTGGGGAATGTGAAGAATCGCAAGCAACAGAGCATCTCAATAATTCAACACCCACTCTTACCCCCACACATCAACCTGAGATGAATCTTATAGCTCAAGCCTAGCCTTACCTATGTTTCACAAACCTGATAACATACTGTAAAGAATAACGCATGTAGATAAAAATGACAAAAGCAGGTGCATATACATCAAGCACCATATATGAAAGTATAAGCAAGGGAGCAACGACCCGATGTCCGTTAACAATGCCCACGAGTATCCTGCGATTGCCCGATCTCGGCTCAATGCAGATCAACTAGCAGAAAGGAACTTTCCATACCGACAAATTCCTCAAAAGAGGTATAATCTGGGAGCGCAAAGGTACAAGGCTCAATTTCTATCTCGTCCAACAATTCTTTTCCAACAAAGAATTGTGAAGCTTTCTACCACATGAAAAGTCTGCTACCAAGTGTTCCCTACATATAGTCTTGACCACAAGATCAGATGACAATTAGTTCGGTCATACCGAGCCACCCAAATATGTTATGGCACGCGACTTGTGCGCATAAAGTTGCATAAACTTTATGCCTCTCTCTCTTTCGCACTCCGGAAAGGTGGATTCCGGAAAGGCTTAAAGACTTTACCATCAGCCTGAGATATGTACATAAGAAATCGCCAATGGAGATGGATTAGATAATACGGGAAGGCATGGCTAGCAACATTGACTGCACTGAAAAATGTGGTCGGCTTAAATGCCTCAAAGAAGGATTTGGACACGCATTATCCTTTTCCTTATTTGGATATAAAAGTTTTTGCTTGCAACATTTGCGGCGTAAATCGAGGTTTCTAGGTCAGGCTACTCCGGTTGACCGCTTCTTGATGATTTTCTTGAGACTTTCAAACCGAGTATGGATGAAGTGTCGTAAAGACATTGGATAATGTAAGAGCCCCTTACTGTAGTCAACGAGCTGAGAGCTAATAGATTGAGACCTAGATAATTTTAATCTAAGGACGCAATTCTGCAGATGCTCGTATTCTGATTGTCTTGAGTGATGCTGAGAACTACGGGTGTAGTAAAATAAGATTGCAATACTCCCCGTTGACTTTGCATGTACGATATGACCACATTCAGATACATGCAGAATCGTGCAGGTACAGTATTTAGAGTGTCTAGATTCTCCTAGGGAAGAAAGCTTGTTTGGAAGAATAAGAAAATGATAGGAAAGCCAAGCATAAAATATGTGACGGAAGAATTCGATGAGTGTTGAATTGATATTGAGCGATGAATGTGGCTGTCGTCGCTCCTCAAACGGAATAATCCCCAAGGTTTGGAAAAAGAACTCGGTGGAATGATAAAATAAAATCCGAATGGTGGTTGTACATGAGAAGCCATTGGCGTCAGTACTTGATCACAATGCTAAGCCTAGGCATTGAAGATTGAAGATCATGACTGGACGTAAATTCAAATTGTAATGGATTAAAGTCTTTGTTCAATCATCCTAAAGACTGACTAGATAAGATGGATGCCCACGAGCTTCAATGATTGCTTCGGAATGAAAGCTGACAAGTCATAAGAAGAGGCGCGTGGTGTTCAAGTGTCGAGTTGTGCGGGAATCAATCTATTGGATGACATCTGGCGAAGGCTTCAAGGTTCTCCTCCAAGATCCAGCTCCATCTCCAATTTGATGTGTGTATCCCAAAGGTCTCGACTTCAAAGCTCCATGTTTCCATTTGATGTTCCCTTTCACTCCCTACCGGTTGGCAGTTGGCAACACTACAGTACAGCTGGTGGGGTGTCGTCGATACCCCGCCATGGTACGTGCATACTTTAGTGGGTTATCGGCGGTACTCAAGGATGTTTGACAATGAACTAATCCCAATTGAGGTCTAAAGTCTAACTTTGGCCCCATCATATCTGTGGGGAAGGGTCCTTTGAACTAAAGGATGAACGTTCGTGCAAGTATCGTGAGATCCAAAAACCTCATGCCTTCCAAGAATCATTATATCAGCAGAACTATACCTAGATATATTGATCAAACGGCATGTGTAAGGGGCAAAATAGTGATCACTTGGCATAGAAGCATTTTGTGATACCTCACTTGACCTACTTGCAGGTCTTGGGATTTTGCCATCATCGCCAAAATGTGATTTGAACTCAAATACATAACTGCAAGTAATTGTCTCTTCCCATAGAAGTACCAAATTGTACTCTACTTAGGAGCGACCGACTGTTGCTTAATTTTAACCTTGATGGTCCCGTGTTGTGACAACGAATGAGGCTTACATTTGAGCGATTTTCGAACCCACCAATGTTGTGCATCGGTTGTACCCGCTGTCTGTTGTAAAAACAAAGTAGGAAGATTAGGATTGTTAAAAGAAGACTGATTTCGGTATCACAATAATTATAGCCGCTCCATGCGCAAGGCCGAATGTCAATTTGACAAAGTCAAGTAGCGACTTGTTCAGATATCTGAGAAGCGGGATCACTCTAGGATATTGATGCAGGCGTCAAGATAAATATATCATAAAGATCTCGAAGCATATAGTGACCAGGTTTTGCCTGCTCCATATGCCTTATGAAAGGTTGTTCAATTAATATGATATTGTTCCATACCTATCTGGACACAACTTTCACATTTTTCCCAGAGTACAGGCACTGACTGACAAGTAAGCTCGGTAGTAACTCGTTGAGTTACTGTGATTTCACGACATTGTGAAGCACCTGTGACTCCTTCAAAACCGCGAGATGAAAATGATCAACAGTATATTTTCTTCTTCGGGTGACTTGGATCTAGAAGCAGACATGGCGACAGACATCAAAAGGCTAGAAATCTATTGCATGCATGTCATGCATGAAAGGATCCCTTGTTCCTCATAGACGATAGAACAATTTGGCGATCCCCGACTTTTCTAGCGTTCCTCATTTCTTCTACCTCATACACACAAGATCTTCTCGGCATAATATTTAATGTAGATAATTCTTCCGTATGGTGGACTGTTCCAGTGGGGAGATCTAGATGTATTCGGGACCGTTTAAGAGTAACATTGGAGACCAGTTTCCAGGAAGATGGATTGACAGTTTGTTCAAAGTTCAGATAACAACGAATGCATCGTCACTTGGACAATCCTCTTTGCAGAGACAGACCCTTTTCGTGATAATATCGTCTGCTCCATTCCTGATATCCGTTTGATGACAATCAAGCCTTGGCAAAGGTATACAAGGCGTCCCTCAATCCGCTGTTCGTTCCGTGCAATGCAATACCGACGGTTACTTTTCTCTTGGCTTTCAAATAAGAGGCAGATTCGAGATCGAAGATTACCTGCCTTGGCGATTCAACAACTCAACGTCCAGCAAATTGTGAAAGTCAAACGTACCATAAGCTTCGAAAACGAGAAGTACCATTCGTGTGCTGTACTATTGAGTGTTGTACTTTGGCTTGGCTCATACAATGTGGTATCGAGGTAATATTCTTTTTAGATTTAACCAGGCTTCAAAGAGGGATAACTGTAATCGGAAAGAAGGTCGGTGAGGTAAGTGACAGTGATGTGATAATTTGAAGCTGAAAGAGTTGTAGGATTCATTGCGTGGGATATAGATGAGTTGATTGGAATAACTTCATATTTGAGCCTGTGTGGGTTTTAATTAGTTATTAAAAAGGATGAGATATGTAATGCAAGTATTAGGTACCTAGGTACGTTACTACGTACAGTACATATTGAAGGGCGGAATCAAGGCGGAATGGAAGGAAAGGAAGGAAATAAGCGAAAAAGTGTTGGAATATGGTCTCGATTCATTGATAACAATATTAATATCAATATCAATATCAATATCGATATCAAATCCAGACATCTTTCAGCTCCATCAAGGGCACTATTTGGTATTATCTGCATGCAGTATGTAGCATCCAATTCCCCACTTCATACCATCAGAAAAGTGGTAGAGAAATGAGAAGAAAAACCTCTGAATCAGTCCTCCTCAAAGCTCATGGGCCAATCTCTCGGCATGGAGTTGCCGTTTTCTTGTCTCTTCTCTATGAATAGTAATGAATGAATATTATCACTCCATTATCAACGAATCATATGCAATTCAATGGAATTTCCCTTTGTTCTTATTTCAGAAATACAATTGATAAGAACAGTAAAAATAAAAATAAGTATTTTTCAACAATAGAATCACGCCTTTCCGTCGATGTATATCCGGTAGAGTCAATATGTAAGCACCGGTCGGTAGGTAGATATCTTTATTAGACAAAATCTTGAATTTCAAAGGCAAATGAGAAGATATAAAGTAATGAATAGTATGGACGGTACATTCACACATGTTCAAATATTGATACGCAATTCAATATGACCAACATGTCATAGAAATTTAACAAAATGGAAGTTGAAGGTGGAAGAATCATAAGCCAAAAGCCAAAAGCCAAAAAGCCAACCAAAAGTCACCATCGTCGTTATCTAGCAGGGTAAAAACGCAAGCAAAAGGCCATTTGTTCGCAAAAACAACATTCTTTCTTGTATGACCCAGAGACAGCAAGCATTACTATTTGCAATCAGCCCGCATATTTTTCACAGTTTTACCTACCTAATAATCCTAATTATTACTATTTTCTACGTACGCCTCCTGCACATGCACATGCACAGCTATCCCTGCCTCTGCCTTTGCCTTTGGTATCACGAATCCATATTTCGCCATTCACCTGCTCCTACTCCTACTCCTGCTCCTGCTCCTCCGGCTCCGCATTAACCAAGATCTTCTCTAAGCCTCTCTATTTGTCCAAATGTAAGATATATAGATAACCCTTTTAATTGTTTCTCACCCCGCACCCTTCTTCCAATTCTCAACAACAAGTTTGCAGGTTTATTGCTTCTACCAAGCCTTCTATGCATCAAGCCTCGTCTTCGCAATTAACAAGAACCTGTCAGATCCACTTCCCTCCCCTCCTTTGACCGCCGTCAACGGCCTCTTCCTAAGAATTCATCCAGTCCTTGGACTTGATTTTTCAATCAGACCAAAACTACATCATTGCTACGGTTCTCTCTCATCAACGAGATCATTCTGATCCTCTTTATTATGTTTCTTTTCCTTTAATTTGTATTTAATCCCTCCCGGAGAGAAAGCGAAATCAGTCAATCCTATCGCATTGTTCACACTTTCGAGAAGAACCACTTCACGAAGATACCACAATACAATTGAAGCAGATTAGAAGTTCTAGAATTACAGAACTACTAGTGAACGATTACAAGACGTGTCAACGGTCTTACGGATACTGCTTTTCCTCATTGTCCAGACCAAAACCAGCCCTAGCCCTTCCAAGAGAAACTTCATACAACTCCTCTTAACACGCTACTCGATTCAACTTAGCTCACGAGCCAAAATACTATTTTATACTAGTAATTGGATTACTGGCACAAACTTTCAAAATTCAAAATTCAGATCCTTCAAACTTTTACTCGTCATTCGCACTTTCCTGACTCTTTCGTTAATTTGTCTCAAAGTACAGTCAGTGTCAGCTCACCTGATTAGCAATCATGGCGACCACTATTTTACCACTTACTCACCCTACACTGCCTTCTACTTTTCCTAATATCTCGAATCAATTATACCATCTTCCTCATATTGAATCAAATTCTGCTTCTGCAGAATCGAGTCGACCTTCCTCGATAGATTCTCGTCAAGTCGATTCCATTCCCGAAGAATACGAGTACGAGACCGGCAGTGAAGCTGTTAATGAGCCAGTAACTCCTACAGAGTTCCAAAATCCTCACCAAAATACTAGAGTACTCACTGGCAGTGAGATTTCTCATGATCTCATTCGCAAGCTTCCTCCATCTTCAATTCAACTTCCTACTATAGTCAGTACTGTTGCGACTCCTCCACCTCGATCGAACGAGCAGACACCATTCTCCTCTTTACAGTCCATCAGAGGAAATATAGACCCTTCTTCTACTCCAACTCCGCTTCCGAAAAGACCAAATTTTCCTACAAAAGACTCGGGTTTGAGAAGTAAAGTTTCGAAGTTCTTCAAGAGGTCAAATTCTCAAGTCGGAACCTTAAGTGCAACGGTCTTGAATGACCAGACCAATCTTACAAATACGACTAATCTTAAAAACAACAATGGTTCTGATCCAATGTTAGGCAAAGCGCATCGTCGAATGTCGATCGGACGAGCGTCAACTTCTACTACAGCATTTACCTCCCGTGCCAATACACCTCCTTCACCCAGCACCCCACCAGAAACGCAATCATCGCAAGAAAACTTGTTTTCAAGTATAAGACCAAACGAGAACCTCAATATGACTAAAAAACAAAGATCCTCGACGGGTATGAGCATGAGCCTCATGAATGTATTTCAGAATCATGGACCCAAGATTGCCTTTGATACATCGGCAATAGATGAAAAATCCAAAGCTTCTCAACGTGCCACAAGCGTTGATTGGGATTTGGATAATGGCTTCGCCACAGAAGGGGTGCAGCAGATGTTGCGAGAGCCTTGGGCCATGCCAGCCGAGACTGGAATTGGTTTGAAATCAAGACGTTTGAGTATGAGTCTTCCAGATGACCTCCTGGTTGATGTCGTAGAATTGGATGAAGAATATCATCAGCAAACTACATTTATAGGACGTCGTGGAAAACAGGTCGGGAAAGGTGCCACAGCCCATGTGAAACTGGTCGTCAAGAATGGCACAAGCGATATATTTGCTGTGAAAGAATTCCGTGGTAAGTCTACGACGGAAAAGGAAGAAGACTATGAAAAGAAAGTCAAATCAGAATACTCGATTGCTAAAGCCGCTCTTCACCCAAATATTGTACAGACCTTTCAACTTTGTACACATAACGGTCGGTGGAACCATGTGATGGAGTACTGCGAACAAGGAGATCTATTCGGTCTTATCAATCAGAAGTACCTCAGCAAGGAGGACCATCTAAAGGATCGCCAATGTTTATTCAAGCAACTTATTCAAGGCATTCAGTTTCTTCATGGTAACGGAATCGCTCATCGAGATATCAAACCTGAGAATCTATTGATAACCAAGGATAGTAAGCTCAAGATCACCGACTTTGGTGTCTCTGAAGTCTTTGCTGGTCTTCATCCTGGTTTCAGAGCCGCCAGAGGTCAATGTGGAAAGGATATGGCCGAGATTAGGCTTTGCGCTCCTGGTATCTGTGGAAGTCCTCCCTATATTGCCCCAGAAGTTCTTGAGAAACAAGGTATGTGAACACGCATCCAACTTTACATTGTGACCCATGCTAACATCCTCACTAGGTGAATACGACCCAAGACCTCTAGATGTATGGAGTGCTGCCATAGTTATGCTATGTATGACCGCCAACGGCTGTCTTTGGGAAAGAGCCAAGCCCAACACTTCTCCCCATTACGACGAACTCGTCCGGGGCTGGAATAAATGGAATGGCAAACATAACGACTGTTCCATAACAGACTCTGATTATCCTCACGTTTCATTCTTCGACAAACATATTAATCCACCCGCTCTTCGTCGCATACTTCTTACAATGCTCAATCCCGACCCTAAACAAAGAGCGACCATTTCAGATGTTGCAAAGAATCGTTGGATGAAGAACGTTGAATGCTGTCAGATTGACAGCTACGATGAACCCACTACAATCATCGATGCGAGTAAATGTTCGGGCTTAGGGAATAGGAATATGAATAGAGTGGTCAATCATAACCATTTACCGCCTAAAGAACACCATGGCCATAGATTGGTTAGGTTACCTGGTAGTACGGATATGTAATGTCGCATTGGTATTTGCAAACACTCCAATGGGAGTTGGGAAATACTGAGATACAAAATTACCGGGCAATGAATTTTGACCTTCGAGCCGGATTGAATGTCTAGGGAATGGGTGTCAAGCGAATGTTCAAACGGAAAAATCACAAACTGGGGAGCGGGAGCTGGGCGTTCATTACACGACTATACTTCAACGGCTTTCCTATGTTATGCGCGGGCTGGCTTGGGCAGATTTTCGTCGGGACGGTGTTTCTTTCACATACATACTAATGAGTCGATGATAATGCGTTTCGAAGAAGTGTTGAAGATGGCAAGGGGGGGTATGATTCTATACGAAATTTGAGATTTGAGATCTGAATTCGGTAATTATGGAAGATGGCTGAAGTGGAGTTCTGTCATTAATGTGGTATGTGATAGAGTGGTTGCGTGTGTATATTTTGGTGGCCGAGAGTTGATTGGGTGGTTTGGATAGGATGGGTTCAGTTTATAGAATGGTGGCGCGGGATGGACTTTTTGTGGAAGATCAAGATTATGATTATTTCAATTGATAGGAGCGTGAGAGATATATTGGAAGGGAGTCGAAGTGGTGAATAAGGGTGACAGATGGGGAATGGAGAATCAGATTGTGCATACATTGCATTTTACGAGATGATACGAAATGAAATGGTTTCGGTTCTCGGTCATTTCCATATGGGGAACTAGTACTGGGGAGAGAAGATAAGAGCCTTCGTTTGAGACGGAGGATGTGGGGGCTGTTGGGGGATGCGGAGGGGAAGGGGGAGGAAGAGGGCTGAAACAGATTGAACTGAATTGGGAGATACATGAGACGTTTGTCGATTACCTAGAACTATGTAGATAGTGATTACTCTAATGAGAATGAGAATGAGAGGTGTTATATCAACCTAGTTTAGCTTAGGAATCCTGCCTTTTTCATTTTCGATGAGGAGGAAAAATAGTGATTTAGTGATGTTTATTAGACGTTTATGAGGTTTGTGTGCAGATGAGATGAGACGAAATTAGATTGGATATCATTGAATTTAGAGATTTAATAGTAGATATTTTAAGAATACATGACTTGATGGATTCTTGATAGCCCGAATGGGATTCGGGCGTTTAGATATATATGCTAGGTATGCTGTGCTGTATAAAGATAGCGAAGATATCATACAGGTATCAGGAATCAAGTATATATTAAAGATATACCTAGATCCGAATTACGACTTTATCAAAATGAACCCTACCCCAACCTCTTCATCCTCTCCTCCGCCGCCCTCGCCCTCCTCTCCCTCTCAACCCTCATCTTCATTTCCGGCGTCATGTCCCTCATTTCCTGCTCTCTCTTTTCCTGACCGCTAGCCTGTACACCCGCCCCTATAATCTTTCCCTTTCCCGCTCTACTACTAAATTTTCCTCCTCCTTTCAGATTCCTCTCTCTCTCCCTCTCTTCTTCTTCTTTCGCTAACCTCTCATCATCTATACTCTTCTCTTCCATTTTCCTTCTATGTTCCTCTTCTTTTTCCCGCGCGTCTCTTTTGCTTGCGTCTTCTCTACTTAGTCCTGAGGGAACATTTGAGGTTTCCCAGGTATATCCTTTAGGAGAGGATAATTCGTATCTACAGACTCGGAAAGCATCTCTCGTGCTTCTCTCTCCGCATAATTCAAAAGCTGTTTTCCCATCTCCGTTTTTAATGGTCGGATCCGCATCTGCCTTTAATAATAATCCCTCGACTAATAATTTCGAGTTCAAACTTGCGGCTAAATGTAAGGGAGTAGGAGCATGGTAATTTTGTTCTTCGGGTTGGAAATGAAAGTTTGGAGATACGAAATTTGTTTGGAGGTAAGATAATAGAGCAGGAAGTTTTGAGCGACGGATTAAGGATTGTAGTTGTGATGTATGTAGAAGTGCCGTTTCTTCTTCTTCTGTTAGCTTTTTGGGTTGAGGTTTTGATGCTGCGGCTGCTTCTTTCTTGGCGACGAGGGATTGTTGCGCCGAGAGAAAGGCGGCACGTTTAGCTGCCAGGGCTTCTTCGTCTACTTCAAGAATTTTGACACGGGTGAGTTCGACGAAGGAGCGCATAAGTTCGTTTTGCGTGGCTCTTTTCGTGCTAAAAGGGAATCCACGAATTCGCGGATCATTTTGTTTTAATACTTGGTCGTCATATGGTCCGAATAGAGTACGTCGATTAGTGGTACCAGTGGCACGGATGAACAGTAACTCAGAAGTATCTATGATTCCTTTCCATGAAGTGAGAAGTTGACGTACTTCATCTTGTAGAGCTTGTTCATTGTAGCGACGGAGACTAGATCCGGCACTATGAGCGGCTCCTTTTGCGGAATCATTAGCAGATTGAGCTCCTCCTTGTTTGCGACGGGTGGTGTATCGATGAAAAGTTTTATGAGCGAGTACAACTGCTTCTTTAGTCAATGGACCAGTTGTTGCCTGTGGGTTCTTGACTTGTTTAGGGGCAAGAGATACGACCATGGCAGCAAAATGACCACCTCCTATCATACACATAAAGATATGTGGATCTTTGTAAGATTCTGGCAACGGAACTCCTTCACTATTGACTGGTACCTTATTCTGGGGTTTCGGAGAAAGTTGCTTTCGCTGAACAATTTCGTGCATTGGGGTTTCCTTTTCTTGCTCTTCATTTGTAAAAATCGCTCGGTATATCCCAAGGTAAGTGTTCTTCGGCATCGTAGATGTTGTAAACCAAATCATTGGAGCCTTTCCAGAGCCTCTCGTTCTTTTCCTTAACCCGGGATTATCGTCAAATTCATTGCTCGTTGATGCTATAACAGCTTGCTTCTTGAGTAATGAGCTCAATGTCGTTTCTTTGCGCCCTCCATCCTCTTCCTCTTCTTCGGTATCCGATGAATCAGATCCCGAAAGACTCTCATCGAGGTCTCCTACCAACTTCTCGAACTCAATTTCCGTAACAGCTTTCGCCCCTCGAATCTTTTGCTTTAAATTATAGTTGTGGAAATCCGATCGTACATGACTCTTTTGGTCCTCCACAGTATAAAAAGTTCCACCGCATAACGAACAGGCCTTTGATCCCACATCTCCGGGTTTGGTTTGTATAACTCGCTCGGTCGTGTCTGTAGGCGGATTGGTATCTGCCTGGTAGGCGTCGTCATTGGAATCGTCCTTGCGCGCGAGTGTTGATAAAATATCTTGTGGGAGGTCATAGACTAATGCTTGTTAGCTTGGGATTCGAACCCAAAGATTGCATTCCTACCGTATAATGGCCTTCTAGTTATATCCTCCTTTCGTTGTTCCATTCTGACGATGCAAAAGCGGTTCGTTTGTTTGAGGTGGGGTGGATGAATGACTGGGTGAGGTTCAGATTGTGCGGTTTATTGCCGAATGAGTATTTTGATGTTAGTTTCTTCAGTATTGGCTGGCTAGTAACTGTATATGCCGCTCAATAGCAAAAGAACAAAAACTTGAGAAGAATGTTCTGGTATGATATCTACCGACGAACGTCTTCGAAATTAAAAATGTTCACTGCCTACCTGGGTACTACGTACGATCTCAGAGCTGACTGCTTATCTCCACGTGACTCTTTGATTAGCACGGTCTTTAGTTTCTCCTAGCGCTAGCAGTCCATGACATCAACCATCTGAATGACGTAGAGCATTCTAGACCCCAGCCTCAGTTGGCTGAGCAGAAGAGGCGTTATCGGCATTCACTACCAAACAACAAACACAACAAAAGCAAGGAAAGGTGTCTTGGGAGTGTTTGCTCCCTCGAGTTTTGACACATAATTATCAATTAAAGGAATACAAATCAAGATAGTAATCCTTTCTAGCCAATTGCAGTTATTGCATAAGTGCGGAGTTGATCTACATTGTATGCAGCTTGATCCCGTCAACAATCCAATTCTTCCAATTCCCATATTATCCTCAGAATTCCAACCCCATCAATCTCAATTCTCCATCTCCAACTCTCCACTATCACCATTACCATCACCATCACCATCACCATCTCCCAAAATGTCTTCATGTTTTGGTTCAAGAAAGTCAAAAGGTGATGATACTCGTCCATTGTTGCCTCAGTATAAGGATGATACTTCGTTACAGAGAACAGTTCATCAGAAATTGCATACCTATCAGATGATTAGAGCTTTATCCAAGGGATTTATGCCATCTACTGAACAAGCCATAATCAATTTGAGAACCTTTTTGGCATCCGATGTTTTAAATCCGGACAATCCAGAATTGACAGATAGTGGAAGACGATTGATTAAATTCTCAAAGCAATGGCTTACCGAGTTCATTGAATTGCTACGAAATAAGAATGATGGAGATCAGATTCAAGACTTTATATGGTTCTTGATACACTCAAGAATCTCTGTCAATACAACAGATCTGATTGAAAGAGCCACAAGCACAAGAGCAAAGGCAGATGCCTCAGCCGGTAAGCATTGTTCATCATATATAATCTCCTAATATCTAACTAGTCACAGCATACGAAAGTATCAAAACTGTTGGTAGTCTTCTATTGACAAACTCCGATTTTCGAATATTCCTCTCAGACCTCAATACCATTGGTCGACAGGTCTTCGCAGATACAGCGAAGACGGTATCAAACGTCGCAGAAGATGCTGCGAACAAAATTGAGCCATCAGACGTCGAAAATGAAGCAATGAAGAAACCAGGAAAAGAGAGAAGTGAGCCCATCCCTAAAGAAGACCTTCAAGCTGAAGCAAGTGAGATTGGCGAAGTTGTTACGAATGGCTTCAAAAAGGCAGGTAGACAAGCAGGTGAAAGTTTGAAGGAAAATATGTCTGGGGAGCAGAGAGAGACTTTACGATATCGTTTGAAGGAAGCGGTTATGAAATTGACAAAGCGAAATGATTATTCGGACTCAGTGAACACAATTGGTCTTCTCATCCAAAGATACGCCAAAGCTTATTCCAGAGCTGTGGATGAATCTATCAGCGCTGTTCAGGATGACGTTGAACCAAACCCAGCCCTTGATCGTGCAGTGAAGAATGGTTGGTCTTTAATGAGTTCTTTTGGTGACAAGGATGCATGGAAAGAACTTGAGAAGCGAGTCAACAAAGTTATGGAGCACTCTCAAAAAGATCCCGAATTTGAAAACCTCATGGGAGAGCTAGCGAAATCAATTCAACAAATGCTTTCCGATCCAGATTTCTTCGATGCTGCGGCCAATAAAGTCGATGCATTGAAAGAAAAAACTAAGGAAGTGGGCACCGAGTCTCCTCTTCGAAAAGATATTGATAATCTGCTCAAACAAGCACGCACAACATTCGATTCAGTAATGAATGATCAGGACATCTCCAAACTAGTTCACACAACGTTGAAAATATGGAACATTCTCAACCCACTCAATAAAAACTCGAACACCGAACTCTTCACTGACCTCTCTACCGTCTTAATACCAATGTTCATCTCCGCCATTCAATATGTACCAATTCCTCGTCTCGAGATATCCAACCCAGAAATTGATCTTCTTCTTGAGAATCTAATCCTCGAACCCGGTAGAACTATTAATCATACCAGTTTTCTACCTTATCGACTCAAGATTCAAACCTATAATGACCTCACGATTCATAAAGCTCGATTCCGTACCTTTTCAAAGTTTACTTCTGTGGTAACAGTTAAGATTCAAGGACTGTCAATCAGAGCAGATGAGGTTGGATTTTGGCTCCGAGCACACAAAAGTTTGTTTTGGTTAGCCGATGAAGGAATCGCTTCTTTCGAGCTTGATGATAGGGGAATTGATATCGAGTTTGATGTTGAAATCGGCCACAACAAACTTGAGAAAATACTCACTTTGAAAGATACACGTGTTAAGATCCACCATCTTTCATACAAACTCAGCAAATCAAAATTCGCTTGTTTAGCCTGGTATGTTCCCTTCCTTGTTTCATCCCTCATACAAATACTAATTCAGACCCTAGGATTTTCAAGCCTCTCCTTCGTCCTATCCTCCGCAAAACTCTCGAATACCAACTCTCCACTGCCTTGGCCGATTTCTTCCATGCTGCCAATCGCGAACTCCTCTATGCACGTGAACGTCTCCGTGCAACGAGAATATCATCGCCAGATGATATCCAAACATTTATTAAAGCAATCATCACAAGATTGAAGCCAGAAGAAGATCCGGATCTGTATCTAAATGTGGGAGTTCAAGGGGGTGCAAAGAGTAAAGGAAATGTTTTCAAGGGCGTTTATGCTCCAGGTAGTGTTGTTAAGGTTTGGGAGAGGGAGGGAAGGGATGCAGAGGAGATCGTAGAGGGAGAGGCAGAAAATAATGGCGGTTGGAGAAATGCAGTATTTGATGTTGGAGGACAAGGACAAGGAGTTATGGGTTGGTAGGGAGCTGTGAGTGTTAATGGGCGGGACGTGTGGAACGGCGGTATGCATATGGAGGAATCAAGTTGTAAGATATATGACCACAGTTCTCATGTGGACTCGGTTTCCGGCGATCAATCTTTTCTTTTCTTTGTCTTACTAACGTGGCTCCCATCATGGGATTTGGACGGTTTGGAAAGCACACAATTGACATTAGTATGACATGGTGCCATGTTACGGTGGGAAGGCACAGGCGCGGAATTATTTATTTCAAAGTGAAACATAATGAAAATCAATGTCAACCATATTCTAACTCTAGCCGAAGGGAATAGTAAATGAAGAAAATGAACTGGTTAAGTAGCCATTCGCACACAAGTAATAGCTAGCATATAGCATGACCTCGAAATCGGGAATTTTTTTGGCTCCCTTACTTTATACGGCGAATTCTCACAGGCAGTCATGAATGGGTGCAACATTCAAAAAGAACTTCTGAGCTTTCTCATTCTTTCCCAACATACACATTGGCTTCATTCGCTTCAACACAATCTGGAACCATCTCCCAGGCTAGCCTATCCTTTTTCAATAAACCTCTCTTGCAACTTTGTCACCCAAAACTTATCGCTATACAAGCAGTAGTATCAAATCTGAGCACCAATTTTCTTTCAATCTCCTTCCATTGTAATAGTGCTAACTTCTCAACTCCACACTCCACCATCCAACCTCTTCCTCAAAGCCGTTTTGAACCCATAAATCTGCACTCTATCCCAATCCCACACACCACTATTGGTATACTCATCCTGACGCAGTTGCTCCAGCACCTTTTCCTTGCTCTCCGCATAGGCTAGACGTACTGTTCCTTTTACTTGAGGCGTCTCTCCCTCTGGAGGTAGATCATCGAAAAAGGCCCCCCGAAAAGAATAGCTCCAGCTTCGGCTAGCGGCTTTACGCCGGCAAGATGCTGGGGACGGGCTTCGAGACGTTTTTGGAGGACGTCTTTGTGTACAAATCCCACGTCTTCTTACCTAGTCTCTACATCGGCGAAATAACTGGCGGGTATTGACCATTAATCGAAAGAACTTTAACAATTTAGATCTCTTTTTGAAACGATATTACACAAAGAGATGCCCATTTTCAATATAAAGAAAGCTCGAAGTTTTATTTGATCACTTTAGATTTTGATATTTATTTTGAAATTGAATTAATCATCGAATAAATAAGTGTGATCTATTTCCGCCTGTTTTTTCGCTTACGTAGAGACTAGTAATCATGCTCATCTTTTGAACAGAACTTCTGTCCGAGGCTTCCTAGAGGCTGAACATTAATGGAACATCAAAGAGCCGTGGTGCCATTAGAATACGGAATCTCCGGTTCCCCTCTTGTAAGTATGATAGCTTAATTGATGCACACCTTCGAAATGTGTAGACTTGGGGTAGTTCACCCAGCTTTAGTGTTACCCAATTCCTTGAAATCTAATGATGAATACCTAAAATATGAGCTAGAAGGCATGCAGCTCCTATTTAGAATTGTACAAGTTTAGTTTATACCATTTCCTGACTCGCCGCTAACCAGTACCTTAAACAAAGTTACAGTCTTTGTGCTATCTTGGTGGAAAAGCATAGGCGTGAATGGTGTAATTCTATATTAAAACATATCAATCACTCACTTAATAGCTAAGAATCTTCTTTACGATTCATGACGTTTGTTGGCGTTTAAACAAAATAGCAAACTCATTTCATCGGCGCCATCACCGGTCATCCATGCTCCCCCTCAACGTCTCTCTGAACTTCATCTCATCAAAAGAATCGGCGGTTTTACAGCCGAGTCCTCCTGAATAATAATTCGATAGCTCTGTTGTATTGGGAGCTATTGCGCAACCGACTAAGTAGGCTTCTAGGTAGTTTGAGAGACATCTGTGACCTTGGATAATTTTCTAGCTTCTGTCGATTCGTGAACTATTCAATCATACTCGAAGACAAATGCAGAAATTTTTGTGTCGAAAACTAAAACTGTAGATCTGAAAAACTCTGAGCGACACTCATCCTATCTTGTGAGTTTGATTTCCCAAAGAGTCAAGACGGGAATCTTTGTTCCCTGTGAGGATTCTTTTTCCTGGAAGGAATATTCCATAATATAGGACTCCAGCTGTTTTCCGACAGATATAATATGGGATCAGAAACTTGCTTGCTTTCTTTTTGTTTTTCTTTGGACATGGTAGAATCAATTTGTAGGATTCGATACTTTAAAGTCTCCTCCGGCTATACTTTCGCATACCATCTTAGAGAGGGAGGTTATAACCTCAATATAAGATCTAGGGTTAATCCCGAGGGAGCGGAATCCATCTGCAATGGATTTTTTAATATTTGCCATTTCAGACCACTTCGTTGCGCAACAATTTAAGTGAGAGATGCCCCGCTGCCAACAGTTGATTAGTACTACCAACGACAACGACTCCTTCCGTGTGATATTCTACCGTGTGAGCGCAGATAAGGGTCAGCTTTTCTGTTCTCTCACGCGATGCAAGGCTTATCTTTCTTTCTGTCCGAAATATAAATTACTCTTGTAACACTTTCCTTTTCTTTGCTATTCTCATTTTTCCAATCCAAGGTAATAGCACAGTACCATATCGAAAGTTTTAGCGTCGATTATGCCCTGAGTAAAACACAAGTGGTTCGTCAAGATTCTAGATCATCCATAAATTCTTCAAAAAAGCATCGAAGTGTATCCCAGTATATCTCTGGTATCAAACTTTTGGTTGAAGCAAAAACTCTTCTGTTTGGTGGTGCAATTTTTGATTCAGATGAGGTATTGACAAGCGAGCAGCCGCAACTCAAAGGGGTAGTGCTTTCGGCATGTGCAGAGAGTAAAGAGGAAGTATTGGAGTAGTTGATAAAAGATATATACATTTCTGGAAAGTGGGATAGAGAGTTAGAAGAAGATGTAGATTTGAGGGTTGATGAAAGCGAAGAGAAAAGGACTGGAGGAGGCGCATAGATTCGGGGGTTTTTGTAAGTTTTGGACTTCCAAGTCACATAGATCTTCATTGGATGGCTTGATTATAGGATTGACAGTAAGTTTGCTTGGTGAAACTTGGCGAGTGCGTTGACAGATAAAGTGTGTTAAATGATGATGCCAAGAAAAGAATTTTGAACTCCAAGTGAAGAGAATAGATTGTATATAATGCAACCACCGAGAAGACCTAAAGGGGGAATGATTTTGTAACGGAATGCGTATTCATGATCCTGACCAAAACCGGAGCCATCGTCAATCTATCTATCTTTTGAACAAGATTTAGACCTTGAGATACAAGACAAGCCATATGCCTAATTTGCATTGGTATACTTCGCTTTTTTTTTTTTTTAATCTCTCTTCGTTCCCCTTGGGTGACGTACAGTTTAGCACCAGATAATATACGTTTTTGCCAAGCCATCATATCAATAAACTCTGTAGCATCCTTCTTTATAAATAGCTTTAGGCTGCGCACAAATTATCTGTACCCATGGATTATCTGCAGATAATCCGCTCTGTAGGTTATCCGTTAGAGATTCTACTTGCTCCGTAGATTATCTGTCGAGGCTTTAAAATTACCCGCTTCGTATAGGTAATTTGTGGATTATCTGCAAATAATCTACAGGTATATAAGTAGACGGATTATCTGCGGATATATGGGTTATTTATGGATAATTTGCGGATTATCTGTAAATAATCCGTGGATATATAGATTCTCTGAAAAAAGCGGAGATTCGCTTAAAATATGAAGCTATTCCCAGATTATTTTCCAGCTCAAAAGTGATCCAAGCTTAGATTTATACTAATTTTTATACTAATCATAAAATTATACTAATATTATAAAAGATTATGAATAATTATACAATATACAAGTAGGTGGATATCCGCGGGTAATTTGTACCCGTCCTGTGGGTTATCCATTTAGATTTTTGAATTATCCGCCCCGCGGGTACCCGTTGCGCAGCCTAAATAGCTTAAATCCGAGCTTTGCAAGATTGAATGATTATATCATGGCTTGTTTAATCCCTTGATTGGGAAATCAAGTATATAATGAAGGCTTTGCGTAGCTCTTTTCGAGCGGCTGATGCAGTGTAGAAGCATTTTGAAAAGGTCCTACAAAGCCTAACCCGGAGGATAACATCGACCAGTTCGATTGTATGCCCGTCGCAAATCTTTTTTGTATAGAATTGATAGGCTGAATATAGGTCGCCCTGGTACAAGCATCAATGACTCCGTCTAAGAGAGACTTTGATTTACTTCTCTTGTGATACAAGAGATCATCCAGATTGCTTGGCCATGGAAACAAGATCTTCTTGGTGATTTCCCGAAACTTTTCCGTAAATATTGCAGCTACAGGGAAAGTTGCCAGCGATTGCTCCAATACCTCTGTAGCAAGTTTAACAGCTTCTTCGTCGTCTTTTCCCAGTTCTCTATTGATCTTGGGGGAAAATCGAACGATTACATCTGTCAAATTTAGTATAGCGAATACTTGTAAGACAGGCTGGTAGGCACAACTGTAGTGAGCACGATAGCTATCAACGACAGCAAGACCTTGTTGCGCATGTTGCCAAACGATTGAACTTAGACAAGAGGTATCGAACAGTCCAAGGTCCAGAAGTGGATAGAGGAGTTGAACAACAGCCGTGGCGTACAACAAACTGATGATTTAGCGAGTGTGAAATTGTATTGGGAAGTTATTTGAGTCTTACTGAAGCGAAAGCACGTGTGGCAATATCTGCGTGCCTTTGCCATCTGTGTTACTGATGATACTTGGCAGAAATTTACGCCAAGCTACCAGTCTGCCATATAGATGCAGAATGTCCGAGGCCACTATTCGAGAACCATCGGTATTATACATAAGAATATTAGTAGTGCGAATTATAGCCATAAGATTCATTTTCTCTCGATTGGTTGTTGCAATGAGGCAGTGGTAATTCGTGACGCTATCATCATCCTCGGGGAATTTATACATTCCCCACATCATACTATCAACTGCGGCTTCGTTTTCTTGGATTTCCTCGATGGATTTTGTTGCAGGAACCTCTATAATGAGAGCCGCTGGCATTCTGAATGTTACCTGGGCCCATTCACTAAGACTGTTAGTTATGATAATATGCTCAATTGAGTTGAGTTGTCATAAAGCTATTCACTTACATATTTAAGTTATTAATGCCAACAACGGTGTCACGCCAAACTTGCTGGTACGCCTCACTTCCAAGGTCGACATGTTCCAAATTCATTAAGGAGTTGCTTGCGACTTCCAAATATGCTGAAGCATGCATTCCATGGCCTTGTGCACAGTCTATCAAAAAGAGAATCGCAAAAGCCTGTATAGTCATGAGACTCATGTCTTCGGCATCGATATTGTGCTTTACCATGTCAGCAAACTTCTGACCAAGCTCCTTGTAATTCGTCTGGTCGCTTTTCAAAATTGTATGCAGATAGCATGCCATAGTACAGATAGCATTGAACAATAGGGGCGAGCAGAATTCGTTGGAATTATTCTGCATGCTATTCACAAAATGCTGTTCACTGAACAAGGAATGAGAAGGATGAACCCAAGTAAAATATAAGGAGAATAAGTGATGGAGAACATCTTTATCGGCTGTTACGGTTGTCCAATGGAAAGCTGATGTCTCAAGACCATCAACTTCATTGTCAATAATTCGTAACGTAGATTGCTGCTCTTTGGCATCGACAGTGGTTCCTAGCCATTGTGCTATATCTTGAATAGAGTCCTTGTTTCTTATCCGATTAAGGATTTCGCATCCTTCATCCGCTACTGCAAGGCTTTCAAACACCCGTTCTGCCATGCGGTTGAGTGCATGGCTCTCTTTGAGTGATTCGACTAGTTTCTCCTTTACGATTTTGGTATGAGTTTCATAGAAGCATTCTCCAGCTTGAAATCTTTTGATACAACGAGTGCAAGGCTGCTCGCCATCACATTGAACGGAACCGTCAGTAAATTAGACTTTGGCCTGTGGTATTTTCGCGTTTCCAATGTTGCAGACTATATACCTTTGATCGGGCTGTCTTACACCTGTTGCATGCATTTATCGTTATCAAACATCCTCTTTTACGTCTAGAAGCCTTCTTTCCTTCTCTATCAATACTAGCGGATGGTTGTGGGTTGGCTAAGCGTTCATCCTGGCTGTTGGACATATCCTCGTTTTGTGAACGTGCAAGAGAGCCGAGCAGCATTGTCAGGATTTTGGAATATTGCTTTTAGTCGAAGTATGCGACGGCCGTCTGGCTATGATGTAGAAACATAACTTGCTATCATTTTAGGTATTAAGTTCTCTGAACAAGAATCTCTGTGTAAGGTCGAGCTACTCTAGGTACTTATCCATTAATAATCGATGTATCACTGCCGAATCAATGCACCTGCCAACTGGACGATCTAACCTAACTAAGCGAGAGCTCTAATATACTATGTCACTATGAATACCTAGGTACCTACCGGAGCAGCGTTGTAAAAGCGGCGGCTGTTGTTCGATTGACAAGTGCGTAGATTAAATGCATGGTCATTATTATGAAATAGAAAAAAGTATTTCTAATGAACAGAGGTCGAAACACAAGCCGAATATCCAATATACCGATTGGAGTCTGCTTTCTTTTTTACTTCTATAGTCACTGGGTATATAAATATAAAACCGTGGACAGAGCTTTCGAAGGCTCGAGTGTTACCACTAAGAAATACTACTTCCCACTTTACCAAACACGATACAGGTCAAAATTTGAACCAATGTACAGCTTTGGGCATCTTTTATACTACAATATATCATGCTTGGAAGATTAGGAACACTTTCGTACGGTACGCTGCTTCGGTGCTCTCGAAGTAGTGTCCCAACTCTTACCACGAAATCAATGATCTTAATAAGCCACCGTCACATTCACATGGCACCCTCACCATCGCTCAAATCATCATCGACCACACCGCCCATTCCCCTCGTCGGTCTTGGAGTGTTTATCATCCATCCTACTCACCCGCTATCCACCCGCGAGAATCCTATGTATCTCCTCGGCGAACGTATTAATTCGACTGCCGCCAATACGTGGGGTCTTCCAGGCGGACACTTAGAATTCGGCGAAACTTTTGAAGAAGGTGCATCCAGGGAGGTTTTGGAAGAAACCGGGCTATATATTCCACCCAGAGAACTGAAGTTTTTCCGCTGTAGAAATCTGATAATGAAGGAGGAGAAAAGACATTTCGTGTCAATCTTCATGGTAGGAGTTTGGGATGGGAAGGGGGAAGGACCAAAAGTGACGGAGAAGGAAAAGTGTAGAGGGTGGGAGTGGGTGAGTTGGGAAGAAACGAAAAAGTGGGTTGAGCTGGAGAATCCTGGAAGGAAGCTATTTCCAGGGATGGGGAGCTTGATTAGAGAACTGAACGGTGTGGCTCCTTCATTGTGACATGGGGTTTATAGAGACCGTTTGGGCATCTGGGAACCTGAAGTCGTGCAGGCTGTATTCAGGCTTATGCAACACTTCCAGGTATTTTCGGTGTGACGTCCAGATGCGTAGTGTACACAGCATATAAGGCCAGATCGAGAAAGTCCCAAATGTACTGTGTCTCAAGGCAAGCGTGCCTCAATTTTCATTGTGCTCCTCGAAGTTGTCAGCACCAAGCTATCCACTATTGATCAAGATTGCCGCAAAGATTCTCTGAGTGATGAGTCATCATTATCAAGATCCTAGACAACCTGTCAGAGGCTGATTCGATTCGACTTTTAATCCTCCACCCAGGCACATCAGGGTCCCCAATTCAAAGAGATCTCATTCACATAACATTTCGTGAATGTCGCTGCGACATTCATGGGAATTAGGGCTTGTTTGAATATCAATTCCGATCAGAATCCACCAAATAATCTGCTCTTTTTTTGCTATAGCAGATTCCACAATGGTATATCTTGAACCTACAAAAAGCAGATTCCTATATTTTGTTTTTCTATTTATATATTGATTCCAATATTAAATTTATAGAAATAAAAGAAAGTAGAATATATATATATATATAATATAAATATACTTTAAATATACTTTAAATAAAACAAATTCAAATTTTTAATATATAAATATATTTTAAACTTATTACTATCATTTAAGTAATTGAATAAACAAATATAAAAATAGCTTCAATTTAATCAAAATAAATATAGGAATAATGCTTTATTTAATTAAAATTAAAATTTAAACTCTAATTTAAAGGGCTTAAAGCTTTAGTAAGTATAGTCTAAAGCTTTAGACTATAAAATCTATAAAAATCTATAAATTCTCAGATTTTTTATTTAATTGAAAATAATAACTACTTTTTTTGACTATTGTTTTCGATTTACATTTACATTTTCCTATATAAGTGTTAAAGAAAACATAAATTATTTAATATTATTTTAAAATACTTTACTCCTGAATTTATTAAATTCATTAAACACATCAAAAACAGAAATATTCACAGAATCTACAATTTGATATTCAAACAGAAATCCGAAATCCATTATCACATGAATAAATTATTCAATGGAATCTAACCGGATTTACATATTCAAACTACCCCCTTACTATTACTATAAATCTTGCCGTAGCTTTACATGATTTGCGCGATGAGAAGCAACAGCCACGGTTATTTGCCGATGCTATGTGCATCAATCAGACAAGCAACCTTGAACGGAGTCAGCAAGTTGGCTTGATGAAAGAAGTGTATAGCTATGCAGACCACAGTGATCTATTTAGGATCTTTGGTAGAGTAGACGAAGAGTTTATTTGAGCTCATGCACCCACTAGATCCGGACAAACTAAGCTTCTAGAAATTGTTGATGACGCAATGAAAGATATCGTATCACGACCATGGTTCACTAGGGTCTAGGTGTATCAAGAACTAGTTCTTTCAAACATAGTATTTGTGCAAGTTGGACGAATGCGAGTTCTTTGGGATCATCTCTGCGAGGTTATGCTAGACAATGGTAGAGACCGGAGGGACCGGAAGCATCTTACCAAGGATAGAATAATGTTACCAATACCTACTTTGGATATATACCACGATAGAGACTCAGAAACAGAATCAACAACCTCCGAGTTGAGCTCGATGGGCCCAGCTATGCGTGAGAAACAAAATGATCATGATGCAGAAGATCAAGCACTGTGTACTATGTGTAAGGCAAGAAGAAACTATCAGAATCGCTTACGGTATGGAAGTAGAGAAATCGCTTTCCTAGACATTTTAGGTTCTCAGAGAGGCTCGGGAGCTTCGGACCTGAGAGACATGATATACGGCCATCTGGCTGTTGCGGACATTCAGCTCAACCGCGCACATGAGAGCCATGACGGCTTCGATACATGGCCATGTGTTCGCAACTGGAGCTTACAAGAGAACATTCCAGTTGCAGATCACACTAAGAGTGTGGATGATTATTTCACTGAAGCTGCTCGTTTTACCCCTTCTTTTCGGTCTGCCGATGGTTTGATAAAAATGTTGTACCATGCTGATGTGTCCGCATCATACACCCGAAGAAGCGGTCTTCCATCTTGGGTACCAGACTGGACGCTGGATAAAAGCTCTCTTCAGGGTCTTCCTTGGGCTTTTGATGACACTGATACTCGGAGTACTCCTGGGGTCACACAAGCTGAAACATGGTCATTGATCACCAAGAGACGGGGGTTATCTAAAAATGTTCTATGTGAGCTCCATACCCGTTATACCCTTGTATCCACACATTTTGTCTTTTTTCTACTGGTGGTATGATTATCAACTGGAAGTTGTTGAAAGGTAGCCCAAATAGCAGTGGTGGATGAGCTAGCATACAAATCTGCTAGGCAGAAATTACTTGACTGTGTCAAAAACATGTTCACATTCGAGGACAGGAAGAAGATGAGCCTTAGATCTATTGACGTCTTTCGGCCAATTCATACTCTTTGGCGAAGCTTGGGAGCAAAAGATATATACCCTATACCGCCCAAAGACCTGTCTTTTTATCCGGACATTCCTGCGTCAGATGAGTTATATAGATTCATACAAAATTCGACGGATAATCCTGACCCTTCCAGAAGCCGCAACAAGCCAGGCCCAAAATTTATTGTCAACATAAGTATCATTGCCTTGAGAAGTAGAAATAGCATGGATATATTTCGTGGAATGAAATTCGCACGATTCCGCTCCGGGCGCGTCGGTGTCGTGCCTCTTGTAATTGAACCGGGCGATTTTACCCTTACCGAAGAGAAGGATTGCGAGAGCCAGAATTGTTGTATGTTTCGACTAAAAGAGGATCACAAAAACGAAGCATACAACTTGGATATCCGCGCAGATATTGATACAGGTATCGAGAAAATCATTCCGGTATAATATTGCACATATCTTGGTAAAGCATGGGTTGAAAATTCCCAATCATGGAGATCTGCTGAGGACGAAAAGCCTGACTACTTTAGTTTGAGAATCATTGCTATTCATCAATTCAGAGAAACATAAAAGATATCACACTCGCATCGTACAATTAACCTTAATGGTTCTATGTTCGATAGATAGCGTATCGCTTGAACACCATTTGCTATTTACTCCAGTCTCTGAACCAAAGATTCCCAATTAAGATTCAATACTTCTTCCTTTTCCATCAACTACCATCTGTTCCTCTATATAACCGTCGATTCTCATTTACCCCCATGAAATCGAACAATAGACTCTTCAAGAATCCTCCACAAACAACACTCTACTTTTCACTCACCCACTCTTTGTTCCTTAATAACCCCCAATAACTTTTCATTTTCATCAATGGACCTTAACACAGACCTCGAATCTTCCTCTACCACTTCACTTCGTAAGACTTTTCCTCCTTGATCAATATAAACTCCTCACTCGATATCCATCTTTCTCACGTATTGACTCTCATTTCTATAGATAATTTTGCATAATCATACATCTCCCCTCAAATCTCTCCTCTCCTCACATCCCACCTCACATCCCACCTCCAAACCACCAATCCCTTCATCCCTCCCTCCCTCCATCCATCCAATCTATCCCATATCCCCACTCCAATACAATCATCTACATAACCAACCACCTTATATCTTATATCTTTTCAATATTCATCCCATCTTACACCTTCCTAATACCCATCCAACCCCATCCCATCCCATCCCATCCCACAACATAGTATTCATACATCTATCAAAATAACCACTACACTCTCTTCCACCCTCTTCACCCTCTTACATGCACAAACCTCCACCTCAAAGTTCAAAACCCAAAAACCCAACATCCCTATTTGTTATATATAATCCATATCTATCTGTCAAAGATTAGTTAATACTAGTAACTTGATTTACTATTTGAGGAACACATCGTACTATAAATACCAGAATACAGAATGAATAAAGAGGTGAATGAATAAATAGATAGATAGATAAATAAACGAATATCTAAATGACTACTAAAAATCTACTTTTCCACAGCAGTATGATTCATGAAAAACTTAAGAAATACTCAAGATGAGGTGGCAATTACCTCTACCTACTACTGCGACTACTACAATGATGAATTCCCATCCGGCAACTTACATTGACACTCAGATTTACATCGACAATCATATTCGCAGATCACTTCATGTCACCTCACCTAATCCCATCCAACCCCATCTATTCAAACAGTTCATTTTGACAATTTTTTTATTCTTTCGTTCATTTCATATAACTTCCTTCCACTGTGCATCGCTTGCTGCGTCAGTATGCGCTCTGCTCCGCACATTCACTGGGTATGTAAATCCTCTACCCAGTAGGGAATTTCCTCATCCACACTCTCATACTCATCGCTTGCTATGCTCGCTCGGTTCTTGCACATCCATACTATAAACATACACACGAGACCATTCCGTTCCTTCCTTATCATACGCTGCTTCTCTTTCCTCGCTGGTCTCATTTACCATCCATTCATACCATCCCACCCAATCCGAATGACTTTAAAAAACAAAAAACAAAAACAAAAACAAATCGACAAACCCCACTCCCGCTTAATGCCTTGCTGACCGACCACCCCCACGTCGCCTCGCGCCATCAAAACAAGTACTTTGCATCAAGTATCGCATTTTTGAGCTTTCCCTATGTGTATGCATGCCAATTGTATATCAAAGAACAACCCGACCAGTCGAAACCCATTGTGCAAGTTTATGAACCTTCTGACCAAAACAATAGCAAAACTTTAAAATCGAAAAGCGTAAAAAGAATCGAAAACAATCCCAAACCAGAAAGGTCACCCGGACCGGAACCCAGAACCATATCGCTTTGCAAATGCATAGATAGAAAACCATAACAAAGTATCCATCTGAATGAATGAGTTTTTCGAAAAACTCTCTTTTAATTTTTCTTCTTTTCGCCTCCATCGGTTGACCATGTGTCGACAAACATGGAGAGGAAATCTATAATAGTCGTAAAACACGCTTATTCGATGATAGCCAAGGAGATCTGATATGCAAACAAACTTTCCCTTTGACCTGTCCTTCATTTTTTGTTGCAAATATCGCAAATTCACATGCAGATGTATGCAGCCTTCCAACTCCATTCATGATGCGCAATGCAAGGCGCTTTCTTTATAATACTTCCACAATTAGTTGCGAAAAGCCTTTCACTGGAACGTTGAGCGCCTATGGATCCTTTGAGCAACTCTCAATTTGGCTTTCACCTGATCAAGTAGACCTTTATCTCCAGCTACCGACAATTTACCCACCCTTACGTTCGCTTTCGTTGACAGGGAGCTTTTCACCATGCGAATGACCACCATTAGCATTCTTAGCCTCAGCAGGAGTACGCCCCTTTCTACGATGAGTTTGTTGCCATTTTCCAGAAGATACTCCAGGTCCACCACCCTCACTCTTAGCAGATCTAGTGTGCCCATTTTGTTTCAAATTGGATGGAGATTGCTTGACCGGCTGCTCGATTCCTACTGACTGCTTTGGGATTGGTCTTGAATGATCAATCGTATTCTTCTCAATGACAGCAGGTCCATTCAACTTCAGGTTCTCAAGCTTTTTATTGATCGTCGGTGAGGGTGTGTGCGTTTCATAAACGGGTGAAAGATGCGAGAGCTCATTTGACAGGATGTCATTATGACCGCTCGCAATGTTGAGGAGTGGGATGCCGCCATTTGGGATACTGCGGGCGGCGATATTCCTTGAATTAGGAGACAACCGTGAGTAGCCATCAAGGCCCTCTGCAAATGACAATCCGTTTGTGATTGCTTGATGGCTATTAGAGCCATTGGGGGGAGTCGGATTAGGACTAGATCCATTAGCAACCAAAGGAGAAACTTCGCTTAGACCGCTTCGTGTAAATTTAGGTGTACGTTGCCCAGAAAGGTCTTCCCCCAATGAAATATCACTCTCCGTAAGAGATGCTTGGGATATTGATCCAACAGATCCTCTTGCGTGGGAAGTCTTATTTTCAAAGACTGGACCTTCGTTTAACGGAACAGCATTGGGACCCCCCACGGCAGAAGAACCGTTCACTACTAATGGTCCATGGATGTTCAGGCTACGAAGATTGGAACTGGACATCGTATGTTGAGCTGGAGTGGATTGAGCCAGTGAGAAGCGTCTATCGTTACCTAGTGGCGATGGCGATGGCGATCGTGAAGGAGTACGCTTAATCCTGTCACGAATCGACTGCGGCAATTGGTCAGTCGATAGTCGTCGTCTATTTCCAGATATGTCTCCAAATGAAGGTATCGCTAAAGGTGAATCTCTGCGAGTATACTGTTGAGTTGGCTCATTGACGTAATACCCAACATACTCCTTGGGCGTACTAAGCTCTGGTGGAGTAGTAGCCGTTCGTCTTGACTCATATCCTTGCTCAGTGGACTCGTCTGGAATAAAATTTGGGATGGAAACACTGTTGCCCTGTTGTCGCAAAGGTTGGTATACCCCAATTCCATTGGTACCATTAGCAGGATGCCCATTTCCTTGCAATACAATAGGCGAAGGAGCAGTACGAGTCCCGGGTTGTGAATGTGACCTAATAGACCCATTCGATTGAATCATGTTGGAACTCGAGCCATTTGTAACAGTGGACCGATGAATGCCTCTCCTCATCTCTGGGACAACAGCACTCAATTGCGGCGATGAGGGATTCGTATTCGAGGTTGGGTATGCATACATTGGTTGCCCAGCGTATTGAAACGGATAGAAATACATACCTTCTGGGCGTATAGGCGCTGTTAATGGCCCTTGATCAAACGAAGAGGTTCGATTTCGATCAGTGGCTTGTTGCTTGATTGGCATGCCACCGCCTTGTATGCGACCATGAGACTGTGCATATGCTTGAGCCTGAGCTTGAGCCTGAGCATGAGCATGAGCCTGTTCCATATACGTTTGTTGGACCAATTGCATCCTCAAAGTATTTTCTTGTGCCTGTAAGACTGAATACGTGGCGTAGAGATGGTTGTGCAATTGTGATTGCGCTTGTTGCTGGGCAGCCCATTGGTCTTGTGTAGAAATGTTCGACGGTATCCCATGCTGTGGGTACATGTGGTTATCGTAATTACTATTTGAGGATTTGCGGCTGCCATTTGACGAATTGCGATTAGAATGGTTATTACGACCGCCGCGGTGACCTCCTCTGCCAATTCTATGCGGGGGATGACTCGCAGTCAATGTTGGCTTCTTAGATGGGGGTGGCTTTTCCCAAACTCGCTCCTGCTCTTTTGGGAATATATATTCTTCACAACACTCATCCAGTTTGCCGCCAGATATCAACTCGAATGCCCTCCTCATTTCCAAGTGAAGTCCACGAAAAGAGAAATCATCTGCGGTGTTTCCAAGATTCCGTTCAGTATTAAAAGGTTCCTCCACGCACAACATGTTGTTCGTTGCTATTGCCCATTTCTTCTCCTGCTTCGAGATTTGCTTTCCCATTCGGACCGAAACTACTTGCTTGTCATAATCGAATTCGTGCCCGTAAAATCGAAAAAATTGGAACAACAGTTCTCCCAAGGTTGATTTATTCTTCAGACCAAACCCCCTCAAAGCGTCAAGATCGTCTGCGAAGCTGCTTTCACCCCCTTCCTTCGTTGGTAACTTAAGGTGCGGCCGTTGATGTAGTGATGGTAACACAGGAGGCTCCCGACTCTGTAGAAAATTGATGATCATGCATATCCATGTATATGAGCTCAATGTGCCACCAACTATAAAATGTGAGTGAAAACAGTCATGCCAAGGAATTTCTTATTCTTACCAGCATCATTGATCGCCCTTGACTTTGTCCAATGCTTAATGATCATAGCCAAGGGCCTCACACGGGGATCAATCTCGATGTACGTTTTTATCATTCGGGTATTCTCTAGAGCCTGAGTATTGTTGACATTCATATCGCAAGGCAACTCGAGCTCCGGATCAAAGATCTTGACGATGGGAACCTTAGCAGTCGATACACAAATTACCTTTTGCATACCATCTAGAAAATGTCAGTCATGTTGTTGTTGGTTGGGCTCAGGATACTCACTCTTTGCGAGTAACTCTGCAATCATGCATACACCCTCCATCACCTTCCAGTCGGTCGTTATGCAAATATCAACTAAAATGATCAGTAGGGTTTTCAGACTTTTGGCACCTTTTCAACTTACCATCTGACGCATCAGTACAAAGCAAATTGCCTGATGAACCGAAAACATAAACCCGTATATCGTGCCCAGGCCATTCTTTATTAAACATATCTTCCAGCTTCGACACCAGCTTCCTCCTTCTCTCGTCGGTCTCCGCCGTTGGCAATAAACGATCATATAACTCGCGCATATCTGTGGACAATTTTCTCTCTTCTTCATCTGACAATTTGCTTTTCAGATCAGAATCCTTCAATTGCTCCAATCGATCAGCCCCAAGACTATAAGGCATGCGCCGCCTTATTGAGGCCATGGCCGTTTCGTATTGGCATCCTCTTCGTTGGGCAGGAGGTGGTCTCGAAGGTAAAGTTATATTTGATTCGGAGTATGCCGATCTAGGGGAATGGCTGCCAGGGGCATTCGGTGAAGGTTCTCTCGACTCGTCGAAAGAGAACTTTCTCGGATGTTGATGTGGCGTAGAAGGTACTGAATTCGATTCTCGAGACAATGTGGAATTTTGATGTTGTGCAACTGGTCGTGGGGGGAGTTGAGCTGTTAACTCAAATTTCTTGCCCGGCATTGCTGTTGATGTCTCCTTCTCTGTTAGGAGCGCGCGCTCGCTTTTATTAAATTTTCGTACGTCCCTATTCCCATGACCGCCCCTCGCAGCAGGTTTTGGTTTTCGTTCTGTGGTAACGCCACTGGAGCTGGATCTTTGTCCGGGCACAGCCTGAATATGTTGTGCTGAAAGTAGTGGGGGAAGTGGTGCAGTTTGCAGTCTAGTGTTTCCGCCTGAAGAAATGAGCTTGTTGTACTGTTCAAGTTGTTGGTGGTGAAATGAGGACTGTTGGGGAAGTAAAATGGGAATGAATTGAGTTGGAAGCTGAGGGAAACCAGGAATACTCGGCGAGGAGCTGGAATTTGAATCGGCGTGGGTATTACGCCGCACGAGTCGCGACCACTGTGCAGATTGATATTGATATTTAGAATTACCTGTAGAAGGCTGGCCCTCCATCAAACTTATAAAATCCGTCTGTTGTGGGCGAGGGATTGTCGTTCTTCTTGACGATGTGTTGAGAATATCTCGACTCTAAACGACAGACGGGGAAATCGAAGCAAAGACAAACGGATCTTGGTATGGGTAAAGACGATGGAGGTAGCCACGCAACTATGAAAAAAGAAAGAGAACAAAAGAGTCTCCCCAATATAGGAAGTATATGTAATTGTGCTCCGTAAACAAACGTCGTGGTTGAGGTCGTAATTCGTGGATTCAAAGAAGGAGAGGTTGTCGGAGGTTGATTTTCCTTCTTTCGAGATTGCCCCCTTCTGATATTGAGTTGCGAGTGTGGTTCTATGTATTGGTCCCTCGCTATTTTTTTAATTCCGGACCATAGAAATTCGTATCGAAATTGAAGAGTGGAGAAGAAAAAGGGAACTCGTTGCTTTGGAAAAATCGAGGGTATCTTTTACGGGTTTCCGCTGTGCTGTGTGTAGATAAACATAAGAGAAGAATTATTCCTCTTTGCTCTTTTAATTATTAGAAGAGGGTGCAATGGATCAATTGTTTTCTTGAATGACTGAGAAAAGTAATTTAGTTGGTAGAAAGAGAATCGAGGGGGAAAAGATTTATTTTGGGAGGGCTTTGTTCTTCCAAATCTGAATCACACTTCTACGCACCTTCATACAAGAGAGTGTACTTGATACTGTCTGCACGTTATTACTTTACTATAGTGACTAGTAGTAATTAAATGTACGGAGTAGAGCAGCACTTCTTCGGGGCGTGTGTGTTGTAGGAACGTGAGTATTGGACTTTCCTCGATTTAAAAGGGAACGCTAAGCATGGTTATGGTCCCAGCAAAGCAACAACAGGGAGGGGGAGGAGGTAAGAGGGAGGAGGTAAGAGGGAGGAGGGAGGAGGGAGGTGGGAGGAAGTGAGAAGGAGAAGTTAATCAGAAGGACAAGCAGGAGGGAGGTAAATTGCTACGTAAAAGAATTGCAGGTGCTGCTTAGAAGAAGAGAATTACACTTTCCCTTATTTTCATCGAATATTCTCCTATCTCAATGGTTCTATGTGATTCGTGACTACCTAGGTAGGTATACGTAGCTACTGGTTCCCACTGTACGGTATTGATATTGACTTTGTAAAGAGAAGTTATCAATTGGAGAACGGGAGAATTGAAGAATCGAATATCAAGACCGTTTTTTGAAGTTGTTACTCATAGTATTTGAGGGAATGGAAAAAAAGAGATTGTCCCTACTTCTATTCATACATTCATACATTCATACATTCACACATTCATACATTCACACGTACACTCCTCCATCCATTTCACTCCTCACCCACCCCTCTCCCATCATACGGGCAATTCTTAGATGATTCAATTACCTACCCACCTAGGACTTGGGACTTGTTCCTTGTGCGAGTTCCTAAAAGAGTACGTATATAGATATTGTAGGATTTACTCATAAAACGACTTGATTCCTGGTAAATTGGTTCATAACACAACATGCGTAGATCGACCTCCTCCAATTCCATATGTGTTGGCCGTACCTATGAGAGAACCTTGATATGATACGAGTAATAACAATGGCCAAAGCAAAAGTCCCTAACAGCCCCGTCCTTTCTACTCTCCTCTGGTGCCAATTACTCATGTCAGTCATAACTTCGGAAAATATAATAAATCCATTTCCTTGGTGAGCCTATTCCTTTTGCCTAACCATCTGGCCATTCACATCTCATGTAACACCGAGTGTGACTGTGTGACCTCAATGGTAATATGGATAGTATGTGCCCACCCAAATCGCATCACAAATCCCCAGTCTACAGAGTAGCATGAAATATCTCCGCATATTTAAATCTAGGTACAGAGAAGTTTCCAGCGCTTCCAAGGTTTCTACTTCGCTGGTACAATATATTTTCATAGAGCACATAGTAAGCTTACATACCAAGGAAGCCAAGTAACGGGAAGAAAGTGACCATGAATAACGAGTTGGTCGGTCACTCAATTGTATAAGTTTCAGCCCTGGAGCCAGTCTCATTCCTTTGCGGGGGCGAGTATATATTCAGCTCCTGTCTCTAAAAGCTTCATCACAATTCCCCATCTTATAGAATCTCAACGTGACCGTGGTACCTCGTACTAGTTATCCATGTGCATACGGTGTGTGTGTGTGTGTGGGTTGCATAACGGGACAGTTTTGGGTCCCAGTCCGGTGCAGTGCAGTGCAGTGAGCCTGCGCCTGTGGTATTCTTGCGCTGTGCGGGTATTTTGTATGTAAGATGGCAATCTTGGGATACTCACATCATACTTTACTCCTCTCTCTCCAAGCAATCGCCAATCTGACACGAGGGTAAATTGACAGCTTACCAGAAATGAAGCCCAAAGTGAAGCCTCGAAGCACAGTCAGTGGAAGGGAAACATCGAGACCATCCGATAATACGAACACGACCTGAATAAATCTACCGGTATGTCAAATAGGCCAAAGGAGTATGCAAGCTTTGATGAAATAAGCTAGTTCTCAATCTAAGACGTTTTGTTTCCTTCTCGAATCGTTCATTCTAAAAAGACCCCGCCTGCAAGGCTCAACCACAATCCTTAATACATCAAAGTCAAATTCCTATTTCTGAGACGAAGGGGGTTCAAGCTTCGACCTTTCTACAGTCTGGTCTTTGAACCTTTCTTCGACATCCCGATTCCTCCATTCAATTTATTGGGTTATGTTTCTCCCAGGACATCATTTCATTGATGGATATTTATCTATCCATCCATCTATAAATGAAGTTGTTCGTTGCATTTCCAGGATCATTAATAACATCGAATCATTCCAAGGAGCCATGCTAAGGAGCCGGTAAGAATAGCCACACCTCAAATTCGATATCGATATCAGTATCAGTATCAAAAATGGTAACTATACTTACCCCTTAAACCAAACCTTATTAACCTTGGCGGATTCTGGAATAATCCAAAAGACAAAGAGAAACATGAGAAGCAGGTTGATTAACCTAACAGGTAGACAGCGTGCCTCGAATAGTATCCTCACTCAAGTACCTACATACCCCAGTACCATTCCCCAAATCTGAAAACCAAAAAGGAACATGAAGTATTTCTTTCCAAGTCTCAGAAGATCCTACCAAGATGTATTTCCGGTTAATTGAGGGGTTCATCAGGGTCCTCCTGTTGCTCTCCGTTCAAATTTAATCTCCTTAAATCTCCCAGATCCCGATATACTTCGTACGATTTATCAAATCCCCGACGTCTTCCCAGAGAATGGGCATTATTCCTTTCCTTTCGATGGTCAATGATAAATCAATAACGAATCCTTTCATACACTTCAACCGATCCACCAAGTCCAAGAAAGAGAAATCTGGGGAAAGACGGCACACAATTACCTTTTTTCCATATTATCTCCAATATACCAATTGTATTGATACATTCTTCATTTATCCTTTTCATTTGTGTATTAGTGATAAATATCCTTCCCCCCTGCATTCGGTGATTTTATTAGTCCTGCTTAACCGCTGAGGTGTCGAAAAAGAACTCATGTTACGCCACAGCCGTGAAGGGATCAATCAACAAGACCTTGAGGTTCTTGTCGTGTTTTGAGTTTGGGGGGAATTGAAGAATCTTGGGGATCTTCCGCGGCAATGAACTTATTTGTCCCGACCGATCCCTTTCCTGTTTCTTTGCCATTGCAAATGCATCCACATCCACATCCACATCCATATCCATATCCATCTCCAACCTTGAAGTGCCGACATATGCTAATGTAGGGAAGCAGGATTGGATATATTAATCGGAGACTCCTTATGATGTGGACTCAAAATGGCCACTCAAGCTCGTATTAATACTACCAGTAGCCTACAGCCTTTCAGAACCCAGTCTTTGATCAGTTGTTATTTACGATTCCTTTATGTTGATTCAATCAAGTCAATTCCTTCTTTATCATCTTCCTTCGAATGTTCCATACCATACCATACCTCCGTCTCAGTCTCAGTTTCCGTCTCAGTCTCTCCTCTCCTCTCTTCTCTTCGTCTCTTCCCTTGTCATCGAAACAAAGACTTGATTTATCTCCTCTATGCCATTCCGCCTTATATCGTACCACTCATTGGATCATACCGGGGTACATTCAAAACAGCATCTTCATTTGGGTTCCAAATGATGAAGTCATTTCTTGGCAATTTTGGGGCATTCTCCTTTTTTCTTTCCTCACTGCTTATTACTGCTCACTAATCAACTTTTCTTGTACTCGTATCTCGATCACGATTTCTTCTCCACCAACCTTAGGTTACCAATCTTTACTCCACATTCTCATCCCAAAAGAAATACTTCCATCTCGATTTATACACCCGATGGTCCTTGGCATCCAAACAATGAGATCACATCTTCTCTCAAGCATCGCGCCTTCAATTGTCTAGAAGCTGCTTAAATCCATCCGCTCCATCAGCTCCATCCCTCGTACACTCACGGGGCCAGCCTACTCTTCCGCCTTGATTGCGGAGCCCAAATACCTTATCTACGATGTACTTACTACTTACTCTGTATGTACGAAGGGCTCGTATCACAAAGCACCGACTTTGATCTGGAACTCCTTTCGACAAGTGACAATTGAAGAAGGGAAAGAAAAGGCATCAGGTTGTCAGCTTTATTCCAACACAACCAATTCTTTCATCATCATCCGATCTTACATATTCCTTACACAATCAAAACCCCATTGGATGGATGTTCCCTTTTCCACACTTCGTAAGACCCAGACCCGATATAAGGTTATTCCCCCAAAGCACCAACCCACTTAGCCTTACCTCGACTTGATCATGTAATCATCTTTACACCAATTTCTAAAGTCCGAATGAAAGCCTCAACCCGGCCCTTTCGCATTTTGCATGCATCCATCTCTTCCATCCATCTCTTTCCCAACTAAAAGGCCCTTTATGCCAAACAAAAATTCTCAAGCAAGAAATTCTTGACAATCTAACCCTCTAAATATCTAGTGCCCATCCTCTAGTGTTTGTCTAGAACAGCCTCCTCCCATCCAATCGGCATACACCTGCACTCCCGGATATTTACTTGAGAACTAGAATGAAAGTATGCATCTCCTCCCGTCTGTGCCTCTAGGACTGAACGAAGAACGTCATTGGGAACCCGAATTAAGGTTTTGGAACTTGATGCATAATTAGAAATCAACATCCCTCGTGCCGTATCGTACGTGCACACGAAGATTGATCCATCCATACTTACATTGCACATCCAATAACAATATATACATATAACTATAGATATATATATTTCCGTGTCCTCATCATCTTTCTCATCAAACCTCTGATTTCATCACCATCTATCTCATCACCATCTAATTCATGAACATACAAAGTAATCATCTTTCCCAAACTCTCCTGCCAAGTAATAAAACCTGCACCAATCGACCTACTACTCTGTAGGTCCCAACAACACATTCCCAGCCCGGCTATCAACCCAACCGGTATCCGTCCATCCCGACTCCAACCCCTCCCTCCCACAGCTCTCCTGAGTCTCCTCTCGCTCTCGGAATCTACGGAATTATCACTTTTGTCCATTGTTTCATTTCCGACCCATCTCAAAGCACAGAGACAAACAAGCCAAGCGCATCTCTTAAAAGCAAAGACAAACAGAGAGAGAAAGTTATTTCCTTACCTATCTTACTGTTGATCTATCTCCTGTTACCAATTTCTTCATCTCGCATTATCATCAGAAATATCAAATACAGTACATACAAGAGAGAGAGAGAGAGAGATATATACACACATAAAATAAATTATCCTAAGGATCTCTCTGAGAATAATCGCAATATCTATATTCTCTTATATCCGCTGTATCTCCTCATTACATATCAAGCATATCAAATCCAAGTACCGAATCGAGTTCGAAGAAAAAGAAAAAGAAAAGAAAAGAGAACGACTGCCTGTGTGAAAACGGATTCTTTCATTTTTGTACCTTCTTATCATTCTTCGTCGAGGAGAATCCGTGAGGATTGCTTTTCTTTGTTGTGTATATTGGGATACATAGGTATATATACTGAACTGCATACGTATACATTGCATACATACATACATACATATATACGTTTATTTTTTACTACTACGACGACGACTACTACCTACCACCAAAGTAAACTTCTTCGGCGATCGACTTTGTTTGTCGGATTGGGATTGGGATTGGGATTGAGGTTCCTTTATTTTATGTCCTTCCACCCGAGATCTTTTCTGAAGTGTATTGGGAACGATATCAATATCGACATCGCTTTCTGAATTGGGGTTGGAATTGAAATCGGATTCACAACCGCATTGGGAATTCGGGATTGGGGACATTGATTTGGGATATTCATATCCATATTCTTATATCTCATTTTTGTTTTGTTTATTTTGTTGATCGATTTTACATACATATACCAGCAATGACACGATTACTATCCAGGTACAATGATCTTTTTCTTCATTCTCTTTACTTCCCTACTCTAATCTATCCACTCCCCTCCCCCCTCCCCCCTCTCCATCTCCCCACACATCTATCTAACACCACCCAGAAGCTCACTTACCTCATCCCGCTCCACAACGCTCCTAATCGCCTTCTTCTCTCTAACATCTAATACCCTCTCGTCAATCTTTTTTCACCAACTCCCCGACGAGCCGTTCCATCTCGCGGTTAATTATGGATTGTATCTACATTTTGCAAATGTGATGAGTGTTTTTGGTGTTATTGGGGCTTTGAGGGTATATATTTGTTTCTTTCTTCCTTTCTTGCTTCTTCCACGCTAGAATTCCTCTACTCTTTACATTTTCAATTTTGAGAATCGATATTGATATCACTGGATACTTAAATCGAAAAATCATTTGGAAAGAAAGAAAGAAAAAACTAACAACCCCCACAGAAACACTCCCTTTCCATCCTCTGTTTCTCAAACTATCTCCTCCTCGACACCCTCCTCAGCGCCATCCCCCGTCTGCTCCTCCTTACCCTCCTCTCCAACTCCTCCTCTATCCTCTGCACCCCCTCCTCGACCACCTCTCTCGATTTCTCCACCATCACCCAATCTCCGCCCCTATCGCAAAACCCGCAAGAAATAAGTCTCGCTTCCTACACCATCTCGACCAGTATCCCCGCATCATCGCACATCGCATCTTTCGCGGATTTTGTAGGCAGGACGGGAGGAGATGATGGATGGACTGAAAGTGGTTGTAGGAGGATTATTACGTTGGGTTATATCATGTTGATTGCGGGGGTTATGGCAGCGATGGGTCTGCAGGTTTTGGGCGCGCTATGCGTGAGGGATTATGCGAGGGGGTTGTTTGTGAATGAGGAGATGGGGAATGATGGGGAATGGGAAAGGGAGGTGGGGGATAGGGAGAGAGAAAGAGAAAGGGTGGATGTAGAGACAGGGGAGAAAGTAAAAGTGGTGGAGAGGGAAGGGTTCAGATCGCTTTTGGTGTTGGAAAGTGAGAGGGGTGAAGAGTTTAGGAGGATGACCCCGATTTTGGAAGAGAGGGAATATTTTTAAATGATGGGAGTGATGGAAGTGATGAGGAAGTGGCAGCAGAAGAAGACTAAATGAAATGAGATGAGATGAGAATCTCTATTCACACACATACACGAAGAGTACATCTCCCACAGATATGAAACAAGCAAGCAAGCCATCAAACGAGACAAAAGGACATGAACAGAAAAGAAATGACGAAATTGTGTTATACGAGAGGTGGTGGTGGAATAAGTCGCAGATGGATGATGAACGAGATACGAAGGAAGCGAACTTTTGAAGTTTGGATTGGGCTTGTGTACAGCGATATTATGGAGGAGCATAAGCATGAATGAACGATGCATAAAGTATGAATAAATATGGGGATAGGGGTGGGGACAAGGCGCTCGTTAGATACCATTACTACTTATTATTATTACCGATACCATTGGGGATAATGACGGAGATGAAGGAGGAGATGAAGGGAGAAGATGAAGGGAGAAGATGAAGGAGAAGATGAAAGAGAAGAAGTGTAATAATGAAATTATTGCAATTATGCTACTCGTAGATGGAATTATACTAAGATTACGTGAATAAGTGAAATCATTGACATTAGTGTTGGATAATTATACAAAACTTCGTGTTCGAGTAGAGTACTCGAGTAATGAATGTACTATCTAGTCGTACATCGTACATCTCATCACATCAAATCGGGTTAGATCAGGTCTCTGATTTGTAAAGATAAATAAAAATAAAAAATCTGGTTACCTAGTTATTTAGTTACCTAGTTATCTAACTAATAGCTACGAACGGAGTAGTATACTACCTGAGTAATTATAATAGAAGATAGAGGATGAAAGATGAAATATAAAAGATGAAAGATAGAATATGAAATATAGAATATAGAATATAGAATATAGAATATAGAATATAGAATATTATATAACGTAGTTTATTAGTGAATCGATTATATTAATAGATCAACTACTTTTATCTCGAATTATTATTCTATATTCAATATATATTTTCTTTATAATTAATTATAAAAATTCATTTTAAAGAAACATGTATAATCTTAATTATTCAAACTATTAAATTAAATAAAAAATTATCAATTCGAAAAGTAACTCAATTTTATTATATACTTTAAATTATATTAAATAATAAAATTCATTATAAACCTAATATAATTAAGAATTAATTAAAAAGTTATAATTTGATTGAATTAAAAGAGAAGATACTTATTCAATATATTTTTAATATAAATTTGAAAGGTTTTCTATTTAAATTTAAGAATATAAAAGATATAATGAATTATATTCTCAAATTAAAGAATACGAAATATATCGGAAAACTTTAAATATGTTGATTTGTAAAATATTGAATTGAATTAAAGATATGTTTTAATTATATTTATAATTTTCAAAAAGCTTTTTACAAGGATTTTAAGTTTATTGAAAAGTAGTTTTAATTAGTTATGAATATATAAATGAAATATAATATTTTAAATAAAGATTTCTATAATTCCGATAAAACAAGCTTTATAATAGAAATTATATATATAGTAATGGTTGTTATTAGTATTAAAAAATATAATAGAAGTAAATCTATATAGTTAGGCAATCAAGAATAGATTATAATAATAATATATGAAAATGAAAAGGGTAAAACTATTCCTTTATTTTTAATGATTTAGGAATAGATTTATTTCTTTAATTGATATATCGAAATCAATCTTTCTATAAAATGAATTATCAAATCTATATTTAATAGGTAAATAAATAATGAGATAGATTTAAAATGGTTGAAATACTTTAATAAATATATTAAGAATTGAAAAAAAAAATATCGAATATTAGTACTGAATAGATATAAAAACTATAAATTAATAGCTTTTCAAATATATTATAAAGAAAACAATATTATATATTTATATTTATTATTATATTTAAGTTATTTAATTTAATTATTTGATATTAATTATTTTAGTAATCTAAAATATTCATATAGTAATTAAATTGATGGATTTATTAAAGTATATATTAATTATATTTTGAAGATTGAATTCTTTATAGCTTTTAAAATTGTATATAAGAAATTAATTATTTTTCAGAATATAAAATCAAAATTCTAAAAAACAAATTTAATTCTATTCAATCCTAAAACTATATTCTCGAAATTAAATATTTAAATTTGTATATTTACTCCCCTTTCTTTTGATCTAAATTAATAAATCTTTTAAACTTTTTATAATCCAATTGAAGCTTTTTTTAATTAATATTAATTAAATTTTAAATAACTTATTATTAAATAAGCTTTTTTATATTTATATTTGAAATTGTATTAATTTTAATTAAAGATATAAAAAAATTAGCTTATAAAAATATATTTTTAAATATAAAGAATTATATACTTTAAATAGTAAATGAAATATTAAATAAATATTAACGTGATTTATTAGTGTACAGGTTATATCAATATACAGATTACTTTCATCTCAATTCATTCTTTCAAACTCATATTATTCAACAACCATTAAATTAATTAATTAAAATTATAAAAATTATAATAATTTAGGATTTATTATATTATCTTAATAAGTTTTTATATTATATCCAATCTTTTTATATTTACTACAACATTAATTAGAAGATACTTCTCTATTAAAATTCCTTTCTTTTTAACATTTATTACATTGAATTTAAATATCAATCTTTTACTAAAATAATATATCAAAAGCTTTTTATTCAATAAATACTCCTTCTTAATATAATTAGATTTTTTTCACACATCAATATTTACTTAATACCTTATTCATTACTCGAAATATACGAATCTTTATATTTAAAAGTATATTCTTATAAGCTAATCTTTTTATACCTTTAATTAAAACTAATATAATCTCAAATATAAATATAAAGAAGTTTGATTGATATCAGGTTATTCAAGATTTCATTAAAGTTGATTAAGAAAAAGCTTTAATTAAATTGTAAGAAATTTAAAAGATTCATTAATCTAAATCGAAAGAGGAAAGAATAGATGTACAAATTCAAATATCTAACTTTGAAAATACAATTTCAGGATTAAATAATATTAAACCTATTCCTCGAAATCTTAATTTTATATCCTAAAAGATAATTGATTCTTTATATATAGCTTTAAAAACTATAAAGAATTCAATTTTTAAGATATAACTGATATATACCTTAATAAATCCATTAATTTGATCATTATATAAACATTTCAAATTACTAAAACAATCTATATCAAATAATTGAATTAAATAGCTTAAATACAATAATAAATATAAATATATAATATTATTCTTTTTATAATATACTTAAAAAGCTTTTGATTTATAACTTTTATCTCTATCTAACATCAACATTTAATATTTACCCTTTCTTTGATTCTTAATATACTTATCAAAATATTTCAATCATTCTAAACCCATCTCATTATTTATTCATCTATTAAATCTAGATTTAATAATCTAATTCATAGGAAAATCGATTTCAATATACTAATTGAAAAGATAAACCTATTCTTGAACTACTAAAAATAAAAATTTAATTTCATCTTCTCTATTATCATATATAATCACTATAGTCCATTCTCTATTACCTAATTGTATTATCTTACTTCTATCATTTTGTTCAATATTAATTATCATTATTCCGGGGTATATTATACTCATTATAAAGCTTATTTCATTAAAATTATAGAAATTATAATCGAGAATACTATGTTTTGCTTATATATTCGAAACTAATCGAAATCATTTCTTAATAAATTTAGAATCTTTACAAAAAGCCTTTTAAAAGTTATAAATATAATTAAAATATATTTTTAATTCGATTTAATACTTTACAAATTAATACATCTAAAACTTCTCAATACACTTTACACTGTTACGGGAGCTGCCTCTAGGGTCACGTGGAAGTGGCTAGAGATCTCTCGAGGTGGTTTAGACTAGACTTCAAGTAGGAATTCAATAAGGTTGTAACTGGTTGCAATTCTCGTAACTATAGTAATGAAACTAATGATTGTTCTTGAGCACGAAGCTCTACATTGTAATGAAACCCATTCCCTTATATAGACCTTCGTACTTTGATCGAATCGTCAAGTCTACTCGACTACTCGAGTCGACAAGTCGAATCGACTTTCCTTCACGTGACACTTGTCCTCGTGACCTGGTAAGGCTACCGCTTATTTAACCTGTGCTTACTAGCTAATCTGTAACCGTTGTGCAACCTGTGCCTACTGTGGGGTAGGTGCCAATAAAAGATAGGTACCTATCTTTTAATCACTGCTTATTTATTCGGTTACCGCTATCTTTAGTTACCCTTTAATTCAACTGTCCCTACAGTGCTGTTTTCGTAGGTCCCAACACCAAGGCCTTAGGTTTATCTTATAATCCATGTTGCGGTGCGGGTACCTCCGTAACATACACTTCTCAATTTAAAAATATAATTTATTATATCTTTTATATTTTTCAATTTAAATGAAAATCCTTTTATATTTATATTAATTATATATTTAGAAATAATATTCTCTTTTAATTCTAAAAGATTATAAGATTTAGGTTAATATTTAAAACAAAAAGTAATATTATTAATTCTATATTGTAATATTATATTCAAAATATTATATATCTTTACAATTTTTTGAATACTTGTTTTTTTGTTTTTTTGAATAGCTTCAATAATAAGGAGTATATAGGCTTTTTGATTATTTAAATTCATTATAAATTATTGATAAAAACATATATTGAAAAAGAAAAAAGTAAATTGAAATGAAAATGATTTGTATATTGATATGACTTACATACTAATAAATCACGTTAATATATTAAAAAAATCTAATTATATTAAGAAGAAATGTTTATTAAATAAAAGGCTTTTAATATATTATCTTAGTAAAAGATTAATATTTAGATTTAATATAATAAATATTAAAAAGAGGGAAATTCTAATAGAAAAGTATTTTCTAATTAATATTATAATAAATATAGAAAGATAGATTATAATATAAGAATCTATTAAAATAATATAATAGATCCTAAATTATTAGATTTTTAATAATTTTAATTAATTGATTTAATTATTATTGAATAATATAGTTTTGAAGTAATAATTCGAGATAAAAATGACTGATCTATTGATATAGCCGACCCACTGATAAACTACGCTATGTATATATTTGAAAAACTATTAATTCTTAAGTATTAAGAGCTCGTTCGAATCGATTTTCTGTCACGGATCGGCCTCAATCGCAATTACAATCGCTCACATGCGTATGCGCGCATGTGCACGATCACGTGTATATAGCTAGTATATAGATACGCTCCATAAACGCTTTGCTCTTGATTCTATAGTTGTAGATTCTAAGGATAAATTGTATCCTGCTCTTGTAGTTCTTCTACGACAAAGTGTTACATTTTTTAGGCGATGTAGAGCTATATTTATTAACAATATAGACCTAAATGAGTATTTACCGAACGCTAATATAGCTCAACAATTTATGTTTCTAACAAAATTATAAAAAAAGTGTTTTATCGAACGCTATGTTCGACTATAAAAAGCTACGA